CGTCCCGCAAGGACATCCTGGCCTTGCGCCTGGCATGGCTCATAACCCCAGCCAGCCCGGTCAGCCCGGCGCCATCCCCCAACACCTCGCCGCACAGATGGGCGTCTCGGGCCCGGGAGGACCCCAAATCAACCCAGCCGCGATGATGGCGGCGGGTATGCCGCCGGGCGTCAGCGGACCGGGTGGCCACAATATCCAGCATATGAGTCCTCAGCAACAGGCTATGCTCTTCCAGCAGCAACAAATGAGCCACATGGCATGTACGTTCTCCTCTTGTCTCGATGACCAGCGTTTTCCGATGATGGCTTTTCCTCATCACCCCTCTTGCTTCAACGTGTCAGCGTACTGATTGTATTTAGTAGTCAACAACCCAGCGCTTCAGGCACAGCTCCAGCAACAGAGGCTGCAGCAGCTGCAGCAGCAGCAGCAACAACAGCGCCACACGCAGCAGATGATGATGCAGCAGCAGCACCCCGGCATGTACAACCAGAGCATGATGCAGGCCAGCCAGATTGCGGCTCTCCAGAGACGGATGGGCGCGCAAGGGGGTGCGCAGGACCCGCGTACTCAGGTATGTCGAACCCCATGGCTCTGTATCTCGTACAAATTCATAAAATACATAAAACCCAGAGCTAACCATGATCCAACTTGGTACCTTGGTAGGCCATGATCGCCCAGCAGAACGCCATTTCGCAACACCAACTCAACAACCAAGCACACAACCCGAATCAGCTCCAGGTCCAGCAAGCCCACCTCGCGGCCATGCAGGCTCACCAACAGGCACAACAGGCCCAGCAGGCCCAGCAGGCCCAGGCTCAGCAGGCTCAACAGGTTCAGCAGGTTCAACAGGCGCAAGCGATTGCTACGGCCCAACAGCAAGCCCAGCAGGTCCAGCAGGCACAGGCCCAACAGGCACAGCAGCAAGCACATCACCAGCAGCAGCAGGCTCACCAGCAGGCCCAACAGCAAGCACAACAGCAAGCTCAACAGCATGCCCAGCAGGCCCAGCAGGCACAACAAGCTCAACAAGCCCAGCAGGCCCAGCAGGCCCAGCAGGCAGCACAACAAGGCGGCCCCGGCCAGCCCGGTCCACCCGGTCAACCTGGTCAGCCTGGTCAACCCGGTCAGCAAGGCCAGCCAGGCCAGCCAGGGCCGTCGGGCCAGCCGGGCCAGCAGGGCCAACCCCAGCAGCAACAACAGCCTAGTCAACCTGGCCAGCCGCAAACACCTCAGCAGCCCGGCCAGCAGCCAGGTGGCCCGCCACCCCAAAACGGCGGACCGCAGGGTATGCAAGTCCAGATGACCCCGCAGATGGCAGGCCAACCCCAAGCACAGCAGCAGGGCCCGGGTGGCCCTCAGCCGCCGCCCCAGCAGATGCCGCAACAGATGCCGCAGCATATCACCCCACAGATGCAGGCACAGATGCAACATCACATGCTGCAGCAGAACCCTCTTGCTCTACAGCAAGCACACCACTTGGCCGCTGCCAATGCCGCGCTCCAGCAGAAGCGCGAGCCTATGCGGATGCAGTGCCTGCTGCGGTTGACCCAGTTTAGCGAGTCTCTCGGCTCCTTCCCCGGCTCCAAGGGCAAGGAGGATGTTGCGTACTGGGTCGACTTTGTCAACCGCTTCTTCTCGCCTGTTGGTGTCTTCCGCCACTCGATACACATTGTCGATGGCGAGGAAAAGACCAGCAAGCAGTACGAAATCCCCTGCTCTGCTCTGGCGCGGTACTTCCACACGTACTTTGAGAGCGGTGTCAAGAAGATGCAGTTCGTCATGGACAAGGGCTTCGTCGAGAAACCCATCCAGAGCGACCGCTTCTGTGTCGAGAACTCCAAGGCCAACTTTGTGCAGTGGTTTACCAGCGGCTCCCAGGTTGTCTCGAGCGGCTCTGTGCGCGTGCAGTTTGATGCCGAGCAAAAGTTTGAGCTGTTCGAGTTCAGCTGCGAGGACCACGAAGAGTTTTTGCCGCGCAAGATGGTCATCCAGGCTGCGCAGCCTGGCCACAAGTGGGTCAAGGAATGGCGGAGTATAAATTTGAGCGACAACAAGCAGTCTCCCGAAATGAGCAAGAAGGGCAAGGTCAAGCAGATGAAGTCGCCCCAGAGCATCCCCCCGGATTTTCAGCTTCCCCACTCGAGCATCAAGGAGAGTGTTGGCATCACCGAGGCTGTCAACCAGTTCCTCGAGGTATGAATTTGCAGTCGCTCCATTCGAGATTGTTGTAGGCACATGGTTATGAACATGCTTATGAATACTGACTTCAATGTCTAGGTTGTGGAAGTCATGGGCCACATGACACCCCTCTTCAGTTACAGCCACGAAAACCCCAGCTTGACGGCCTTCAGCACCTTGGACCAGTACGTCCAGAATGTCATCCGGACTCCAGCCAACAACATGAACGTCAACGGCCAAGGCGCATTACCGCAGGGCGGCCCACGGACACCTGGCATGGGCCAGTTCCCTATTGGGGCCAGCCCGCACGCCGCGCACCTCCCCCCGCCGGGCTCACCCCATGTTGTGGGTAGCCCTGCACCCGGCACCATGCCGGCACCAGCCATGCACCCGTCGCAGAGCCAGCAAGGCACCAACTCCAACGGCCCGAGCGCAAACACGTCGCCTGCCGGCACGAAACGGAGACGGCCGTCTGGTGTGAAGACGGAGGACGACATGAACGGCGGTCCGACGTCGGCGCCGACACCGGCTGGCAACCCGCAAGTCAACGGTCTGCAGGGCAAGACGAAGCCACCAACACCCCGGATGCCTAAGAAGCAGAAGGTCAACGCGTCATAAATGCACCACTGCCGCGAGCTTGCTGTGCGGTTCATCTACCTTGCCGGGCTGTCGTGTGCCAGGCGGGTGCTTGTTGTCAGGTCTCTTTTGCTATTTATTTGTTTTAGTTTTGGTTGTTACATGTGTTTTTTACTGGGATTTTTACCGGGACTGCAGGTTGTATCTTGTTACATGCATGGTCTTGCGTGATGGTCTTTGTTTCGTTTTCACCTCTTATCTGTGTTTTTGCATCTCTGTTGATTCTCTTTCCCTGGTCGAGTTTGTCCTTTGTACGCCATGTTTTCTGCGCGCTTTCAGACGATGGCGGGAACAAAAAGGTCGGCGTCGGTGTATCTTTGTTCATTATTGTCTTTTTATGGGATTTTCCGGTGGGCTTGCATGACTGGCTTCACTGCTTCTATTTTCGTCTTCTTCGTCGACTTCCCTTTGCACACGAATGCGACAGGCCTCCCTCCTTTCATTTTCGAATAGGTTGGATATGTGGAGGAGGTCGTTGCCCTTGCATTTGGCTGTACGTTGTTTTGTTTCTATGCCAGTTTGATTCAATCTGTTTATTTCCCACTTTGCCTTTGCTCGTTCTGCCATATACTGCTCCCTCATCTTTTGTAGGGTTCATGGCCTATTCCCTTGCCGTTACTCTATGCTTTTCCTCAGTTTGTTTACATGGTCGCTTTTTCTCGGGTGGCTGGATCTGATTCTGTGTCTTAATTGTCTGGCAATGAAAACCGTTGGTCTGTTCTCGCTCACTATGTTCCCACTTTGAGGTGTTTGCGTCTATCTTTGTATCGAACGAGCATGTTTGCTTAGTTTGTGCTCGAATCGGTGATGTATGATGAAAACTTGCGCACTTATCAATCTAATCCATCAAAAGAATGGTTCTGTGAGGTTTCTTCGTGATGCTAGTGTCGTTTTGCATAGACTGCATATTTCATATTAGATGTTTTAACAAACTTTGACATGTCGCAGTTTTTGCATGACTTTTTTTTTAAAAAAAAAAAAAAAAAAAATATCATGCTTATAGACAAATGAATACAATAACCCTGTCGGTAATTTCAACAGAGGAGTTAATACGGAAAAACCTATAAATTTAAGATAGTTTGGGGCCCTTATACAAAGGCTGTATATGACTCTTAGAAAGTACCTGTCCGACGTTTAAGATAAAATAAGGGCCTGGTAAACGATAACTTCCACACAATCACAATATAGACAAGGCTGCGGCGCTAATTAGCCCAAGACGATCTTCGCGACTGGGCGCTGTTGATCGGTCGTTCGTTTTCGTTGTTTGCCACATTACTGGAGCAATTCTAACCACGTGATTCAAACTTTTCGCTATTTGGATCCAGACGACAAAGAAAGCACGTTAGGCTGCGTATTTGTCTAGGAAATGTTGTCATGTGTTGACAGACGTCACGCGGAAAAAACATAACCAGAACATGAGACAGAAGGCCAAGGTCTCTCTTACATGTCAATAGAAGGGTTAAGGCCTGCCGCTCCCTACTCTTGTTACGGATGTCTGGTTGGTGGTTGATACTGAAGACGGAAAACACAGGATACATCCATAAATATTTAAAACGAAGGACACAGACACAATAGGCTGCAACAGGAGACCGCGCGTGACAAGGCTGCAAGGGCTAGGCAGCGGTAGCGGCAGCAGGGCATGAATAGTGCAGAAATAACGGCATCCACCCACTTGGCGGTGTAGCTCACCGGCTTCCGAAAAAAGTCCTGGGGCTGCAAGGCGGCAGTGGTGTCTGCGGCGGTGAGAGGAGAATTCTTCTCGGCTTCGACATCTGCTGGCTCTCCCGGTGCCGGTTTGTTCGTTGCCGTTAGGCAGATGATGACAAGACATTCTCGCTCTGAGAAGGCTAGTCATTGTTCGAGAACGAGAAGGCCACGAAAGCGACGCGAAAGCACCGGAATCACAAGAAGGCGTACAGTAGAAGAATAGCGATCAAAGACCAAAAAGCAAATAAATCAAGTAAAAATAATATAGTGTTATTCCTTCAATTTCCCAACGCCAGAGGTGATAGTTCGGCCCATGGGCACCCCGTCCCTCGTCATAATAATAAGAAAGATAGCATTGCAAACATAAAGAGCCATCAGGTACGTCATCGCGATTCAGCAGATAATAAAACCCAGGTCAAGGCCGTTTGTCGCGATACAAAGACACGGAATGCAGACAAGCTAGAGGGGTAGTATCATGCTCAAATGTCCTCGCCGAAGGTGTTCTCGCCGGAGTACTGGATGTAGAGGAAGCTGGGAAGTGTTAGCATTATGATCACAATGCGGTGGCTGAACAGGGGCTGAAAAAGGGATAGACATACCCATCCTCGTCCTTGTGTTCCTCGTAGATGCTGGACATCAGCGCAGCGGTGGGCGGCAGGGTCTCGTCGACGAAGATGAAGATGGCCTTCTCGGGCGCCAGCTTGATGCGCTTGCGGATGACGTAGACGAACTGGCCGACGGTCAGGTCTGCGGGCACGAGGTACTTCTTCTTGTCGATGGTCGCAATCTCGCTCTTCTCGATCTTCTCGCAGATAACCTGGCGATGTTAGGCAACGGAGCCGACACAACAAAACGCGAATACACGGCGACACCACGAAGAGGAACGGGCACTTACGGGAATCCGATCCGCGTACTTCTGGCGGATGCGCTCGGCCTCGGCCTTGCGCTTCTCAAAAGGGTGCTCGTCCTTGAACTTTGAACGCATCTTGACGGGCGACGGGTGCAGTTTTTCGGAAATGGTGACGGTTTGAAAAAAAGGTGGTTGTTGGAAGACGGAGGGAATGCCCCAGGAGCGAGAAGCGAGGAACAAATGGCGGGCAGAGAGATGACGAGATAGGCAGCGGACGGCAAAGTGGGGTCGGTCCTCAGGTGCTAATGGTGTGCGGGTCGCGGGGGTCCAGGTCGGGAGGGCTGTGAGCGGACGACAAAACAAAAAGCCAGGTCGACTCGGTGGTGATGATAAGGATGATGGAGATGAGATGTGAAATATGATGAAGGAGGAGAAAAAGGGAAGAAAACGAAAGAGAAGAGAGAAAAGGGAAGGAGAGGGAATGGAAAACAGACGGCAGGCGAGACCCCAGGATGACTCGGTTTTGGACGGTGGCTCCTTCTTCTTGTAAGCCAACAGGGCGGGAAACGGCAGGCGCGGGCCAGGTGATACAGGGAGAATGACGAGTTGGTAGCCTAATCCTAGCCACAGGGCTCGTTACAGTGGAATAGCGGACAGAAAGCGGGGGAAGATGACGCGGGCGCGTTAATAACATGCGCCTGCAAGGACGGTTTAGGGGGGGCGAGGCGGCGATGGACAGGCACGCTCGCTCGACCATCCACTGAACGCCCTCTGGCGTTTGCGTGAGATGGCTCCCTGGCGACGACATCCCACGGCAGCGGCAAACGCCATTCACGCTGCCTGGTGCCTCTTTGCACAGTGCCCGTGTGCGACCTGTGATTGGTGCATCCACACACGTGACCCACTCGACCTCTGAGAATCGCATCGAAGGACGGTTCTGTGCCACCATTTGCTCAGTTGGTCAGCAGCCCAGAGCCCTCGACGCGACGTGTCTGGTGACAAATGCATGCACGATACGATTTCGGGCGAGATGCGAAGCATGTACGAGTCGTAGGTCTTGAGTTTGTGAGAATACTGGCAGCCCAGCCTGCCATGAAGATGGCCTCGCCATGGAGGATGAGTCTTTGGCCGGCGAGTCATCCACAATCGTGGCTGGACGAGGCGAAGAGAGAAGTCTAGAACCAAAGAACGACCAAAGAACGCGCAGCCGTCACGACTCCGACCGCACAGAGACCCTCGTGAGGCCCAGCCTCATTCTTCACATAGCTAACGCAGTCCTCGGGTGAAGACGCAGACGCATAGATGCATAACAGCTTGAAGCCACATATGTAGCTAAACGGGCGCGGCACTTCGATGCACGCCGCGCCGGGACCGTCCACCAACACACCACTCTGACGACCTAAAAGAGTAGCGGCTATTGGCGAATGGCCAGAGCTCAGCTTTTCCGACTCCCATGTCACAAAACATCCGATCCTCAGCAGACGTGGCCCGCTCTCGCCCAGCCTGTACAGGGACGTCTCTGGTATTTCCCCGGACGGACAGACGCATGAGCGCCTGTTGAATTCGGAGAAACAAAGAGAGCACGAAACGGGAAAAGGAACGGCAATTGGTAGACGTACTGACGACGCCATCGTTCGGTTTCTCTGCCCATTTGGACCTTGGCCGCCGTGGTCTCGCCATTCTTTCTTTCTCCTCCTACTCTCTGCGTCTCCTATAAAAGGAATTGCATCGCCATGGCGCCGACACGGCATGCGCTGCGTCTTGCTGCGCAGAGCAGACACACCGCTGCTCGACTCGCCGGCACCAAACGGGGAACAAGCTCGAACTTCTTATCGTTTTCCGCAAACAGCACAGCCCGGCGCGGCTTTACGTCCTCGCCGTCTTCCCTAGCATCCTCTGTCACACCTGCGACCTCGATCGCGGCCGCAGCAGCCGGCCTTGCCCTTGGCGGCGGCCTGATTGCATACAACATGGTGGGCCCCTGTCTCTGCTTCCTTTCATGCCATCGACGGGAATGGCACAACCCAGCTAACGTGACCAGGCCGTCGAGGAACCCATCCGCTGCGACACGCCCACGCTGGCCGAGCGTGACGAGCAGACGCGGCGAGACAACAACGGCACCGTCAACGAGCAGTCGCCCATGCGCCTGCGCATGGAGAAGTTCATCAAGGAGCAGCAGCAGGCCATTATCAAGGGCCTCGCCGAGATCGAGAACAGCGGCGGCGTGGCCACGGTGGGCGGCGCCGTCGAGGGCAAGGGCGACCGCCCGGCGCGCACGTTCCGCCAGGACGAGTGGCGGCGCAAGGAGGGCGGCGGCGGCATCACGTGTGTGATGCAGGACGGCGTCGTGTTTGAAAAGGCCGGCGTCGGCGTCAGTGTCGTCTACGGCAAGCTGCCCAAGGCCGGCATCCTGCGCATGCGCGCCAACCACCGCAACCTGGGCGGCGCCGGCAGCGACGCCGACCTCCCCGAGTCGCTCGAGTTCTTCGCGGCCGGCCTGAGTCTCGTCGTGCACCCGCGCAACCCCATGGCGCCCACCGTCCACCTCAACTACCGCTATTTCGAGACGGCCAACCCGGACGGCACGCCCTCGGGCGGCGCCGACGGCACGGGCGCCTGGTGGTTTGGCGGCGGCGCCGACCTGACGCCGAGCTACCTCTTTGACGAGGACGCCATCCACTTCCACCGCACGCTCAAGGACGTCTGCGACCGCCACAGCAAGAGCTACTGGCCCCGCTTCAAGAAGTGGTGCGACGAGTACTTTTACAACAAGCACCGCTTCGAGAGCCGCGGCGTCGGCGGCATTTTCTTCGACGACCTCGACGAGGCCTCGGGCGGCGCGCCCGGCGAGGGCCCTGCCGACAAAGAGAGCCTCTTCTCGTTTGTCCAGGACGGCCTGCGCGCGTTCCTGCCGTCCTATGCGCCCATCATCGCGCGCCGCAAGGACATGCCCTTCACGGACGCCGAGAAGGAGTGGCAGCAGATCCGCCGCGGCCGCTACGTCGAGTTCAACCTGGTGCACGACCGCGGCACGGCCTTTGGCCTCAACACGCCCGGCCCGCGTGTCGAGAGCATCCTGATGAGCCTGCCGCTGACGGCGAGCTGGAAGTACATGTACGAGCCGGCGCCCAAGAGCCGGGAGCAGCGTCTGGTGGATGTGCTGCGGAACCCGCGCGAGTGGGTGTAAAGCCAATGGGATGGTTATGAAAGAAAAAGCGTATTTATGTCAGGCTAGGCAAATGTTTCAATGAAATTGTAAAACAGTGAATATGAGACTGGATTCGTGAGGGTGTTGTGATTCGTAGAGTTGGTAGGTGTAGCGAATTCGGCGTTGGAGGCGATAGTGGAGCTCACAGCGCCATGCGGCAGAGTTGATCCACCGCATAAAATAGCAGCCAAAATGTACGACATACAACGTACACCGGTACTGCATACCCTCACCCAACAATGACGTACACGGACGAATGGCAACAGCAACGGCCAACAATACGATGAGGCTGCTTTCACGGCGACATGGCTGATCGTTCCGACATGGCATTGCCGGTGCCGCGGCAAGTCCTCGCCGAACTCCTTCACTCAATCGCCTCGTCCACAACGTCAGGCAGCATGGATGGCCACCTCCCGCTGCTGGCCACGCTGCACGTCCTGTTTCCGTCACTGGTGCTGCCTGCCTTGGACCTGCTCGACCGCCGTCGCGTTGTGCGGTGGGGGGGTCGTCGCGAGCAGCCAAAGGGAGCCTTGCCTGCGTCCACCGCAGCCTCCACCGCCGCTTCTGCGTCTCCTCCACAACCCTCTCTCTACCAGATCCGCGGCGGCAGCGACCGGCCACACGTGGTCCACCTGCGGTCATGGCACTGCACGTGTGCCTTTTTTGCACTCCAGACCGCGGCATCGACGGCGTTGTCGTCCAAGACGCCACAGGACGCCGAGACGAAACTGGCGGCGCAGCATCATCTGAAAGACGCCCTCTCTCACCTCCCTCTGGCGTTTAGCACGCCGCCTTGCAAGCACCTCTTGGCGTGTCTGCTCGCCGAAGAGTGGGCTGTCTTGCACGCTTACGTTGTTGCCGGGGAAGGCGACACGACAGATACAAAAGACGACTGTGCTTGCTCGCCTGAAACGTTGGCAGGTATTGTGGCGGGCGTTTTATGAGCAAAGGTCGGACAGATACGACTCAAAATGTATACTAGTACTGGACAGATGAATGACGCATGTAAATTGTACAATGAGCATTTGGTTTCGTGTAGACGAATCTGATGCGACGACCCTTGTGCACACCAGACACGGCTGTCTTTATGATATTCCGCATGTCCGATCCCGTGACGCCCGCATCCTGGCAAACGCCTTGCTTCGGCGCCTTCCGCATCTTCCGCATCTTCCGCCTTCTCTTCCCGTCTACTTCTTCTCCTTGTCGCCCTCTTTTGCGTCGCCGTTGACGCCGTTGGCCTTGTCGTCCTTCTTCTCGCCGTCCTTGCCGTCCTTGCTGCTGCTGCCCAATGCCGCCGCACCGTTGGGCCCGCTGCTCTCGCCGTTGGCCGCCGCCGCCGCCGCATCCTTCTTGGCCGCGTCCTTCTCCTCCTGCTGCTGCCGGTTCTGGATCTTGTTCTCGATCAGGTCGTGGAACGCCGTGATGGCACGGATCAGCGAGCTCAGGTAGATGGCCATCAGCTGGTCGTTGGTCTTGACGCTCATGGCGTAGGCCAGGTCGCCCTCGCCGCCGCCGCCGCCGAGCGCGGTCGTAGAAGTGGACGTGGACGCCGAGGCGCCCGCACCGGCACGGGACGAGGGGGCCGCTGCCGTGGTGGACAGGTTGGGCAGCAGGTTGAAGACGTCCTGCAGGTTGCCGAGGATGGCGTGGTTGACGGGCAGCTGGCCGTCGAGCACCTTTTTCAGGTACGTCTGGATGTCGCCGAGGCGGTGGTGCAGGCCCTGGAGCGACTGCAGCTGGTTGGTGACGCGCGTCGACAGCGTGCCGACGGCGACGTCGCGGATGTCCCGCAGCAGGTGCTCGACGCCAATCTCCTCGGCCTCCTCGGCCTCGATGATGGAGGGGGTGTGCACAAACGTCTTGGCCGTGGTCGTGCCGTCCTACATGGGTCAGTCATGGGTCAGTCATGGGTCAGTCATGGGTCAGGGACGCTTTCTGCTTGATTTGCGTGGTGTGTGGTTGTGTGGCTGCGTCCGCCTCACGGCGCGGGTACTCACGTCCTTGATCTCCTCCACGGCAAAGTAGGCGTCTGTCGGCACGCCCGACTCCTTGGGCTGCACGTCGATAATCACCAGCAGCGGATTCGGCGTGTAGCGCTTGAACAGCTCGTTGATCTCCAGGTCCGACGCCCGCAGCTTGGGCCCCGAGTGGTACCAGCCTATTAACTTCTCGCGCGCGTTGATTTTCTTGAACATGTCGTTCATCGCCTCAATGTAGTTGTGGTCCAGGTACCACACCGACGGGTCCTTGTCGTCCTCCTCAAACGGCACCGCAAAGCTGTTGGACACCCGCACGTTCTTGCCGTCGTTCTGCCCTAATAACACGCCCACCACCCGCTTGTTTCGTGTCTTGGTGGCCGAACTGCGGTTGAAGTGGTCGACCGCAGACAGCAGCACCAACGGCGCCACGGAGACATTGCGCGTCACCAACGACAGCGTCTCGGCGGTCGTCGACGGCATCGTGGATGAAAGGGAGAGAGAGGTTCGTTGTGTGGTGGATGGAGGGGCTAAGCTTCAGGGTGACTGAGGCAGCAGTCAGATCAATTGAGGTCAACAGACCAAAAACGAAACACCGGGGGTATGGATGCAGCAGCCCGTGTGCTCTTGGTCGCCGTGGGTCGGGGTCGTGGGGGTTCGTCGATGTTTGTAGTTTGTCAGGAGTGTGGCGTCAAATCTGGCGATGCTGCAAAATCAAGGTCCGTTTGGTCGTGGAAGGCACGAGGCGTCGTACTGCTGAGGCTGCCTTTGGGGCAGGGGCGGTTGGGAGGTCAGTTCCTGATTCGGACTAGCGCATTTTACCAACGGGTCACACGATGACTAATCATTTTAAACACGTGACTATCGACAAGCACACATCGCCATTGATCACAAGGGAACGACCACACGAAGTACTCCTCCGTCGTACGGTGTTGTAAGCTGAAAATGCCGACCGAATAATACAATGCTCACAATACAATGCTTACCGGCCAAGGCTGTGTGGCCTGCCAGACCTGTATGGTGTAAATTCACAGGCGAATTTGGCGCACGAATCATACTCTTCCATCTGTGCCCGTTTTCGTAGCCGTTTCTCTGTCGGTGTCCCTTCACCCGGGGCCCCTAGACCATATGGACAATCGACGGGCAGAAACACATACGCAAAAGAAGAATGCTCAGGCCTGAAGCTTCTGTGCCTCGGCGATGAGGGACAGCTGCAAAGTGGGAGAGCTCGGGTAACTGGAGCAGCAAGGTTTAGCTTTAGCCGGAAGTGGCGTGAGGTACCTGTCGTGACCATCCTTGTACCTGTGGCCGGGATCTGCGCGCACAGGTACCCGTAGGCCGGACGCGAGTACCCCCACCTGCCTTCTTAGTTGCTGCGGCGCCTGCAGCGGTTGGCGCCTTCCTGTCGTGCCCTGGGCCAATGCGCTAAAACACTTTTTTCTTCGCTCCTTCCCCCGAGATCGCATTGGCTGTTCCCAGGTGGGCTGCGCCTGCCGTTTTGCTGCGAGTGTTGGTGTCTCTTTCTCTGTGTGGTGTTTCTCAGCACTCTCCACTTATTCCGTGCTGTCTCCGTCTTTGTTCTTGCCTGCACTTTTGCTTCGTTTTCCGTCTCTCTCTCTCTCCTTTTCCTTTCTTGATTTCTTCCTCTTCGCTCTTCTTCACATTCACGCCCACGGCCAATTCCTAGACTCCTAGCTGGTTCTTTTCTCTTGCCTCGCCTCCGACTTCCCCTCTCCTCCCCTCCCCGCCCTTCGCCACATTTCTCCAACAATGGGTGCCATTGAGGACCAGGTGCAGCACCTCCACGATGTTGTCGCCCGTCTCGAGGGCCGCATCAAGGACCTCGAGAGCCGCCACCTGGGCGGTGCCGGTGCCACCAAGACGATTGACGAGGTCCGCATGATCCTCATTGGCCCTCCCGGAGCCGGTACGGCCTTTTCCCCGACCCTTTCCGTGTCTTTTGCGCTTACGATCGCTGCGACCGTTGCGGACCCCTGCGACAATGACTGACTGTGCATAGGCAAGGGCACGCAAGCTCCCAAGATCAAGGAGAAGTTCGGCTGCTGCCACCTGGTATGTTCTGGGCCGGCTCTGAGAGCCAATTGCGCCCTCGTTGCTGTTTCTGTTGCTGTCCCTGTCGCTTCCTTTGCTAACCATCGCTTTCCTCCCTGCAGGCCACCGGCGACATGCTCCGCTCGCAGGTCGCAAAGAAGACGCCGCTCGGCCGGGAAGCCAAGAAGATCATGGACCAGGGCGGGCTGGTCAGCGACGACATTGTCATTGGCATGATCAAGGAGGAGCTCAACACGAACCCCGAGTGCAAGGGCGGCTTCATTCTGGACGGCTTCCCGCGCACCGTGCCCCAGGCCGAGGGCCTCGACGCCATGCTCCGGGAGCGCAAACAGACCCTGCAGCACGCCGTCGAGCTGCAGATCGACGACGCCCTGCTCGTGGCCCGCATCACCGGCCGCCTCGTGCACCCGGCGTCGGGCCGCTCGTACCACAAGCTCTTCAACCCGCCCAAGAAGGAGATGACCGACGACGTCACCGGCGAGCCGCTCATCCAGCGCTCCGATGACAACGCCGAGGCCCTCAAGAAGCGCCTGGCCACCTACCACGCGCAGACGGCCCCCGTCGTCGAGTACTACCGCAAGACGGGCATCTGGAAGGCCATTGACGCCTCGCAGAAGCCCGGCCAGGTCTGGGACACGCTCCTGCAAATCTTTGACGGCGATGCCAAGAAGGCCAGCAGCACCGGCAGCTCCATCCTTCGCAGGCTCAAAAACTAGACGTCTCTCGAGGCAGTCCATTTTGACGCGGTTTTTTTTCTTTTAATTTTTTTTTTCGGGTCCCACCATCAAAAAGCGAAATCTACGAGCTCAAGCATACTGGATTCTCTACATTTCATTCATCTTTCTCTCCTGAATATGGACTTGGATCTTGGGACGTGAGAGACAAGAGAATGTGACTTCAGATGGCTGTGCGAATAGGCCAACACCACTTACGAACAAAACGATTCATTTGGGCATGGATGGACGGTGAGCGAGGATGGGAACGGTGAAAAAGGTTCAACGCAGCCATGCGAACAAAACACAATCCTCGAGGCGGTATGGGCAGGGTGCAGGGGCAGGAAGGGGACGTGGACAGGCTGTCTTTTGCAAGATTCGGAGCAACTGTTTCCATGTCTCTACGGCTCTGCTGTGTATTTTCTGTAAAAAAGCAAAGCTTCGTCATAAAGGAGCAGCGAACGGAGTGTAAAAACAATATAAACTACTGCTTAACTCAAGTTGCGGGCAGCAACCGTAAGTAACACACCGCACGCGACCCGCGAGACGAACCATACACAGCCTTTTATGCGTCCGAGGTGCTGCACCTAAATCGTATGCTGCAGAGCTCGTCCAACCAGACCTGCATGATGATGCCCACTCCTGGCTGGAGAAAGCTCCCACCAATCAGCCCAGGCTGCATCCGCCGTCTAACTTCTTTCGCCGACGTGAAATCGTTTGAACGTAAGAGGCGCATGCTTGCTCGCTGACGTTGTTGCGCGGGTTTCTGATATCAAACGCATTCTCAATTTACGCCGTATTATTCGCACTGGCTTGGCACATATCTTTCTCAACATAATTTCCCTCCAAAAAATGACAGAGCCTGCTTCTGCCTCCACACCGGCCCCTGCGTCCCCTCCTGCATCGGGAGGCGCGGCCTCACACTCTCTTTCGACGCTGCCCCCACTCTTGTCACGCCTCTCGTTACCACGGGCCGCACCGGCGTCCCTGAGTGCCGTCAATGCCATCAGCGTGCCAGGCAACAGCAGCAGCGCGCCGGCGACATCGGCCGTCGCTTCGCTGGCGACACGGGATGAGTCGATGTTGCGCGTCGTGAGACGCGCAGATAGCGTCTCGACCACGACCGCTCCTTCGTCGTCGACAGCGACACTGTCTACCACGTCGACCGCAACTGTCTCTGCTGCGTCGCCTAATGCGGCGCCAACGTCGTCTGTGTCGTCCGTGTCGCCCGTCGCCGGAGGCCCTTTCGGCCCTCTCGTTGCAGTACCAGCAGCGCCCCTGCTTCCACCAGCAACGGGTGCCGCACTCGCAGAGCCCCTGGCCCACCAATTTCCCCCCACGAGTCGCCCAGGTACTGGCCCAGCAAGTGTTGCGACTGCACCGGCCGCCCTGGCGTCGGCGCCGCGGTCGATGCAAGCCGCGCCTCCGCCGCCGCCGCCGCCGGCCCTTCAGCGTCTTCAGCCATCCCTCCCCTCTGCCAGCGCCCAGCGCCACGTGGCCGAGGCCCGCCAGGCCCTCGACGCCAGCATTGCCAACCTGCTCGACTCCCAGCTCCAGAGCCGCGCCGTCCTCATGCACAACAACATGCGCGCCATTGAGGGCCAGCAGCGCGACCTCGGCAAAGCCGTGCTGGGGCTGCGCAAGGCCAACGACGGGCTGGCGCACCTCGTGCACGAGATGACGGGCCCGCTCAAGGAGATGGGCGACATGCAGAACTGGACCGAGGTGCAGTACCAGGGGCTGTCGGCCATCGAGGAGACGCTGCGGCTGGTGCGCGAAAAGCGGGAGCGGCGTGAGCGGCGGGAACGTGCGGCCGTGGAGCGGGAAGCACGGCGTGCGGCGCGGCGAGCGGCTCGACAGGAGGCAGGGCTTGAGGCTGGCGATAACGGCGACGGCGACGTTTACAGCGACGGCGGCAGCAGCGACAGCGGAACGTATTGGAGCAGCAGCTATTACAGCGGCAGCAGTCGCAGTCGCAGTCGAAGCCGTAGTGTAAGTCGCAGCAGGAGCCGGAGTAGAAGCCGGCAAGCAAGTCCAAGCCGGTCAAAGGCTCTTGAAATGCCTCTGGATAAGAAGGGAAAAGGAAAGGCCAAGATTGAGGATATTGTAGAGAATGTCCGTGCTCTCCCATCCTCCAGCAGACGGAAAGAGACTGTGCCCAAAGACGAGCAGCCAAAGATCAGTCCCCTTTTAACAGCAACAACGCAAGACAAGGGAAAAGGCAAGAATATGGAAGTGGACGAGGTTGATGACGTGGCCAATGCTACCACAAATACGGCAAGCAGCTCACAAGTCCATGAAGCGGAACCCGATGCAGAGCCAAAGGAGCCTCCAGCACCACCTGCTAAATCAGACGATGGCAACGGCTCGCCGACTGCTACTGAGAGAAACGAGACGGACGCAACCCAGCATACCCCAGAAAGTGATGTTCTCAAGACAGATGAGTCCAGCGTACCGGCTGCAGACGGAGGCAAGGAAAGCCTTGTCGAGGTATCGAACGAAGAAGGGTCAAGAGAGGAGCAAAGCCCGGCTGACGAGGCAGCGGCAGACGCGATCGCTGACGAAACGAAAGACAAGGACCAGGAACTAGAGGAAGTTGCCAGCCAACCAACACAGGATGCATATATTATGGAAGTGGAGGTAGACGCTGCAACCGAAGCCAATGAGGCGCCAACGGACGGCGTCTCTCTTACAGTACCAGACGCTCAAAGTGCCTCAACGGCCGACGCTGCACCAAAAGACACCCGCGTCAACGACAGGCGATCGGCTGTGGAGAACGCCCCGAGCTTGCCAGAGGAGTCGAAAGCGGAGCAAGATGCACACGAGAAGCATGTTGAGCAAGTAGAGGGCATACCGGGAGACCATGAGCGAAGCATCTCCGCGGGGACGGAGACAGAACAGTTGAAGGTGCTCGAAGAGTCGATGGCATCGGAGACTTTGTAGGTAGCAGACGATGCTACGATAGGATGAGCAACATGGATGGGTAGAAATAATCTTCGTCTATTAATATTAACGCTTATGCGCCTCAGTTGTCGAATGTATAGTGATAAAAGTCTGATTTGCAGGTGTCCTCCATATTCTCTGCCTTTGGCATTTTGGCTCTCCCAAATGCAATGAACAGCCCCTATTGATGTTATGAATCAAGCACATCAGTTGCAAACCTCTCCCAAAAAGCGCCCGTATGTCCCCGGGAAACCCCATTTTGGTACCGTAAATCCGACAGTAACGCCGTTTCTCTCTGCCCGTTCTCTCAGGCATTGACTCTGGGCCTGGTCCAGTTGCATGGTCCAGTTGCATGGTCCAGTTGCATTGGCCTTTTGTCCCGCCAACAAAGGGTAACCCTCTGAAGGCCATCGCCGCCGCGACCACTTAGATCAGGCCCGGAAACATGGTGTACTTCTTCTTCTTGTACTTGTCGGGGAACAGACGGCGCAGCGCCCGCTCCTTGTCCCGCGACCACATGCGCATGTAGAGCATGCCCACGCTGATGAAAATGACCACCACGATGTCCCGCGAAATCAGAATCACACCCAACCACGTGAGAATCTCAAACATGTAGTTGGGCGCCGTCACCAGGCTGCTGCCAAACGCGTTGGGAATCTTCTTCTCCGTGCCGCCGGGCGACCGCAGATGCGCCAGGTGCCAGTGCACCGAGAAGTTGGCAATCTGGCCAAACACGTACAGGGCGATGCCGACATAGTCGAGGGGTGACGAACCAAAGCCGGAGCGCGGCGGGGAAGCCGCCGGGAACTGGGACGACACGCGGAACGGCGACAGGGGCGCGTAGAGCGACCAGGCGCAGGCAAAGCCGGCCAGGAGCCAGTAAAACGCCGAGTTGCGGACGATGTTGCGGGCGGGCATGGTGTTGGCGGAGAAGCGATGCAAAAACGCCGTCTCGAGCTCTCGCTTGACGAAGTGCAGCTGGAACAGGATGTAAACGAGCCGCTGGATGTCGGTGACCGGGTCACTGCGGGACGCCGTCTGGCCGCGGCTCAAGGCCTGCGGCAGCGGGATGATTGGACGCAGGTAGAACAATAGGCCATGGAAGAGGAGCGGGCCTGCGTATTCGATAAGGTACACCGTCCGCCATCCAACCTGAGCACCTGTTTTTTGTATTTTTGTCAGCAAAGGGGACATGCAACTACACAAAACAACATGATTGCCACCGCAAGGGAGCTCCCTCCAGTTCTTACCAAGATCCTGCACCAGAATGGCCTTGGAGGCCACGACATTCTCCTGGGCACCCAGCACGGCGCGGCGGTCCCGGATGATCTTGCGCGTCACTGGGTCGAAGATGCCAATGCGGTTGTAGTCCCTGACGCCCGAAGCTTTGGCCAGCTTCTGCTGCAGTTCCTCAATGGTGGTCGACGTCGTGATGTCGATCGATGCTGGTAGCTTCTTGATTGTGCCAGATTTGGCGCGGTTGGATACCGCGAGTGTGAGTTTGTCGGCCATGCTGGTTGGAGGCTCAATCGGCACACGCACGCTTCGAAGCTCGTGTTGTCGGAGTTGGGAGTGAGATAATGACGTGGTTGTGGAAAACACAGAAAATTAAGTGAGAGAAAGGGAGGACGGGAAATAGGGGACAAAGTGTTGCTCTCAGGAGCAGATAAAATTGGGAGCCTCGGCGCCTTCCCGTTATGTTGGATTCGATTACTGAGCTGTTCAGTGGGGCAGGCACCTGCCATTGAGAGACGTTAATTGGCTGTGCCTGCCTTTTCATCTCCGTTCTGTTGAGCAGGAGCCAAACGTTTAATGGACGATCGGTCCCCAACGGCAAGGGCGATCGTCCCTTGTGCCGGTACCTGTGAGAACTAAACAGCTACTACGTTGCGGCGTCAGCCACTCGAAGTTGCCCGAAACGGTGTAAGTCGACTCGTCGTCAGCACATGATGTCGTGCGCTCTTTCCCTTGGCACCTGAGATGCATGTTTTGGCAGGACCATGGAATTCATGTTCATGGAAGAAAGAGCGATCAATTCGTTCGCACCAATTCGCACCATTTCGTTTAAAGAACACAAATGGTGCTTTCCATTAAAATAAATGGCACGAGTGCGGGCAGAGAAGGAACCACCAAGGCAACAGCTGCACCGGCTTTTGCTAAGACGAGAATGGAGATGGCGGTTGCTCAACGGCCATGCAACCGCACTGACGCCTTTGTTCACGCCCCAACAGTCGTCAAGACAACTCAAACGCATCGCTAGGTCAAGATGGCGTTGTCCGCGCGGCAGGCTTTGGGCCGCACTCTGCCCATGCGACCAGTTTGTCAGACCGGCGATGGCTTCGAACATGAGATCCACCACATAACTGGCCGATGACTTCCGGCGTCATGGATCACCAAAACAAAGGCGCCCACACGCCCAGCCGGTTCCTATCGGTGCGCGGCCAGAGGATGACAAGTTCAGCCGCCAGCAGTGCCGAGTCGAGCCCACCCTTTCTGTCTTGGCGACAAGCTACCACGCCCTCTCGGCCCAGCGTGGCTGGCCCTGCAAAGTCGCTGGCCACAGATCTGTCTGGCGGTGCCCGGCTTCCACAGTACTGGCCGTCGTTTGGTGATGCAGTTCGTCAGAAGGAAGCTGACGATGTCGTATTTGGCATCCGCAAACGCACGACGGCTGCTCGTGCCACAGTCATCGATGGCCGACCAATGACGCTAGTCACGCGGCCGACATCGTTGGCACGGCGCCTCCTGTCTGAGCCGGGAGCCAGGGGAGCCGTCTCGCCAAGCTCGTCTCCCACCACCGAAGCTACGCCCGGCCAGGAGCGCCCAGGGAAACCGACGCGGCTGTCGCCCACTGCTCTGGACTGGGCTCCACGGGCAAACGCTCTCTCGCCGCGGTTGTCGTCCCTTAGCTATGCTGATGTGGCTAGGATTAGAGATCGACGCCCACCGCCCCCGCCGTTTCCCATCTTGCGGAAGCCCAGAAGTCCTCACGCGAGTCTGGCGAGCACTGGCACGATTGTGCGACCAGGTGCCAGCAGCAGCAACACAACCGGCAGCAGCAACGGCAGTGAGATGGACGACGGCCGTGATTCAGACAAAGAGAGTAAAACCACTACCCTAGAGATCGAGGCCACCAAGACTGCTGAAATTACCCAAGCTGATGAGTTCACTGAGCTCACTGTGCGTATCACGACTTCGGACGACTGTGAGACGCTCGATACATCTCCGTCATGCCACGGCTTGGGCAATGCTCTGGGCGCCGGCCTTGGCCTGCTGGGGAAGAGTGCAGACGAGGACCTTAGCATCGGTGCCTCGGACGATCTTTTGGTGAACCGGCACAATGCAAATACCGTATTCATGAGATCAGACGGAGGCCGCGGGAGCCGGCCCAAATGCCCCGTAACTATGTCTGCAAACAAGGTCACGCCTACTCTCAGGCCTCACTTGCGCACGCAACCGTTTCCAACGCAGCAAAAGTATCTTCAATACAGGGCCCCGACACACGTCCTCGCGAATCACGCACCTGCGCGAGCACGGTGCACGCCTCCAAGAATCACACCCACACGGCACCGACCGTTGACTAACACGCCAACGAGAAGCGCAGCTGCCACTGCCAGGACGACTCCTAGTAGTCATGGCCAGCGCGCACCCAACTCGCCAGTTCCGGTCTTAGCCACAATGAAGTTTGCGGAACTGCACCATAATGCTCAACGATACGGCTGGGGCGCTTCTCCTTTCTTGCCCAAAACGGACGTCGAGTACGAACAACTTATCCAAGAGCTTCGCAACCGCCAAAAGCGCCACCAAGAAGCAAAGAGATGGCAGGCTGTTGTGATGCAACAGGAGGCGGACACAGAACAGCAAGGTGCATTGACTGTGCAAGGGCGGGCATCACAGCCCATCCTGCCCAAGCCCGCTAGGCAGTTTCACGGTGGCAGAGACGTTCTCGAAGGACAGGCACGTCTCGGTGCAGCCTCGACCATGCAGCCTAGTTTCCAACCAACCGATGGATCAACGACAGTGCTCGGGGTGCACACAACATTCTCCGACAAGCTTGTGCCATACAAACCAGACACGGGTCCGTTCTATTCCGAGTGGCACTTTGCACCGTGGCCCGCCACAGATGAGTTTTGTCGTGCTGGTCGAGTCAGTCCTTACAGGCTTCCATGGCCGCATGGACCGGTACCGTCTGGCATCACGAGTCTGCGCGGAGGAAACCAAGGCAACGGCGGTCAGTACTACGAACCAGAAACATGCATCCAAAACCGATGGGACTGGATCCCACCTCGTGAGATTGTCGGTCTCGTCAACGAGCCATCAGTCGAGATTGATGTTGCCGACGTCAACGGCCAGCTGCAAAACCTAATCGCCAACATCGACAAGTCGCTGGTGTAAACATCCGAAGCGTGACAACGGAGGTCAAGTTCAAAGCGGCGTGAGAGAAAATAATTAGAGGGCGGTCGTCCATGTTCTTACGACAAGCCGAGCCGAATCCAAAATTGACTTTAGATCATGCTGGTAAGCATTGCGCTCGCGCAGTGAAGGTTGTAAGGCTGAATATTGTTAGCAGAGTGCACTGTACCCGATACAGCTTTACATACGGAATTCATTCATTCTTGGCATTGTTCACCGTAAAGGACCAAAATGGGATCTCAAAAATTACATAATCCATCACATGACCAAGTTTCGTCGCTAGGTTTCTTGCCCCGCCCTTCTGAAAAAAATCGAATGTGTTTTGTGCGCACTAGTTTTTGTGAGGGATCCGCAATTTTCGCTGTCCAGCGCGGAAAAGTTTCTTGTCTGTTTAATTTTCGGCCTTGCATTGTCGCTCCTCTCTTCTCTTCCCACCCCAACCATCACGACAACACCGCCCATCGACAACCAGGCGTAAGGTACGTCGAATACAGCAAGCCGCAATTGATCTCGAGGACCCGATCGAACGAAAGACGGTACCTTCCTGATCTTTCGCGCTTCGCCCCCCGTCTCTTTTCAATTGTCTCCGACAACATCCTCACAAGACGTTGTTTTTGCTGACTTTTGCTTCTTGGTTTTCCTTCTCGACAGACATTCACCATGGGTATCTCCAGAGACTCTCGCCACAAGCGCTCCGCCTCCGGCGCGAAGCGTGCCTACTACCGTGCGTCGAACCCCCGTTGATACCGTTGAAGAATTCGATAGAAGAGCAAATATACAAATATACAAGTGTTGTTTGGACGAGGATGTGATACTTTCTTTCGAAAGCCCGTATCGGACTTGGGAAAAGAAGAGGGGAGAGGCGACGACGAGGAGAGGCACATTTCTGCTGAGACGTGTCTCTTCTCGGCCGTCGTCCCTCTCCGCTACCCTTCATTTCACCGTGGACATACGTTCTGACCTTTGCCAATAGGGAAGAAGCGCGCTTTCGAGGCCGGCCGTCAGGCCGCCAACACCCGTATCGGTGCCAAGCGCATTCACACCGTCCGCACCCGTGGCGGCAACCACAAGTACCGTGCCCTGCGTCTCGACTCGGGCAACTTCGCCTGGGCCTCGGAGGGCTGCACCCGCAAGACCCGTGTCATCGGCGTCGTCTACCACCCGTCCAACAACGAGCTGGTCCGCACCAACACCCTGACCAAGTCGGCCGTCATCCAGATCGATGCCGCTCCCTTCCGTCAGTGGTACGAGGCCCACTACGGCCAGCCCCTGGGCCGCCGGCGGCAGCAGAAGCAGGGCAACCTCGAGGAGCCCGCCAAGAAGTCCAGCTCGGTCGAGAAGAAGCAGGCTGCCCGCTTCGCCGCGTCCGGCAAGGTCGACAACGCCCTCGAGCGCCAGTTCGAGGCCGGTCGCCTGTACGCTGTCGTCTCCAGCCGTCCCGGCCAGTCCGGCCGCTGCGACGGCTACATCCTCGAGGGTGAGGAGCTTGCCTTCTACCAGCGCAAGCTGCACCGGTAAATTCGGCCCGCCCGGCCAGATTTGCTTTTTGCGTTTGAGTTGATACATGGAACGATGACGTGCGGTGGTGCAAAAGAACCTACGACAACAGCCCACAAAAAAGGAGATAAAAAACCAGGCGTTTGGGGGAAACGGGGATGGGATTCCTTTGGTTATCTGCACACACAGTTGAAGTATGACCAGAGCGAACATGTCCGGACACACGAAAACTCATTGAGCAATGCAAGCGGAACAAGAGTGACGGAGGACGACCGATGGCGTCTCGAGAGGAGGCCATCCCAACCGGATGGAATATTTCCGGCTGGCACCTTTTGTTGCGGACGCTGCGGCGCCTCGTCTTCTTGTGCCCGTTGCCCTCTTTACTTTATACCGTATCGTCTCATTGGAGCAATGCAATAACCAAAAAAAATTGCACAACTACAAACGTCGTTCTTTGACTGATTTGATGTGATGTCCTTGTTTTTTTTGCCTCGCGCCGCTTTTTCTGTAGATTTGTCTGTCCAGCGCTTCAGTGACAAAACTATTTCCAGATAACTGCTTTCTTTCAACTACCCCTAGCCTTTGTCTTCCATTCTGTATTTGTTGGTTGCCTGACGGCTCGCAGAAATGACAAAGTCGCCCCCCTGTTAAAAGGAGGTTGATCCTTTGCTTGCATATATAGACTTTGGTGGACCACGCTTGCGCACACCGCATTGCCCCTGACTGCATAGACTACAAAGGCGCAATAAAAAGGACCACAGGCACACTCCCATTGGCATCCCTTTTGGTGGATGCCGTACTTTGTAGAGGCAATATGGTGCAATTTATGCTGCCCACCTTGAGGCCCGGTATCCCTACGTGCTTCTGGGATCTGAGATCTAAAATCTTCATCTCCGAATGTGTGCAATCAGCATGTTCTTGATCCGCGATGTGATATATCGTGTGTGAAAAGTAAATCCGTTGTTCCTCTGCAGATAGACACAGCACGAGTGAATCACGTGTAGTATTCTCTCTTTGTATTCCTCATTCTTACATTGGTCGCCGCTTCCACTTGGAAAGGGCTTCTTAAAGTAGAACGCGTTCCTTCCTTTGTCCTTTGCATGCCAACGCTAGACGGCGGTGCGCAGTTTTTATGCTGTAACCTCCTTCCCTGGTGGTGGTTTGTTGGCCTTTCCCTGGCTCCTTTAGTTAGGAAACGGCGACTTGGTAGTGCTGTTTCGTTGTTTCTGGTCCCGCAAAAATGCGACGGCTCCTGAAATGGGTGGGTCGCACTTGCCTGTCCTACTGTGCAAAAGGCACTTGCCTGGTCCCTTTGACAGCAAGGGGAAGGAGCACCTGGATCTCATTTTGGTGTGGGAGCAACGGCCCAAGAAAGGAAAGAAGGGCTGTGTCGCGTTTCCCCATTTCGAGAAACAGGGACGAAAGACTATTGATGATATTTTGAGGACTGCCAAAAGGCTTCAACTTGTCTTCCCCCTCCTCCTTTGCTCACGCCGCTCTTTCTACCCGCACAACATCTCTGCCTCTCCCGACCGCGTGCGAGAGCGGTAATGGTGAAATAAGTCACCCACCCAGTCTTTCTCGCTGCAGCCGACACTCGTTTCCCACGCAGCCCTCTCCCTTCTGTCGTCCATTCGACCGCCTTTTGATCATTTCCGCCGTTTTTCGTAATTCCGCTACTCTCCCTCGAATTGTCAACATACTACTACAGCAACGTTCTGCCATAGATCGTCGATCTTGACTCCCGCTTCTCCCGTCCGTCCTCCTGCCCCGATCGACACCACGCAGCCTCTATTCTCCGCCACGGCAGCCATGTCGGACCCCAAAGACGAGCTGGTGTCGCCCGTTGAGGCGCCTTCGGTTGATACGTCGCCTGATGGCTCCGACCACGAGACGGTAAGGTCACACTGCTTCGTTCCTCCCCTTCTGAACTGTTTTCGGGCATATCGTGGACTGGTGGCTGTTGTTGCAGGGGCATTACGTGTCTGCCTGCGTTCTCCCCTTCCTCGTCCTTTTTTTTTGTGTTTCCGCCACCCCCAGCGTCAATCCGACGTGACCGGCAGCATGATTTGCATTAAAACGTGCACATATAGCCCGGCAGGCCTGTCTACGCGTTTGCATGAACAAGAGCTCAAGAATTCTGTGTTCCATACGCGGCGTCGCTGGCACAACTTGTGGGACAGCCGAAGCCACCATCTCGCTTTTCGTCTTCACTGTCCAGGGCAGCGTCGTCGTTTGTCCAACGTCCTGCCCAGCCTCTGTTTGTATTGATCGCTGACGTCGTACACGGCCTTGCCCACAGGACACCTTTGAAGACGCCCAGGATACGTCTTCTGTCCGTTCCCTAACCAACCGCAAAACGTCTCTTTCCACGTCACGACTCGCAAAGTCGTCCACGTCCCCAGGCGCGGATCCTGCCAAGTCAGAGCTCGAGAAGGCCTTCCAAAAGATCCGCGGCCGCCAGAACCCACCTCCCGGCGAAGACGACAACAACGCAGCGGACGACAAAGAGCGTGGTGTTGCAAAGGCTAGTGAGAACGCGGTCGTCGAGGCTGAAGAAGACACTGCTCCTTCGCCACCTTCAGCCGTCGCACCTGCTGCTGACAGCGTAACAAACGGCCTGGCCAACGGAAATCGACGAAAGTCATCGCCCCTCCCCGATCTTGACGCCGACAACTCTGCAGAGCTTGATAACGTCAATCTTGACGACGACCACACTGCCGCCAAATCCCCTCCCGCTGTGCCCGAAAAGGACCTCTCTTCAAAGACGCTGTCTCTTAGCAGCTTCACAAGCGTCATTCCCTCCATCCCGTGGTCTCCATCCAATTCCAGCGAGACAGCCTCCAAACCGCCACCAATCTCTCCCTCCATCCCCCCGGTCGGCGCCCCGCCCCCAGCCGCGACCCGGAAACTGACCAGTCCTTTTTCGTGGCTGTCGCGAAACACCAACAAGGACGCAGCCGTTATTTCGCCGCCTCTCTCCCAAGTGTCGCCGCCCACTGTGTCCCCGCGGAGGAATACGGCTAGCTCTGTCGCCACCCTTACGAGCAATCCTGAAATGATGCTCAGCAAGCTGGAGGAGGAGTCCGATCCCCGCCGGGGGTCAGGACGCAGCAGTTTAAAAGATCGGTTCAAGATGATCCGGCAAAGAGAAGAAGCGGGCGCCGGTGGTGCTGGAACATCTTCTGAAGAGGAACGGACCGCAAACACGGCTACTGCAGAAGGTGCCGGCTCGCCAAAACTGGGCACTGTCGGCCTCGGCATTCCCGTGTCGTCATCTGGCGATGAGCACGTTCCCGCATCGCCCATGCCAGCCAGCCCCAATCCGAGCCTTGCTCCAGGGACGGTGTCTGGCGCAACGGCCGGCCCGTCGAGCAACGGCGACGCTGCTGTGGACTGGGATCTGTGGCAAGCCGTCATCTACGAAGGCCCTGCCGCGGTCGCACGCTCAAGTGCAGAAGAGCTCAACAAGGCCATTGCCACCGGCATCCCAAGCGCGATCCGTGGTGTCATTTGGCAGGTTCTTGCCCAGAGCAAGAACGGCGAGCTTGAGGCTGTCTACCAGGACATGCTTGCGCGTGGCACTGAGCGTGAGAGGGAGCGCCAGAACAGCGCACCTGCACCAGCAAAGGACACCACGTCGTCTGCTGCATCGTCGATTCACTCCGGCGACTCCGTGTCGGCCACGAGCGCCAGCAACGGCGCCGCCAGTGGTAGCGCGACTACGGCATCTATTGTGGCGGAGAAGGAGAGCGCCAGCGTCGTGGCCCAACGTAAGAAGAAGGAGAAGGACGACGCGGCGGCTCTGCAGAAGCTCGAAAAGGCGATTCGCCGGGACCTTGGTGCACGCACGAGCTACTCCAAGTTTGCCACGGCCCAGGGGCTCCAGGAAGGGCTCTTTGGCGTTTGCAAGGCCTATGCTCTGTTCGACGAGGCAGTGGGCTACGCCCAAGGCATGAACTTCCTCATCATGCCCATCCTCTTCAACATGCCCGAGGAGGAGGCGTTCTGCCTGCTGGTCCGCCTCATGAACCAGTACCACCTGCGCGACCTGTTCATCCAGGACATGCCAGGCCTCCACATGCACCTCTACCTCTTTGACCGCCTCTTGGAAGACCTGGAGCCGGCGCTGTACTGCCATCTGCACCGGCGAAGCATCTCTCCGCACCTGTACGCCACCCAGTGGTTCCTGACGCTCTTTGCCTATCGCTTCCCTCTGCAGCTGGTTCTCCGCATCTACGACCTGATTTTGTCCGAGGGCCTCTCTGCCATCCTCAAGTTTGGCATCGTCCTGATGCAGAAGAACGCGACAACCCTCTTGGGCATGTCGGACATGTCGCAGTTGACGACGTTCCTCAAGGACCGGCTCTTTGACGTGTACATTGATGCGAGCCCCAGCGCCGGCAGCATCCTCGAGAACGGCTTCTTCGGCAGCTCCTCGTCCAGCCTCGACAAGGAGGTGTACCGGGCGGACCAGTTTGTGCGCGATGCGTGCGAGGTCAAGCTCACCCCGGAGCTGATCAAGACGTATACGGCCGAGTGGGAGGAGAAGACGCGCGCCGAGAAGGAGCGCGAGGCCGAGCTCGAGAACCTGCGCACGTCCAATGCCAGTCTGACTGTCAAAGTGCGCCGGCTGGAGGAACGCATCCAGACGGTCGATCACGAGCAGGCGGCGCTGGCGACGGAGCTCGTGCACACCAAAGTGGAGAACGAAGAGCTGCGGGACGAAAACGAGAGCCTCAAGGGCCAGGTGCGCGAGCTCAAGGTGGTGATTGAGCAGCAGCCCGACGAGCTCGAGCAGGCATGGAAGGCCGAGCGCGACGATCTCATGAACCGCAACGCCAAGGTGCACGAAGAGAACCAGCGCGTCGAGAAGGAGATGGCCGAGCTGGAGGAGCAGCTGGTGCAGACGAAGATGCAGTACGCCGAGGTCAACGCGCAGCATGAGACGCTGTTGCGGAAGTGGTCAGATCTGAAGCGGCAGTTTGCGTAAGGTCGGGCATCGTTCTCTGTTTGACACTGCTGTTTGACACTGCTGTTCGACAGTATCATTGACACCCTGTCACGCGTCCCACCGTCCACGTTGTCCAGTCCGTCTTCTTCTTCCATTCTGCATTATCATGGACCCGGCGTTTACACGGCTTTTGCGGGTCCTGGAACGCTTCGCCTCGCCACCGCCGTAGCAGCAAACAAAATACAAAACAGCACTGCCCGTGTTTGACACATTGGCCTCCCTTTCTTCTTCTCTTTCTCTGTGTCTATTCTACACTTTAAGTTCTGGCAACGCATCCACTTCGTGACAGGAAACCATTATACTTGCTTGCCGTGCATTTCTTGGTGTCGACGGTTTCTTGGGCTTATGAACCGTCATTTTCGAGGCCTTTTATTTTTTGTCGGTCTTTTTTGGTCTTTTTCTGCATTTTCTTTTTCTCTTCGTTTTTCCTGACGGTGATTTTCTTATCGTCGTTTGTGACGGAGACACGACTGTTATGTTTTCTTTTTGTACTTGTACCACAGAGGAAGAAAAAACAACGGGAATTGAAGACAACGTTGGCATGAACCCCCTTTTTGAAAGGTCTACCAAATCACATTTTCAGCTCAGACCGAAAACGACTACATGATATTGGTATTACAGAGTTGGTCTTTTTGGTCTATTTTGGGTTCGAAGATGACAGGGGGCAACTCCTCACTTTCCCCACATCCGTTATCTTGGCTGCTGAGCACAAGGTCTTGATAACAACTCACAAACACGATCGGGTGGCTCCGACGGCCGGCGAGAAACCATCATGCAAAATGTAGTTTCTTGCTGCTCGAATGCAAGATGAAGATCCAGAACGTCATATTTCCACAGCCAGACGGCAGTCCCGAGCCGTTGTCGTCGAGACTATGGGACATCGACCTTGTTGACGGTGTTGTCGAATCGATTCAGCCGGCCGGTCGCCCGGTCGATGCGACCGATACAGATGTCACCAAAGACAACGTCGCCAGCCACCTTCTGTTGCCAACACTCTGCCACCCGCACCTGCATCTCGACAAGGCCTATTTATTGACCTCGGGCTGCTGTGGCGCCGATGACGACTCCGACGGTGTCGATCACCCCGACTACTCGGACCTCCTCCCGCAGACGGGCTCGTTTGCCGAAGCCCTCGCGACTACACGCGTGGCCAAGACACGCTTTACAGCCGCCGACCTGCGCCGTCGCGGGCTGCAGCTGCTGGCCACAAGCTTTGCACAGGGCGTGACCGATGCGCGTGTCTTTGTCGAAGTGGATGCGCAAGCGGCCGGCCGCGGCACGGTAGCGGTGGTCGTGACGCGTGACCTGCAGCAGCTGTTCCGGGGCCAACTCGCAGTGCAGGTGTGCGCGTTTGCGCAAGAGGTGCTCTTCACGGGCGCGGCGGGCGCGGCGAACCGGGCGGCCATGGAGGATGTCCTCGCAGCCGACCACAGGAACGGTGCAGCGTCTTTAGCGTCTTCGGCGTCTTCAGCGTCAGAACCGACGCAGACGATTGCCGTCCTGGGTGCCACACCGTACGTCGAGGCAACGCGCGCCCAGTCGCTGCAAAACATCGACTGGGCCGTCGCCACAGCGCTGCAGTACGGCCTGCATCTGGACCTGCACTTGGACTACAACCTGACGGAGTACACAGGCGACGGCAGCCGCGAGGACGCCGCCAACGAGCCCCTCATTTTCGCCTTGCTCGAGGCCCTCATTCGACACAAGTGGACAGAGAGGGCGCGGCACACAGGAACCGGGGGACGTGGCAGCAAGACGCAAACGACCACGCGAACGGTCGTTGTCGGCCACATGACACAGCTCACCTGTCTGCCGCCGGCGCAGCTCACACGACTGGCCGCCATCATCCGGGACAGCCGACTGCCCGTCTATTTTGTCGGCCTGCCGACGAGCGACCTCTACATGATGGGCCGGCCGCCGCCCGGGCCCGCCGCAGCAGCGTCGACTGCGCCGCACACCATCCCCCGCGGCACGCTTCCCATCCCGGCCCTGATCCGCGACTACGGCTTGCAGGCCTGCCTCGGCGTCAACAACGTGGGCAACGCCTTCACACCGCACGGCACAGGCGACCCGCTGCAGCTGGCCTGCTGGGGCGTCGGGCTCTACCACGCCGGCACCGGTCCGGACGCGCACCTGCTCTACGGCGCGGTCAGCTGGCGCGCACGCGCGGCCATCGGCATAGAGGCGGGCGACACACTGGTGGATTGAGAGAAGTGCAGCCGACACCCAAACGACTGGCTGGGCAAGCGCATCGGCCCGGTCTTGGCCATGGTCAATCCGCGGTATATACCGTTTTCGCCACAGACAACGGGGCTGTCGGCGACCGCAGCAGCGGTGCTCCATCGCATCCCGTCGCGGCCGCGGCTCGGCTTCCGGGATGTCGTCTGGGACCCTCCCGACGTCTCGCTCCGAAAAGTGGTGTGATCTTATGTATTTTCCGAATACCCGCATGGGGCTGTGCAAGCGTTTTAATGCGACGAACGCGTATCCGTACATTCTGTGGTGGCTGGAGATCGACAGGTCGTCTTCAGCCGCATAAGGCAGCTGCTGGCCATAGAGCGTCTACTCGCACTTGATTCGCAGAGTTTCTTTGGCACGTTCATGCCACAAGTTGTCGTTCAAACATCCTGTCCAAGGTCACCAACATGCGCTCAGGTTGATGGCAAACAAACACGTCATATGTGGTTGCTAAACAAGCAAGAGGTAGTCCATCCCCTCCCCCCCCCGATTTAGCTTCCAGGTCGGATTAAACAACGAAATAATAGATGCAAAAGCGTACAATAATATGCTGTAAATCATATCTCCATGTCTTCCATATTCTCCTTCTTTTGATGCAATCAAAAACTATTCAACAATATTTTGGATCCTGAACTTCCCGCGTGTTTCCGTTTTGAATACAATTGTGTGCCAATGTAGCTTCCGATCCCGGTCCAAGACATAAAACAAAACCCCAAAACAAGAGAAAAGAGAAAAAGAAGAAAACGAAGAATAGAAATGCAGACCGAACGCAGAAAGCTATGAACAACGCCCTGGCTATGCGAAAATGAATGTATACGCTGGCATCATCGTGTGCCGCGTGAGATATATGCGCCGAAGAAAAGACAAGACGCATATGAAGATAAGAAGAGAAAAGGGCGAACCCCAAGAACAAAAAACATAAAAAGACATTAAGGAACCTGGCCTATAAACCTCGTAGAAATCAGGACAATCAACAGATAACCAATATCCAAGATACATGGAGAGTTTTAAAAAATATGAGATGATAAGCCAAAAGACAGAGTTTGACGTCGTTGTGCGGGAGAGGAATGAGAGCTGAGACAGTACAAGGACCAGAAAGTTGGCGAGCTGCTCGCTTTAGAAAGCAACTTTGTTGCCGTTGTTAAGGCGGAAAGGTAGAGGTCCCAGGGGGCCAGGGCTGAGCATGGAGGACGGAGTCATGCTGCCGTCGGGATGGCCTGAGAGAGTGCTATTGATGGAGTTGAGCCCCGACGAGCCGGACGTAGATGAAAATGTGCCCGTTCGCGACATGGAGATGCCTCCCGAGGAAATGAGGGTATCGGCTCGTTCAAAGAGGTTGCCGGAGAAGACCTTGTTAAAGGACGCACTCTGAGGTGTGGACGGGACAGTTGCCTGCACGGCAGGGCCGAGAGCGGCACTTTGCGGCGTCATGGGTAGCTGGACGCCCAGTTTTCCATCGGCACCGCCGCTGAGGACGCTACTGCCGCCGCTCAGGGGGCTGGTCGTGTTGGCCAGCATGTTCGACTGCCTCAGAGTGTAGGCCCAAGGCGACCGCAGAATGAGTCGTGTCGTATCCTTGATGCACTGGTGCAGTGGGCGAAGACGCGCTCGGGTGTCGACGGGAAGCTGGATGGCGGTCTTGTCGTTGCGGACCATATCGGCAAAGCTGTACCACGCATCAAAGAAGTTCACACACAGGCTCCAGAACGCATCCTGCCAACGGACGCCGGGCTCCTTCAACTTGATGCTCGACAACCGGCTCTTGAGCGTCTCGGTCTGCTGAATGGCCGTCGCGCAGCGGCCGAGGAGAATACGCCAGTCGCGCGTGACCTGTTCGGGGGCTCGCTGCGTCATCGCGGCCCGTAGCGAAGACGCATACTGGCTGTTCAAGCCCGGAAGTAGCCGTAGTGCGACATCGCTGGACTTTTGCAACGCCAGGTAGATCTTCTCGAACATGCGGTCTTCTTCCGTGAAGTCAGCTGTCGGTGCACCGCGGCTGCTCGTCGACGCAAAGGACTCGCCCGACCGGGGCGTGGCAGATGTAATGGTCGCAGTTCGGCCGGTGCCGTTGATGAAGGGTACGAGACCGGGCATCGGAACGTCGGTTGCCACGCGCAAGTTGCTCGGGTTGTGTGAGACGCTACCGCCTCGCACTCCGCGCACAGTGGCGAGGCCCGGGCGTTCTGCAGTTGGCGTAGACATCACCGAAGTGTCGCGGGAGTGGGGTAGCGATGGCGGCATGAGAGGCTTGATCGTGTCTCCCACGGAAATCACATTCTCGGATTGTGAGGCACGGCTGGACGACGGGCCGGAAGCCGACTTGCGGTATCCCTGCGTCGTGATGGTGCCGGCCGAGGCAACGCGAAGCTCCATGATGCTGTGGTACAGCTGCAACAGCAGCGTACGCATGTATCGGGGGTCACCATTGTCGAGGAACAAATCCACATTGACTTTCAAAAGCGAGCAGATGTGGTCGTAGGCGTGCAAAAGCGTGACGCATGCACTATGCACAATCTCATTTTCCAGATTGTTCTCGCCTGTATCAACGGCAAGCTCGTAGCGCTGGATCTCACGCTCGAGCTGCTGCACGTGCGAGTTTGTGTTGTACACGACAATCTCGAGGCTGGACCGACGCGTTGTTCCGTCGTTGGCGAGACTCATAAGCATCTGGATCATGGGGTGGATCTGGAAAACCGAGTAGAGCACGCCTTTGGCAGCCTCGACAACAGGATCACAGAACTTGGACTCCCGGCGCCGCTCCGGAAGAATTGAGAGACGGCGGACATAGATCGGACGTTGCATGGCAATTTCTGACATGGGGCTTGCCGGGCTCTTTGTGTCAGAAATGGCAGCCGCGGTACTTACAGGGTTGCCTGTCATGGCAGATCCATGGCTAAGACCGCGGTAGTGACTAAAGCGGTTGTTGGCTTCCGTCTCGTCGAGTGTGCCAAGCTCTTGGGCCTTCTTTGATACGATGCCCATCCGCCGGGACCGTTCACCCGGACGCTCGCTACCAGACCGATCGCCACGAGGTGCCGGAAGCAAGGTCGTTTCGCTGTTGCTGCGAACACGCTCATTTACGCTTCCGATCGTTAACGGCATGACACCAGGGCGTCGAACAGCCGTGTTCTGCTGAGACAGTCCCCGGTAATGCGAGCGTGTCGGGATGGGCGGCGGTCGGGCCATGTTGGGTGAGCGAAGGTCGCCAACTTCGGCACCATTGACCTTGATTGGGAACCGTCCACTTGTGACACGCTTGGCTGGGAGAAGGCGGGGCGGGTCAAGCGGGTCGGACGAGTCGTCCGTCGGCGTATCAGACAAACCGCCCATAGAATATGAGCCACCGCTGGGCGTGGTGCCGTTGCCAGATCCTCCACTGGACGAAGGACCGGAGGCTGGTCCATTGGCCTGGGCGGTGCTAGTGACATAGGAGACAGCTGTAGCCGCAGCTTCGGAACGCCCATTGAGCATGGCCTGCTTCAAGAACTTCTTCACGTGGGAGGTAACGGTGACCTCGGTGACCTCACTCTCCTTGAGATAGCCTTCATTGGGCGGGCTGCTGGCCTGGACTTGAAACACTTCGGGGGGCGGGAAGCGAATGGGGTTACCGTCGAGCTTGAGCATCTGCAGCGACGCCATGTCGGCTAGGCACAGGGGCAGTTCCTCAATGCGATTTTTCTGGACAGCAAAGACCTTGAGCGAGGTCAATTTGATAATTTCGGGCGGTAGGACGCGGAGCTTATTGCGGCCCAAATCGAGAATTTCGAGGGATCGGAGGTCGCACAGCTGTGGGCACGACATTAGCCACTGCATGCAGAGAGAGGTACGATCGAGGCGAGGAAGCATATAGAGCATAAGGAGCATGAGGGGGACAAAGAGGGGGCAGAGGAGACGCGGCAGGGTACTCACAGGTAGTGGGAACTCTCGAATGTCGTTATTGCGAACATTGAGATACCGCAGCGAAGAGCACTCGGCGAACCGTGCAGGGAAACCCGTCAGTTTGTTGTGAGACAACGCAAGCCTGCAGAATAAGGGTCAGTTTAGTTTAACAGTCTTGCATACAATGTCCCTTTACTCGTGGCCAAGTCGTCTCGAACGATCATGATGGTGTGATCCGCTGGTGTGGCGGTCACACCAAGTACAAGTCCAGCTTACCGTTCCAGCTTGTTCATGATGATGTCGACGACCTCGTCAGGCAGCCGCTGTATATTCTTGCGGCTTAAGTCGATGGTGAGACCCGGCTTGAGCTCATTGTTGATGTCGGCGCTGTCACCCGCCTGCTGATCGGTATGCCGCAATGCGTCCTTCATCGCCTCGCGTGCCAGCGCGATGACCTGGCTCGCGGCGATCGGTGCGGATGCAGTCAGCGAGCCAGCACCGCGTGCGGACGGCATTGGCGGTGGTGGCGGCGGTGGTGGCGGCGGCGGTGGTGGTATCGGGATGCTCGCAAGGTTGACATTGCCACCAGCGGCGGCGGCAATATTGGCTGGTAGGGGGGGGATCGGGATGTTGCTGCCGCTGGAACCGGGCAAGCGGCGGTTCTGTGCTGGGTTTTCGGGCAGTCCGCGACCGGTTGATTGTGTGCCAGCGCCGAGAGGAAGCCCTGGCCGGTCAGAGCGATCTGGCCGGTCCATGGCTGCGTATGCTGTCGAAGAGAGTAGGCGGAAGGATGACGGGTAAGGAGGTCGACCCTAGGAGGAGGACACCTGTGCGGAAAGCTGCAGCTCGTCGGTCGGCAAGTCGTCGAAAGCACGAGGTCGGACGTTCGTATTTGGAGGGTATATCGATGAGAAGGTCGGCGATTGTAAGGGCAGAACAAAGTGACCGAAGGTCGTAGCTCCTCCTTCTCAAAGGGGGCCTCTTCGATGATGACTATGCCCCTATTTCGTAGATGCAGCCAATACCAGACAGACTGCTGCACCTCTTCTGGTGCTGAACGGCGATCTGGCGTCCCGTTCAATGACCTGGCTGTGTTCAAAGGCAAAGGGCAGCGAGAAGAAGAGAAGAGGCTTGTCTAAGCCTGCAGGCGACTAATGAGGCCCATTCGCGACAAAAGCTGGACTAAGAGACGCATGCGAGTGGATGTTTTTTTTGTCGATAGTCGGGCGGTGAGTGTGGGATGGCGTAGGGGAGGGGAGAATGAGGGAAAATGAGGGTGATGCAAGAGGAGAAACGCAGCGATGGGCGATCGGAAAAGAGAAAATGAGAACAAAGGGGGAAGGGTTAAAGTGCAGAATGAAGGTTGTAGAACGAGGCAGAGGACACCAACAGACGAACAAGGGACGGATATTAAGAGGGCACCACTGCCAAACAGCAAAGCCTGGTCCGGGAAGGAAGGTGTGCTGCTGAAAAAAAGGACAGAAGGTGCAACGGCAATAATCCAGACCGCTGAAGATTTACCGGCAGGAGGGAGGTGGCCTGGGTGGAAGGGGCAGGAAAGGGATCACAGTGTAGAAAGAGCAGAGCCGGCGCGTGTCAGCCCAAACAGCAAGTAAAGCAACGGCGACCGTTTAGAGAGCACGTAAAAACGTCTAGTGCAGAAGGAGCGAGTTCGCTTATGACAGAATACACCAACAACCTGTCGCAAATGGGGCCAGCGCGAAGGCTCTAAAGGAAGGAACGCAAGAGTGGAAAGCGAAAATGCGACCAAAACGGCAGGCAGGCGACGTTTGGGTAGCGTGCTCCCAATCGCAAAAACGCCCCTGGAAAGGGGCGGGGTGGAGAAAAAAGGAGTTGATGGGTAGGCTGAGAGACAAGAGACAGGGGATAACCGGCCCCAACAGCGATGGACAGGCGGCAGAGCTCGCAGGACACTGCATTGGGCTGTTTAGGGTGACGATTTTCGCGCTAGTGCACGTTCTGGCCCATGACGCTGGGAAGGCACGAAGGACAGGACAGGGCAGGACAGGAGTCGACGCGCTCGTGGTCGGTGCAATAGCAGTGCGAACCTGACGGAAGCTCCTTCCCCAGTTTTCTCCATTGTGTTTTCACGTCTTGGCGTCCCTTGGGCCTTTCCGGGCCCCTTAGAGCCTGCATTATAAGGAGTAAGTACAGTGTATCCATCTAGTGTCCTGCAGGTACAAACGCGCCGCGCCGCTGGCCTGCAACCTCTACACGCCCTGTATCACGCCGTATTACGCGGTATTACTTCGTAGTCAGTCTCGGGGGCATTCGAAGTGGTGTGAAGGTGTGTGGCTGTGGGTGTCTGGGAATGTGGTTAAAGTGAGCGCTCAGTAGGTGAAGAAAGGCGGGGCTCTCTTGCTGCAGCGCGGAGCGTTTTCTGAAACGTGAAACTTTAGAGTGGTCCGATGTGGCACACTCTGCGTGGACGTGCCCCTATGACTAGCACGCTGCGCATGCAAACTCTCCTCCGCTCCTTCCTGGACGTTAACGTGATTCATGCAAGGTAAGAACATGGTGAGGAAAGAGGCGCTGTCGGCCTCTTATTTAAACGGAGAAGGAGCGAACGAACACACTGAGGGCTGTGTGAACAAGGCTGGCTCGGCCACTGGCTGTTTACGTCGTACATCGTCGATTCGAGTGGTGATATTTTGTTTGGCACGGCGCACGTTTCCTCGTCGTATCGACGTCCCCAGGCCACAAACGCGTGGGTGGGCGGGGACCAGGCTTCCTTTGTTGTACGCGAAAATGCGACACTGCGGCCCCGCCGGGTTTCGCTACAGCGCGCGTGAAACAGATGGGAGGGCTCGTAATTTGCAAGCTCTTTCGCTTCGTCTTTCGCTTGTTGACTTTGCCTCTCGCTTGGCCGTGGCGATAACGGCTGCATCCGGGGTTGGGATACAGAACAATTGCGTTGACGCCTCATCACTGAAATCAATACCGCCATCCAAAATGTATGCACGCGAGCGTCGCTGTTGAGAAAGAACAGCCATGAATGGAATGGCAGCCACGTCTCTCACGGGTGCGGTTTCCCGTTTCAGAATATTCCGAATGCAGACAATGCGCAGGAGCGGCCGGCTGCCAACGGACAAAGCACCATCCCGCAAACTTGCTTTTGCTTTTAGTTGTAGCAGCTGCTCTTTCCTCCTTCGATTGCTCGTATTATAAGCAAAGCAACTCGGAGAGAAAAGGGAAAGTACGATGTAAGGCTACGTTCATAGATGAACGCAGTTGCCAGATTAGGAACCTGATATTATCAATGCGATAAACATGTGGAATCCGCAGTGATCATCTCAGGTATCGAAACTTGCTAAATTAGGAAACAGCGTGATCGTGCGTCCCTGTTTCCTCCCATGATCAAAATAAAGTCGAAACATTTTAGTTTGTCTCCCTAAAAACGACAAGAAACGTCAAACATCCCAAGCAGGGTTCTCGGCGAAACATGAACCAACGAGCCACGTCCAACCAGCAACAAACCCCGGCTCGTCCTGCAACCCAGGCTCCAGGCTCCCATGCCTCCTTATCATGTCACCCCCACTGCGTCGCATCAGCCCGTTTGTCGATATTGACTTTGCTCTGCGGAGCCAGTTCAACAAGACGTCCTTCCGGTATGTATGACCGCCCCGTACTTTGTTACCTTGTAGCATGTGCTACCATGGACATGCCGCTCGGGCGGATCGTATCCGTCCGTATCGTCGTACGACGGCTGCCAACTAACACGCCTACGCTAGCCCGCCGCAGCGCGAGATCATCGTTGCCGCCCTCGAAGGGTACGATGTGGTCGTGCAAGCGGCCACCGGCTTCGGCAAAAGCCTCTGTTTCCAGCTGCCGGCCGTGATCAACAGCGGAGGTGAGATGGGGACGGCCGGTGGGTCATCGTGCATACCGGCATACTGACATTGACCTGACAAGTCACCATTGTCGTCTCGCCATTATTGAGTTTAATGGTGCGTTGCATCTTCGTCATTTGTGTTTACTGGTGGTATCGTGCCGTGGCAACAGGACCACTAACACAAGCAAACCACTGCCGGCAGACCAACCAGGTGGAGGCTCTTCGTGCTGCGCGGATCGATGCACGCACACTCAACGGCTGCACCTCGCCAGCGGACAAGGCCGACATCTACCGCGACCTGGGCTCGGCGCACCCACGCACCCGTCTGCTGTATGTCACGCCCGAGCTGTGCTCCAGCAGCAGGTTCCGCCGGCACATGCAGCTCGTGCACCGGCAGTGTGAGCTGGCCCGTGTGGTGATTGACGAGGCACACTGCATTTCGGAATGGGGCCACGACTTCCGGCGCGATTTTGCGCAGCTGGGCTGGTTCCGCGCATCCTTTCCCAACGTGCCCATCATGTGCCTGACGGCGACGGCCAACGAGCCAGTCTTGCGGGACATTCTCGACACTGTCCGTCTTTCCCGGCGCGATGCGCCCCAGGGCCCCCGCTTGAAAATGGTCCGGCTGTCGCCGTTCCGGCCCAATCTTCACTTGGCCGTGCGGTTCCTCGCCAGCAATGACGATGGCGACCAACACCGATTCGCAGACTTTGCCACGTGGTACAAGGACGCGCAAAAGAACGAGCTGGCGCGGCATCAAAGGCGAAAACGAGGCCGGCTGCTTGTGCGAGCGGCAGGCACAGCCAGAGAGCCGCCGGCCACCGTGGTCGTATCGGGCATCATTTACACGTTGTCCAGAAACGAATGCGAGCTGCTCGCGATGGCTCTGCAAAACGAAGGCATCGGGGCCCGGCCGTTTCATGCACAGCTGTCGCGGGACGCCAAGAAAGAGACAATGGCACGCTGGCTGAGCGACGACCCGGACTGGGCGGTCATTGTCGCAACAACGGCGTTCGGGATGGGCGTCGACAAGCCGACGGTTCGCTTTGTTGTGCACTGGCGACTCCCCAAGTCGTTTGAGGGCTACTGCCAGGAGATTGGGCGTGCTGGTCGCGACGGCCTGCCGGCCAGCTGCATCCTCTACTACAGCCGGGGCGACGGCGAGCGCATCTCCAGTTTTGTGGCTCGAAGCGGCACACGAGCGACGGCCAGCAAGCACCACGCCGCCCGGCGAGCGAGCTTGAAGCGGTTGGTCGAGTACTGCGAGGATACCGACGGGTGCCGCCATGCAGCCGTGTGTGCGTACTTTGGTTTTGCGCATGGGGCGGCATGCCGTTATGCCTGCGACTGGCATACCGATGCCAAGTCTCTCAAAGCGCAAAAGAGAAAGCAGCTGGGTGAGGAGGCGTGGGCGTCGGGCGCAGTGTTTAGCCAGGCAGACGAATGCGACGATATTGACGGTTGAAAGTTTGAAGTGGTGTCGCAATGTTACGAAGTGCTCCTTGTCATCCTGCCAGTTGCTTCACAGCCAGCAACGCCTCTGCTCCCTTTTCTCGGAGAGTGGTCTTGTTGGCCTCCCACTCGAGCCAAATGAGTCCTTGGGCCACACAGTCGGCCAGGTCGTCAATCTTGCTGAGTGCTGGTTGTTCGGTGGACGTAGGCGTAGGCGGGGGCTTTGGTGTGTCGTCTTCCGTCTTGCTCGACGCGTCTTTGGATCGGCCCCGGCCACGGCTCTGCTTTGCATTCCACCGTACAAGGTACGCATCAACCATGCCACCAATGCTCTTGTCGTATGCGAGAGTAGGACCTGGTGTGCGCAGTAGGCCGGCCACGAAGGCTTCCTTAACATGCTTGATGTCTTTCTCCTTGGTCCTTGTCGTGGATGGTGGCGGCGGCGAGATGCTGCTGCCGCCCATGCCGCCCTGTAAGAGAAACCGCGATGCTCGCTGTGGGCTGACGGCCTGCACAGCCTGGACCGTGTTTTCAACCGTCGACCGCCGCCCCAGCTGCCGGTACGCAAAGATGCCGTGCAGCATCGCCTCCAGCGAGTTCACCCGCACCGTCCACTCGAGCACGGCCGCCGCGCCGCCCGACCGGAACCGCTGGCGCTCAATGAGCACGTGCGTCGGCGACAAGGGCAGCAGCCGGTCGCGCACGAGGCGCGCGGCCGCAGCGGCCAGAACGGGCGGGGAAAAGGCAGAGGTGCTTGCGACAGTCGTGCTGTCTCCCGCTGCCGTGTTGGCGCCAGCGCCAGCCAGGGACAGACGCTCCCATGCCACGAGCGTAGGCCAGGCACGGTGGTCTTGGCCAGGCACCGGCGCCGCGACCTGCAGCAGACAATACGCGAGGTTGCGCACGCCCATGTCCATGGAGAGGATGCGGCGGGGCTGCGGCGGTGCTGTCTCTCCTTTCTGTGCCGGCATCGCTTCGTGTATCGCGGCTTCCAGGTCGGCGCGCAAGACCGCGCGTGTTCCGGACGAGTTGCGGCCGCACAGAACGGCCAGGTCGCGGAGCGCCGCCAGGCTGAGCGGTGGCAGGCGCGGGTCTTGGGCGGCTGTGTCATCGTGCGGCGCTGTGGTCGGCTTGACCTTCTTCGTGGGCGCACGCTTCTCCTTGGCCTTGGCTGTCGTTACGAAGCAGTGCCTTGCAGACGGTGGCGGAGCGATGCACGAACATCGCGTCACGGCCAACGACGCGTCGCGACGGGCGCAAATTGGCGGAAACAGCGCCTGCATCGGCCTGCTGCCCCGGCGTAACGAAGCCATGAGCTATAGCGTGTTGGGTGGCAGGCAACGATGGCGGTCTTTCTCGCAGCCAGGTATGAGTTATGATGTGTTGGTTTGTTTAGTTTCATGTTGGCGAGCTAGTCCTTGGCAGAAGGCAGATCCGACCAGCAAACACCGAATTGTGCTTCACTTTTGTTCGAAAAACCAACAGGATATGAATAACACGGGCTAAGCATATGACAACATATGAATATTCACTTCTATATTGACTTTTTATTTTGCTTATTGAATTGGAGTGCAATTATGGTATTTTCGTTGTCTTTTTTTTAAAAAAAATAAATAAATAAATAAATAAATAAGAATATCCACAAATAACGAAAAAGAGATCGTATAATATGACCACCAAAATTACAAAATATAGAACAAAATAAACACAGTTATACAGAATCTGAAGTAAATATTAATAAAGCTCTTTAAATCAAGTTCAAATAAATAGAAGAACACCATTGCTTTCTGCATCGGCCTCTGGATAGATCCCGTCCAAACGTCACCCGATGATCGCGATGGGTACAGGACTCGGCTGGTATATCGAGATCGACCATTCCAAATACCATGCAGTGGCCTCGCGATGTTCACGTTGTTGTATCGACACTGCACTGCTGTACCTCGACTTGACGTCACATTAGAAAGGCTCCAAATAGCCCCAGATAGGCTTTCACAGGCACTTTAGTGTCTCGGCGTTACCGCAGTCAATGCAGCGGGATCGGGCAGATGACAAAGCCATTCGGTTGAGTTCGGCGAGCGGCGCCGGCGCAGAAAAGAACTCGACCAGAGAGGAGGGCGTTGCGTATTTGAAATTTCTGGCACACACTCGCCAATTGACAACTACAGGGCGTCGGCAGAGAGAAGATTCATTCCAAATCAGTTGACTGAGGCGGCTGCACTCCAAGTAGTACTGCGTCGGTCGTTCCTTCCAGCTTGCCAATCGCCCACGGGCGTAGCTTCCTTGGCCTTCGATTTGGCTTCGGCGTGTCGTTTTGCTCGTTCCCGCCTTCCAGATTAGAAATACAAGCGCCAACTGGCGCAACACGAGCTCGCACGTATAAAGCCCCAGCTAAGGCGACCCCACCATCGCAGATGTCGTCAGCGTCCGTTTGCGCAGCGCGACGCTTTTATAAGTTCGGCTCCGGCACCCGCATAAGCATAAGCAGCACCAGCAGCACCAGCAGCAGCGCAAAGCAATTGTTTACGACCAGCCGGCGACCTTTTGCTTTGTTTTCGTCCACGTCGCCTTCTCCCTCCACTGTCGTGACCACCCGCATGCGGCCCTTTGCGTCGCTGGCTCGAGCTTCAACATCTCGCTCGCTTTTGTCCTCACCCCCGTCCTCTCGCCTCGCCTCCCTCTCCCGGCAGCTCTCCTCGTCTGCCCGCACCATGGCGCCCATCTCCAAGGAGACCGACTTCCTGGTCATTGGCGGCGGCAGCGGCGGCCTCGCGTCGGCGCGCATGGCCAGCAGCAAGTTCGGCGTCAAGGCCACCGTCATCGAGGGCGCCCGCCTCGGCGGCACGTGCGTCAACGTCGGCTGCGTGCCCAAGAAGGTGACGTTCAACGCGGCCGCCATTGCCGAGGCGCTGCACGAGGCCAAGGCGTACGGGTTTTCGGTCGCCGAGACCAAGCCCTTTGACTGGCCGACGTTCAAGGCCAAGCGCGACGCCTACGTCAAGCGCCTCAACGGCATCTACGAGCGCAACCTCGGCAACGACAAGGTCGAGTACGTGCGCGGCTGGGCGCGGCTGACGGGCCGCAACGAGGTGACGGTGGCGCTCGACGAGGCCGACGAGGCCGGCAACAAGGAGGTGACGATCCGCGCCAAGAAGATTCTGGTGGCCGTCGGCGGCCGCCCGTCGGATCCGCCGGCGATCCCCGGCGCCGAGCACGGCACCAACTCGGACGGCTTCTTTGAGATTGCCACGCAGCCCAAGAAGGTCGCCATCGTGGGCGCCGGCTACATTGCCGTCGAGTTTGCCGGCATGTTCAACGCCCTGGGCACCGAGACGCACCTCTACATCCGCGGCAAGACCTTTCTGCGCACCTTTGACCCGCTCATCCAGGAGACCGTGACGGACAACTACGCCAAGCTCGGCGTGCACGTGCACCGCGAGACGCAGCTGACGCGCGTCGACAAGGACGCCGCCACGGGCAAGCTGACGCTGACCTACGGCGACGGCCAGACGCTGGCCGACGTCGACCACCTGATCTGGGCCATTGGCCGCACGCCGCTGACCAAGGACATTGGCCTCGAGGAGCACGGCGTCCAGCTCGCCGACAAGGGCTTCATCAAGGTCGACGCGTTCCAGAACACGACTGCCGAGCACATCTACGCCCTCGGCGACGTCACCGGCCCCGTCGAGCTGACCCCCGTCGCCATTGCCGCCGGCCGCAAGCTCGCGCACCGCCTCTTTGGCGGGCCGGAGTTTGCCACCCTGCACCAGGACTACACAAACATTCCCAGCGTCGTGTTTGCGCACCCCGAGGTCGGCTCCATTGGCCTGACGGAGCCCCAGGCCGTCGACAAGTTTGGCAAGGACAACGTCAAGGTCTACAAGACCAACTTTACCGCCATGTACTACGCCATGATGGACGCCGACGAGAAGCGCCCGACAGCCTACAAGCTGGTCACGACCGGCAAGGACGAGAAGGTCGTCGGCCTGCACATTGCCGGCCTCGGCAGCGGCGAGATGCTGCAGGGTTTCGGCGTGGCCATCCGGATGGGCGCCACCAAGAAGGACTTTGACAACGTCGTGGCCATCCACCCGACGAGCGCCGAGGAGCTGGTGACGTTGAAATAGGGTGAGTTTTAAGGGGGTGATGGGTTGCATGAATCTACGAGAAGTATAAAGTAGCAGCAATAGAAACAAATATAAAAAAGATATACAATGCGACATTTGACAGGTGAGATTTGAGATGTGAGCTGAGACGCCTAACGAGCGCTATAATTTAGTGGATGTTCCGGAACATAGCTCGCTGGCAGCTTACCAGAGGACATCACATGAAGTTGAGCTGGCTCATCTCGACCACAATCGGTATTTTGGGGTTTCAATTTGCATCTTAATTACTCATGACAATTGTTGAGAACGTACAATACTTTTTCAGAATCAGAACACGCTTTATTTTGACATTGGAGCTCACTTGCTGAGGCGCTGTTGTCATGCGCCCCGCTATGCAATTACACAGCATGCAGCTTAGTGGCTGACACGCTGTTTCCACTTTCAGCGATCCATCGCGACTGCCGACCTGTCGACCTCTGGCTTCATTCTTCCACGACGACATACAAACATACAAAAACAATACAAGCACGACACACACCCGGTCGGCCCTCGCTGGCGATGGTCTGATTTGACGAAACGACGGCGACGACAACGACAATCTCATCCATCCGCCCTCCCCCCTCCACTCCCCGCACCCGCGTCACCATGGACGCGCCGCTCGTGAAGCTCGCAGACTTGCTGCGGCATCCCGACGACCTCGACAAGATCGCGACGCTCAAGCTCGACTTTGCGCGGAAGAAGGCGGCCGTCGACGGCCAGCTGCGGGCGGGGCTGCGCGACCAGCTGGAGACGACACAGAGCGGCATGACGGGGCTGTCGGACGGCCAGAAGGCGGTGCAGCAGATCAAGGACGAGATGATGCAGATCGACAAGCTGTGCTCGGAGAGCCAGAACATGATCAAGGACTTTGCCACCATCAACCAGGTGTCGCAGGCGCACCGCAACTTTGGCGCCGTCGAGGCGATGCGGCGCAACCTCGAGACCTTCAACGACCGCCTCAGCGTCGTCGAGCAGATGCTGCGGGCCGACGACGCCGACCAGGAGAACATGCCCAACCTGCTGCCCATCCACTACGAGCTGACGCAGCTGCGCAACATCCGCGACGACGCCATGGAGCAGATCCAGCGCGCCGACGACACGAGCCTGCAGTCGACGCTCGAGGACTACTTTGAGCGCCTGGACGGCGCCATCGACTGGTTCGACGAGCACGTCGGGCTCGTGGCCACGAGCCTCATCACGCTGGTGACGGCCGAGAACAACAGCCTGGTCGTGCGCTTTGCGCTGGTGATTGAGGCCGAGGAGAAGAGCGACCAGCGCGTGCAGGCCCTGCAGGACGCCATGCGCGACCACAAGGAGATTGCCTCGCGCTTCCAGGGCATCACGGACGGGGCCAAGACGGTGCGCGGCTACAAGGGCAAGTTTTTGCAGGCCATCGAGGCGTACGCCGAGGCCCAGTTCGCGCAGACGCGCGAGGCCTTCCTCGACGACCCGTCGCGCCTCGAAAAGGAGCTGCGCTGGTACTTTAACGACCTCAACGCCGTGCGCCTCGGCATGGTGCCGCTGATGCCCAAGAAGTGGAACATTATGCGCACGTACACGCAAATCTACCACAGGATGATGCACGACTTCTTGGTCGCCCTCGTCGACGACCCGGACACGAGCTCCGCGCACACGCTCGAAATCATCAGCTGGCCCGAAAAGTACTACAAGAAGATGGCCAAGCTCGGCTTCCCGCAGGACGACGCCGCGCTGGCGCCGCACGTGCTCGACAACCGCGAGGCCGAGCTCGTGCGCGAGTTCCGCCAGCTCATCATCAAGTTCCTCGACGAGTGGATCGACCGCATCGGCAAGCAGGAGCGCAAGGACTTTGCCGAGCGCGCCGCCGTCGAGGGCGCCAACCTGGACCAGGACGAGTACGGCTACTTCCGCACGCGCAACCTCGTCGACCTGTGGCGCATGCTGCGCGAGCAGATTGACGTCGCCGCCAACTCCCAGCGCACCGACGTCGTCGAGGGCGTCGTGGACGCCATGTTCCTGCGCCTGCGCACGCGCCAGCAGGCCGTCCAGAAGATGCTCGACGACGAGGCGCAGCGCTACGAGGCCGGCCGCGTGCCGGAGCTCGAGGGCTACCAGTCCCTGCAGGACTGGCTGGTGGCGTCGGCCAACGACCAGATTGCCAGCATCGACGACCGCGACGACGACGCCGCGGCTGCAGCGGGTGGTGCGGGTGGTGCAGCGGGTGGTGGCAGCCGCATCTCCTACCTCACCAGCTTCCGCGACAAGATCGAGCCGCTCGTGTCGGCGCAGTACATGGAGCGCGTCGACGCCGAGGTGGCCGCCCTGCGCGACGGCTACGTCGACCTGAGCACCTGGTGCATGACCAAGTTCGCGTCGCTCATCTTCGTCGTCGACTTCAAGGCGGTCATGCCCGACTTCTTCACCCCGCGCTGGTACGGCGCCGCCACGGGCATGAAGCAGATGGTCGCCACCGTCGACGAGTACGTCACCGACTACCGCCAGGTCCTGCACTCCTCGCTCGTCGACGTCTTTGTCGAGATCTTCTCGGACGAGCTGCTCGTCCGCTACCTCTCCGCCGTCCGCAACAAGGGCGCCAAGCTCAAGCGCGCCGACCCCTTCCAGGACCAGATCTTTGCCGACGTCGCCGCCGTCTTTGAGCTCTTCGACGCCATGCCCACCGCCGAGGCCGCCGGCAGCCTGAAGCAGACCTGGCGCGTCACCGAGCAGTTCCTGGCGCTGCTGACCGTCGGCAAGGACGGCGTCGCCGAGGCCTTTATTGCCTTCAAGACGGCCTACTGGGACCTGCAGATCAGCTGGGTGGAGGCTGTGCTGCGCGCGCGCGACGACTTTGAGCGCAGCATGCTCAACATTGTCAAGGCGCAGGCGGCGCAAATCTACGTCGAGCGGGGGCCCGAGACAATCATGAGCAAGGTGAAGTAGATGGGATGGCCGGACGACGCAGGGCAGCGAGGCCACGAAGGCCAACCCAACTGTACATATATGCTGGACATGGACACGGAAGCGTTGCTTTTCATATTGATTTTGACTGAATACTATGTCACGTTTGGGATTCCATCTTGCGCACAAACAGATGCATTCAAATATGTATTTATGTATTCAAATATGTATAGAGTATACAAATGCGGTGTAGTGAGCACACCATGACGGTAAAACGACCCGACGATGCGATGGTATATACTGGCGTTTTGCATGTGCCAAGAAGTGCAGAGAATCGTAACCAACTCCGGAGACCGATGATGCGAGGGAAATACACATGTGCAATGCAGGCACAAGCCACAAAAACACGCAATGACAGAACGGCAAGAAGCAAGGGAATGAATGTGAGGAACCGGGGGTATCAGTGAGGTCTAGGCGAGATGAAGGAAACGACGAATGCGAGAAAACTGCAGAGTACAACAAACACCAAGTAGTAAACCAGCAACAATGCAGCCCAAACAAAAACAGACAACACGACCGCCACGAAACAAAGGGAAATACGATACGCAAAAAGACGGCGATTGGGGAAAACGCGAAAAACTCTAGTCGGTTGGTCCCGCGTCGACTGGCGTTGTCACTGCCGTCTCCGTAGCCGCGGCGGCCGCCGCCACGTCTCGGGCAGCCAGCTTTTGCTGCCGCGACGCCTTGGCTTCGGCCACGGCGGCCGCGCGGGCGGCCACGAGTGCGCGCTCGGCGTCCATGGCCGCGGCCCGACGGGCCTCGACGTCCTCGCGGCGCACCAGCTTGCGCAGCGCCTCGGACGCCTGGACGAGGCCGTCGATGCTGATGGCGTGGTTGGTCATTTGGTGGTTGATGTAGGTGTAGATCTCGGCGGGGGTCTCGCAGCGCAGCAGGGCGGCCTCGTTGAGCTTGAGCAGGGCGAGGGCGACCTGGAAGAGGAAGACGCTGCCGTCATTCAAGCAAAAGACGACGTCCCAGACGCGGAACAGCACCTCGGCCGACAGGCAGTCGGTGAAGACGGACAGGAACCACTGGAAGGTCATGGTCTCGAGGTCAATCGACAGCGCGTCAAAGTGCGCCGACAAGCGCGGCAGCACGTCGGCGACGTACGCGCGCAGGACCTGCTGGTCGGCGCGGCTGGCCGCGAGGGAGTGGTCGTAGTAGCCGACGGGCAGGATGGTCTCGACGATGCTGGCGAGCAGCCAAAAGGCGTCTTCGGCCGAGGGGGTGACGAGCAGCAGGTTGGCCGCAATCAGGTTCATGCCCTGGCAGTAGCCGACGTCCGGGTTGCGCCGGGCATAGGCCAGGAGCACCTCGTTGAGCTTGGCGGTGCCGGGGCCCTCGCGAAAGAAGATGTTGTCGGTCAGCGTGCGGTGGATGTCGGCCTGGATCTGGGCGACGACGTCGGGGTCCTCGGCATCGGCGGCCGGATCACGGCCCGCGACCAAGTCGTCGTAGGCGCCGGGGACGCGCAGGCTGGTGGCGCCCGTGCACTCGGACCAGACCTTGGCGCGCAAAAGGACGGGGATGCCGCCCAGGACCAGCGCTCGAAACTCGTTCCACTTGGCGCGGCCGAGCTTGCCCTTGTTGCCGAGGCCAGCGACGCCGACAATCTCGCCGTCGGCTAGGCGCGTCTCGGGCATGCTGGCCCGGGTCATCGCCATGGTCGCTTTGGCGCCGCCGCCGTTGCTGCCGCTGCCGCTGTGGATGTTCTCGGCGGCCGCCAAGGCCATCATCTCGCCCTCGCGGCGGCGCTCGGCGCGAACTTTGCGCAGGAACTCGTTCCAGCGGACGGTGCGCTCTTTTTGGAGTGCATCATGCAGTTCGCTGAGTTGCTGAAGCAGGAGACGAACGGGCTCGACGTCTTCTTTGGCGGGCGTTGGCGGCGCCTGCGACGACAGTGGAGGCCGTTTCTTTGTGAGCTTCTTTTGGTCGGCAGCCGTGTCGGTGGTGTTGGTGCTCGATGCGATGGAGTCCGTGTCGAGGGCGACAGCGGCCGCGCCGGCGGTCGTGTTTGTCGTCGTGGCCGCTGTCGTGGCGGCTGCCATGGCGCCTGTCGACGGCGGCACAAAGCCGCGACCGTCCGAGGTGATAAAGCCCGGCGACTTGGGCCCGGCCGCGTCACCCGAGACATCGCCAGACACCGTGCTGCTGCCGTCTTCCGTAATGACCTCGATGCGCGTGTCGTTCATGGCGGGCGTGTGAGAGAGAAGCTCGGTCGGGAAGGTGGCGATCTTGAGGTAATCCTGCCAGCGCTTCGGAACACCGCCGGGCGCAGCAGACGTCTGAGAGTCCTTGTCGGGTCCTGGCGTGGAGGCCAAGTTCACACTGGGCGGGCGGTGTGTACTATCTGCGTCGTGGTCATTGATGTTGTCGTTCTTGAGCGAACTGGCGTCGCCCGTGCTGGCCTGGTCATCGTCGGGGACGCGGACCGCCGTGTCCACTGCATCGTCGTCATCACCGCCGCCAACGTGTGGTGGTGACGGACGGCCGTTGCGGCTGACACGCCCGCCCGCGGTGTCGAGCATCTCCGAGTGGCGGCTGCCGCGTTTGGCATGGCGCGCCACTTGGGCGACCTGTGCGGCCTCCCGCTGGCGCTTCTTGCGGCGCTGGTCGTAGATGAAGCCGAAGCGGTCAATCAAGTGGCCCGAGCTGTTGTAGCGGTTGTACATGTGGGTCAGAGTGGGCGGCTGGACGTCGAGCGGCAGGATGGTGTCCATCTCGACGGGGAAGTAGGTCGTCCTACGCATAGCGGCCCCGTCGCTGGACGGGCTGGCGTCCATCATCTCACCGCCCCAGCGCTCGTTGGCGGCACCGCTGCTGCTGCCGCCGCCGCCACTGCTGTCCTGGTGCTTGTGGCCGTTGCCATTGGTCTTGTTTCTGCCGGCTCCGGCACCGCCGACCCCGCGGCTCGGGATGGCCTGAGGCGCGGCACTGCCATTGAGTGCGGCCACGGCCCCGGCACCGTTGAGGACGGCGGACGACGTGGAGCGGCGCATGGCCATGAGCGACTTGGGCCCGACGCTGCCGCTGTTGTTGTTGCTGTTGTTGCTGTTGTTGCTGTTATTGTTGTTGCCACTTTGGAGAGTGGAGGCTCGCGTTGAGCGACCAAGAGTGGTGGATGGTGGTCCAGGTCGGCGGTTGGTAGCGCCTGACGCGTTACGCAGCGACGCGGCTGCCGAGGCGGACGTGCTTTCGCCAGAGTCCTGCGGCGTGTCACTGCCGCCGCCCACAAGACGCAGAGCGAGGCTCGCCAAGGACGGCTTGCGTCCCGACTGCGATGTGGCGGCTGAGGCGACACTGGACGCGCGGCTGGTGCTGCGGGTCGGCCTTGCGCTGTCGTCTGTTGCGGCATTTGTGGGATCCGCTGCGTCGGTCGGTGCCGTGGGCGGTTGGAAGAGGTCGTCGCGAATGGTCGGCCGCCGCTCGCCACCGGGTGTCACACGAATGGTCGCCGTCCCCCTTTGTGTGCTTGGCTGTGTCGGAGGCGTGTGCGCGCTGCCACTGCCGCTGCCGGCTTTCTTCGTCGTGCCGCCCCAGAGGTAGTCCTTCCAGCCCTTGGTCGTGCCGGCCGACGTGGCCGTCTTGTTGTTTCCATTGTTTTTCGTTTTCACACTTGACGACGAAGACGCCAACGCCGCCGACGCCGCCCGAATGGTCGCGTCGTTGTAGTAGTAGTCGCTGCTGGCCTGCCGCGGGCTGTGGTCGTCGGACATGGCGTCGCCGAGCAGATCGGACACGCGACGGGCGTGCGACGCCGGGATGGACGTGTTGGCGGCCGCCGCAGCCAGGCGCGCCTCCTGTTCCTGCTCGAGCGCGCGGAGGCGCGTGGCCAGGTCCAGACTCGACAGACCGCACTCCAGAATGATCTTGCGCAGGAAGCGTTCGCGGTCGGCGGCGCGGGCGCGCAGGGCGGCCACCTGCGTGTCACGGCGGGCCAGGTCCTCGGCCAGCTGGCGCACGAGAGCGATGGCGCCATGCCTGCCAACGAGGCGGGCGACATGGGCGTCGTCGGCGAGGTGCAGGTCGCCGTAGTTGATGGCGGGGGCGTCGCTGTCGTCAAAGAGGGCGCTGCGTGCGGCGGACGACGACGACGACGCGGCTGGCGGGACCGCAGCGGCGACAGACGACGTCGAGGCCGTCGACGTGGACGGGCCCGTGACGGGGAGGAGCGCCCGGCCGTCGTCGGCCAACAGACTGTCGACAAGCGACGCCGTCGAGGCCGTCGGACCAGTCAGACGAGGCCGTTGCGGCGTTGGCAACAGCGGCGGCGATGCGGTTGACGGCGCTTTGGGCGAAAAGGACGGGAACGACGTCAGCGACTTGTTGTCCTCCGAAGTCACGCTGGCCGAGCTGGATCCGGCGTGCGGCTGCGGGTTCTGTGACGACGAGCGCGTGGGCACGCGGCTGCTGGTGCGGCGGCTGCCGCCTCCGCCGCCTCGTCGTATCGAGCGGTGGCTGCGCGTGGACGAGGCCGCCGACGTCTGCGAGACGGAGCGGGCGAGGGGCGCGGCCGTGGCAGCAACGGGTGTAGTGGTGGGCGCCGTTGGCGAGGCAGACGTTGACGCCGGGGGAGGCGATGCGGACGACAATGATGATGTCGAGAGCGAGGACGAGGTCACCGCGCCGCGCGTAGGCTGGAACACGGAGGCGGCGTCGTCGCGGTCCATGGCGGTAGACCCGTCATCGGAGGTGGTCCAGCCGAGGAACAGGTCGAGGCAGACGCAATCTGGGACGGGTGGCTGTGATTAGGAGCAGAATGCAGGTGGCGAAGAGAGGTCGTGATGAAGTTGGCTGACGTTGAGGACGACGCAGGCGATGCAGGGCGTTGTCTGATGATGAGACGAAAGGACGAGATATCGGTCGGCCGTAGGTAACGTCGGGTGCGCGTAGAAGGGAGGCCTGCTGGCGTGTTGCTGTCTTGTGTTGGGGTCGAGTGGTTGTGTTTTGTGGTCTTTGGTTGGGAGGAATGAAGAAAAGGGCAGACGTCTCGAGGAGGCAATTCAGAGAGTCGAGACAGCAGGAGCTTTTCTGCTATGTCGTAGTTTCGGCCTAGGAAGGCCCCACCGTTAGGAAGGACCTAAACAGGCAAAGGTCCCCACTTTTTACAGTGGAAGCGTACACATTTCAAGGCAGGCGCATGCCACGGGGCAGCAGGAAAGAGCAGCCGACGCACGAACTTTAGGCAGGCAGATGGTCAGAGCTCCAAAGAGGTATTCAGTTCGGCAAATGGTAGCCTACCGAGGCGTGGTAGGACTGGTCTGGTGCCAGGTAAGATTATGCGGTTGTTGCGGTTGCCTTTCGTATGTAGGTTTCGAGTCCATTTTTGGTACTCGTTGGACCGCAAAAGTGAGTTTGCAAGGCTGGCAAGATACGAAAAGCAGAGACCAGGAGCCGTGCTTTTGGTTTGCCTTGCGACAAGGATGTTGCCCGTTCCGTGTTGAAGCTGTAATTACTGTGCAAGCTTGGACTGTGTTTGCGGCTGAGTGGGATTACTAGTGAGGACAGCGCGTCTGAGAGCACTTGAGAGTCTGAGTGCTTGCCTACGACGAAGAACAACGTGACAATTACAACGACCGCACATTTAATTCGTACCGGATCCGACATTTCTTCATGAGCTTGTTGATGCCTTCTTTCACACCTTTAGGCACGAATAAAGGCTTGGGGGCATGTAGACCACCAATAACGCAGACATGATAGAATCCAATCTCTTTTCTTCGATCTGGATCGAGAGGCCGTCGAGTCTAAAGAGTTTTATTTCTTTTCTTTTTATGCTATTTATTTTTTGTTTTAATTCTTGATTTTATTCGCAAAGGACAGTTGAGTCATTGTCCTCAATAGGACTCATGTCGTAGGGCTTGTTTGGCTGCGGCCTGAATTATGAGGTAAGATGACATTGTCTCCGCTGCGAACCACTAACAGCCTGTCAAATCCACTGGAGCTCCGAGTTAGCGTATTCTGCAGCGAGCGCTGGCCAACCGGGAAACAAGCTGTTCGTGCCTGTCATTTTGGCCTTTCCGGGCGGTGAATCGCCAGAGACGCCAGGAGTGGGTCCGTTCGCGACTGCTTGTTCCTGGCCAAACAAATCAAGTGGCAGAATAGCACCATTGCAGGCAAATGTTGGTCTCTCCTGTCGGCCGCCCCTGCCATGGGAGAAAAAAAACACAAGTGGAAACAGGGAAGGAACGACACACGAAAACAGACTCGACATCAATATTCCTTTTCCTTTCTTGCCATTGTTCGCGCTTCTTTCACCACATCCATCGCATCTCCCACGACCTTGTTCTTCATTCACCCGCTTTCTGTTTGCAGACAAGGCGTGTGCAGAGTAGCCCGTTGTTTCTTTATTGGCTTTCTTTATCTCTCTTTTGTGCCTTCGCTTCTGGCCACCCAACATCAGGCGCGCGCAAAAAAGGGTCCTCAACCTTTCGTCCCTTTGCCCATTCACTTCATCGCCCCCCTTTCCGCTCCTTTTTCTTTATCACCTTCGTTTCTGACTCCCTTCATCGCATTCTTTCTCTTTTTATCTTCTCATACACTCTACAAACACACCCAATCGACACAAAAATGCCTCCTCGGAAAGCTACCACAACAGCCAAGGCGGCAGCGCCCGCTCCGAAGAAGACAGCTGCTGCTGCTAAAGCAGACAAGGTCGCTCCGGCAAAGGCTGCTCCCGCAAAGGCGGCATCGACAGCGACCAAGCGCAAGCGGGCGGCCGACGATGATGAGCCTGTACCCAAGACCAACGGCGTGAACGGTGTTGTCCATGGCGACGCGAAGCCTGCGAAGAAGGCAAAGAAGGAGACCACACCTACGCCTCCTGCTGCCACCAAGAAGACTGCTGCTCCTCGCGCCAAGACGCCCGCTGCTGCTGCCGATGCCGACAAGGAAAACTCCGCGCCCACGACCAACGGCGACAAAACCACCAAGAAGCGCGCCAAGTCGACCACGCCTGCACCGCCTGCGGCCAAGGCCAAGGTGGCCAAGGTGAGCGCTGCAGCGAAGCGCAAGGCGGAGGCCGAGAAGACGGCTGCTGAAGCCGAGGCGAAAGACAAGAAGGAGGAGGAGGAGGAGAAGGCGGCGGCGCCGGCCACCAAGAAGGCCAAGGCCCCCAAGGCCGCCACCACTGCCGCCGCCATCAAGCCGGCCGACAAGATCGGCGTCAAGATCAACGACGCGCCCACCAAGCCGCTCGAGATCTTTGTCTTTGGCGAGGGCAGCGCCGGCGAGCTCGGCCTGGGCGCCGTGGCCGTCAATGGCAAGAAGCCCGTGGACGTCAAGCGCCCGCGCCTCAACGCCAACCTGGACCCCAGCAAGGTCGGCGTCGTCCAGGTGGCCACCGGCGGCATGCACTCGGTCGTCCTCACCAAGGACAACAAGATTCTGACGTGGGGCGTGAACGACCAGGGCGCCCTGGGCCGCGACACCACCTGGGACGGCGGCTTGCGTGATGCCGACGCCGACGACGACGGCTCGGACAGCGACAGCGACGACGACGACACCGGCCTCAACCCCCACGAGAGCACGCCCGGCGAGATCGACACGTCGGGCGTCGTGCCCGGTACCAAGTTCGTCCAGGTCGTCGCCAGCGACAGCGCCTCGTTTGCGCTGACGGAGGACGGCCGCGTCTACGGCTGGGGCACGTTCCGCGCCTCCGACGGCATCCTGGGCTTCTCGCGCTTCGTGGACGTGCAGAAGACGCCTGTGCTGCTGCCGGAGCCCAAGAAGATCAAGGCCCTGGCCACGGGCTCCAACCACATCCTGGCTCTCGACGCCAAGGGCAAGCTCTTCACCTGGGGCTGCCCCGAGCAGAACCAGCTGGGCCGCCGCTGCGTCCAGCGCGACATCAAGGAGTCTGCTCTGCGGCCCGGCGGTGTCGGTTTCAAGCGCGGCGTCCACATCGCCAAGATCGCGTGCGGCTCGTACCACAGCTTCGCGCTCGACCAAAAGGGCCAGGTCTACGCCTGGGGCCTCAACAACTTTGGCCAGCTGAACGTGGAGCAGGGCGCGGGCGACACGGACGCCACGGTCCTGAACGCCACCATCATCGAGGGCCTCGCGGGCCACCGCGTCGCCGACATTGACGGCGGCGAGCACCACTCGGTCGCCTGCACGGCCGACGGCAAGCTCTTCACGTGGGGCCGCATCGACGGCCACCAGCTGGGCTTTGCAAAGTCCTTTTTCAACGAGGCGAACGCCATCTTTGACGAGTACGGCAAGCCGCGCATCCTCAAGGCGCCGACGCTCGTGTCGGGCGCCCCCACCAACGTGGCAGCCGTCGACGCCGGCACCGACAACACCTTTGCGCTGACGCGCGACGGCAAGGTCTACTCGTGGGGCTTCTCGGGCAACTACCAGACGGGCCAGGGCACCATCGACGACATTGAGACGCCGACGCTGATTGACAACACGGCCGTGCACGACAAGAAGCTGGTGTTTGCCGGTGCTGGTGGCCAGTTCTCCATACTGGCCAGCGTGGCGGAATAAACGGCAGCGGCTGTTTTGCAAGGGTCATGTCATCCCATTTCAACATCTACCGGCTACTTGATTTGTACTTTTAGTTGCTTGTTTCTTCGTCTTCTGCTTCTCGTCTGTTCTTTGTTTCACGGCTTGCTACTTTTTCTTTTCTTTCATTCATTCGCCACTTCAAATTTGCATTATGGTTGTCCATGCTATTTCTCCTTACTTTTATTTTACTACATAGACTCGGGAAAGAGACGGAGAATGAGGAAAAGGAGGAAAGAAATAGGGGAGGTTCAATGGCCGGGATCCAGGTCGATTGGTTTCATTATCATCTGTCACGTTTTAGAGCTTTCTTTTTGTATCTTCTTAATAGCAGCGTTTTACTTCACGGATGATACAACGCAGTATTTCTTTTGCTCCATGAAAGAATGGGTTTAAATATTTTGTTTTATTCCTACCGTCTGTGATCAATGACAATTAACCACCAACCTGGGCAAGTCCCGGCCACCAAAATTGTGAAATGAAGTGGAGACGCCTGCCCAACAGGCTACAGATAACATGAATGAAAAGAAAGAAAATGAATACGTAAAAAAAAGTGAGAAAAGCAAAACGCCTAGATGATTTTTATCTACCTGTCCCCGTCCGTCCGCCTGCTCGTCTTCGAAGTAGAGACGAGTCCCTCGCAAGGCGTTTCCGCACCGGCGACCGCATCAACTGGTCTCTCCACCAACGTGTAGTCATGCGGCGACCCCTGTCTCCGTCCTCTTCTCACCCCACGGCGCCTTACAGGCGTCCCGTCCGCGAGGCAATGACCTTGGCCATGGACCCGCTGCCGCGGCTGCTGAACACGCCCATGATACCGAAGCCGACATAGAACAGCGCCAGCGGGTACGCCACCAGCGCCCGCATCCCCCGCATCCGGCCCACGGCGCAGAACATGCCGGACGCGCTGTACGTGCACCAGCAAATGGCGGCCGTCGTGAGCACAATGCCCAGCGGCGTGTCCATGGGCATCATGATGCCGATGAGGCTCGTGGCCACCAATGGCAGCAAGCAGTAGCCCAGGACGCTGGCGGAGCGCACAAAGGTCAGGGTGCTCGACAGCTGGCTCAGGCTGCCGCTGCGGCCGTGCTTGCCGCTCGGCCCGCCTTTGGACGGCGACGGCGGCGCGATGTTGCCGCTGATGCCGACGCCCGAGCTGCTGCCCACAGACGCGTCGCCCGGGTAGCCCGGGGTCGGGGACTGCGCGTAGGAAGGGCCGAGGCTGCTGCTGCCGCCGCCGCCGCCGTTGGGGCCGCCGCCCGGTGGGCCGTCCGGCGACATGAGCGAGAGGATGATGTGCAGCGAGATGGAGCCCAGCAGGGCCAGGCCGTAAATGTAGCCAAAATGGACCTTGCCGGAAAACAAGAGGAAGGTGCCGAAGAGCAAGAAAAAAATGATGGGGCCGGCCAGGTCGTAGTCGTCCATCAGGTGCTGGTCGATGCGCTGGAAGGGGTTGAGCACGGCCAGGGTCTTGGCCTGGATGTGCCCGAAATTGACGCCGAGCTCCTCGAGCAGCGGCGGCTCGCCGTCGTAGCCCTCGGTCGAGAACGCGGCCAGCCAGCCCGTGCGCAGGCCGCCCTGCTCGCCCATGCGGCCCGACACACCGCCCACGCCCGGTCCGCCACCCACCCCGCCGCTGCCTATTGCGCCGCCGTAGGCCGAGGCCACGCCACCTGAGCCGCCGTAGCCATAGGCACCGCCGTGTCCGGCTGTGGGTTGGCCGGGGACGCCTGGTGAGTAGGTGGATGGGTAGAACTGGAGGTTTTGCGCAGACGCGGGCCCGTAGGCAGGGTTGCCGCTGCCGTAGTATTGTGCCATGACGGCGTGTGTGGTGTGCAAGGGGACGGAAAGCGACGAGGATGGAAGTGTCGTCGAGAGACTGGCGAGGAATGGCGTTTGCGTGCAGCCTTCAGCGGGAGAGGCGTGGCGAGTGGATGCGATCGAATGCTGGCGTGTGGAGGCAGGATAGCAAAAAAGAAAGGGGTCGTGCAAGTCTACTGTCGTCAGGCCGCCCGTCGTTTGGTGGCGGGAGGTGAGGTCGTGTGTTGTGTACGTGTCTCGTTTGGGTGGTTTGTCGATGGTGGAGAAAATAACGAGGAGCTTCCTTCTCCTTTCGAAGTGGTGTTTGCTGGTGTGACTGGCTCCTGAAAGCTGTCGCCTGGACACTGGAAAGCAATAGCTGTCAGTAGCTTGCCTGCCTACAGTACAGGGGACGCTGGGGCTTTCAGCTGCAACCTGGCGGTTCGTGTAGCATCAGGACCCCCGTAGTATTGGTGTTTTGTGGCTGGACTGTGGCGCTCTGTGCCTGCCTAAATAGGGGTGGCGCACTTCTGCTGTGGCACTCAGTACGAATACACTGTAAAGTCGGGCCACGGCCACCAATTAATCCGGGACTTTGTCGCCCAATGGGCCTATCCGGCTTAGCGCAGACTACCAGGTGGCTGCCATCGGAGACCCCTCGGCCTTGCGCTGGCAGAAAGGGAAAGAAGGTCCCCAAGTGTGGGGCGACAATTGGAGAGAGAATTTTTGAGGGTGCCTCGGTGCTATTGCAGGCGCAAAACGGACAACAGAAGGCAGAGTCGTCTTTCGGTGCAGAAAAAAGTTGAATTCCGCGTGCGACAACGACAATCGTTCGACCGCTCGCAACCCACAACCCGCTCGACCATAGCAAACAGGGACGACGACACTCCTTTGCACCTCTCGTCAGAATACTCTTGCCGCTCGTTTTTCCCCCCCGCGAGACGTCCAAATTGCGACACTTGCAAAGGCAAGCAACCGCGAGCAGCCTTTCCTCCGATTTTCTCCCCAACTTGACTTTCAAGACGTCGGGACAGCCACAATCAAGTCACCATGGTACGTACACGCAAGATGCACGCAAGATACACGCCCGGGAACACTACATCACAGGCTAACGCGCCCCACCAGGCCTACCGCCTCATCACCCAGGTAGTCGTCATCGGCTCGCGCGTCCTCGGCCGCGCCTTTTCCGAGGCCTACAAACAGGCCAACGCCTCCAGCCAGTATGCTCGTGCCCAGGCCAAGGCCGGCGGCACTGCGGGCGCGACCGGCCGTGCGAACCTCTCGACCGGCATGACGCTGGACGAGGCCGCCCTGATATTGAATGTGCCCAAGCCAACGACCGGAGGCACCGCGGCCAAAAACTACGACATGGAGGAGGTCATGGACCGGTTCAAGCGTCTGTTTGACGCCAACGACCCGCAAAAGGGCGGCAGCTTCTACCTGCAGAGCAAGATTCTGCGGGCGCGTGAGCGCATCGAGGCGGAAGTGGGCCCTGTGCTGGAAAAGGCGGCACAAGAGGCCGAGGTGCAGGCCGGGTTCAAGCCCAAGATGTACAAGGACCGGTGACGGGGGGAGGCGGATGAGGCCACCAGGAGACGGTGATGGCGAGACCACCGACGCGACACCTCCAAAGACGTCCACAGCGACAGCTTGTGCGACCCAACGCGCGACGCACCGTTGCTCGACGCGACGAACAAAATCTTCACTCGACTCTTTTTTTTACTGTTTCCCCCCGGTTTGATTTGGCATAGCTTTGGCGTTGTGGCATTGGATTTCTTTGTTCTTTGTTCCTTCTTCTTTCTTTGCTTCCCTTCTCTTTGGCTTCTCCAGCTATTCACATATACTCCCATCTTCTTACGTACATATTATCTATTGAAAGAGACGGAAGAAGGGCGAGATCGGAGACAGGGGCGGTGTGTCTTCATGTACGACTACGAGAAACGAAGTCTTTTGTATCATACTGCATATGGAGAGGACAACATACATAGACAAAATAAAAACGTATAACAATCGCAGTTTCTTCCAATTTCTCTATAGAACGAGCTGAATCCTACCGTCCCTAGTGCATCCGCTCTACGACGTATCCATGCGACGTATCCATGAGACATATCGAGATCTCCAACGCCGATCAATCACTACCGGGAAAGGCAGCCACGAAACGCGCAAAGGACGGATGAACCAGGGACGAGCTTCCAATGGAGATACGGTTGTCGCAGGAGGCCTTTAAAAGTGGTCTTTCTTCCGTGGTGCACTCAAATTAGCAACTGAGGTCGTTGTTAACGTGTTTTCATTGCAATGCATGTCTATTTTGCTCGTTCTATGGTATATCGAAGTAACGTGAAACTGAAAACAAAGTATAGGAAAGCCGAGCCTTCGCGCACGTTTTTAAATTAAAGAGCACGGCCGTATCCGATGCTGCCAAAGTTGAACCGGTTTCTTCGTGAGCCGGCGCCTGTTTGTGCATTGTTCGAACCGTCGCTGTCGTTTTGCCGGCCGTCCTCGTCGGATGGTCGTGCCGGGAGGATCTCGGTGCTGCGGGCACTCCTGTTGCTTCCTGCACTCCGCTCGCTCCGACCGCGGCTGCTGCTCGCACCGCCATTGTCATGGCTGTCCTCGCCATAGTATCCATAGGCCCCCGTCCACTGCTGGCCCGCGCCGAGAACAGCCGAGCTCGGCACGCCCGATGCGCGACGTGTGCTCAGACCGCTCGCAGGTTGCGGCGGAATGGGCAAAGGCAGCTGAGGCGGCGGCTGTATCCCCAGTCCAGGTACTCGCAGTTGCTGCTGCTGCTGCTGCTGTTGCTGCTGCTGCCGTCGCTCGCGGTCGTCTTCCTGCCGCAGGTATCGCTGGTACTGCAAGTACCGCTGCTGCGTCTCGGGCGTCACGCTGCCGCCAAACTCGCTGGCCGTGCTCCAGGCCGTCGGATCGTAGGCGGCCGGCTCGTCGCCGTCGTGGTCGTGGTCGTGGTCGTCTGTGACTGTGTTGGCCCTCGTGTTGGTGGCCGTGCCCGTGTCCTCCATAAACATGCTGACGGGCGGGCCGAGGTGGCCCGGCGGCATGGGCCATTGCCGCTGGAGCCCGCGCGAGGAGCCGGAGCCGCCGCGGCCACTGCCACCGACGTTGGCACTGCGCGACGAGCGCGCCGGCTGGATGACGATGCGGACCTCGTTGGAGCCCGTCTGGCTGCTGGAGGCGGTGGGCGACGCTTCCTCGGCGGCGGCGGTGGCGGTGGTGGCGACGCCACCCCGTCGGCCAGTCGTGTTGTCGTCCAAATTGTTGGCAATAATGTCGGGTCCGATTTGCCGCATGTCGCCAGACGGACCGCCAGCACCATCCACGGGTCGCTTCCGTCGCGGGCCGACGTACGATGCCCTCGCCGAGACGCCCATCGGCGGCGTTGGCGTCCGTCGTGGCGGGCCGTCGCTGTTGTTGCTGCTGTCGTGACTGTCGCTGCTGTCGACAAACATGGAAGCAGACCGTCCGAGTCCCTCCCCGCTGCCGCCGGGTGGTGTGACGTAATGGTTCCGCCCCGCAGCGGCCGCCAGGCCACGGGCCCGTTGCTTCATCCATCGTCTCCGCACGAGAACGACAGCAGCGACAATCAGCAGCGCAACGCCCACGGCGCCCAGGACGATGCCCGCAATCTGGTTGGAGTTGAGGCCAAAGGGGCTGCCACCAATGGGGAACGGAGGCGCCGTGGCCGTCGTGGAAGGTGTGACGGTGGTTGGCGGTCCGGCGGTTGTCGTCGTTTGCTCGTTGGCCGTAGTCGACGAGGAGAGAAAGGTAGGCGGTGTATTGGCCGTCCGAGACGTGGGAGGCGTGGATGTGCCCGCCGGCGTGCTCGCTGCTGATGTCACGGACATCATCGACTGCGGCGGCGGAAAGGTGCTGCTCAGAAAACTGGCTCCGCCGTTGGAGGTTGAGAACGTCGAGAACGGAGCGGAGTTTGGGGGTGTTGTGTTGGTGGTCGTTTCGGGTGTAGGTGATGCTGTCACCGGCGAAGATGCAGAGGTGGCAAAGGTGAGAGACGCCGTCGGCTTTGTGCTTGCCGTTGGTGAGGTTGTAAATATGGTCGTCGTGATGAAAACAGTCGTGGTTGCGCTCGGCGCAATCGTGATTGTAACAAAGGTGGTGTCAGTAATCGTGTTTGTGATTGTGGTGGTAAGAATAGGCGGAGCGGAGACGGTGATAGTCACATCCACTGTCGTTGTCTGGGTCGTGAAGACTGTCGATGTTGTTGTAGCTCTCGGCGGTAGCGAGGAGTCTGGCGCTGTATGCCCGTCAACTTGCCGTCGTCGGTTCCGACTGCCAGCAAACGACGTCACCGTCACCGTGTTGGTCTGCGTAAGTTGCCCCGGATCAACTACGGTGATGGTCTGCGAGACTGTGGTCACGAACACGGACGTCAGAGTCGCTACTGGCGGAGTGGATCCGACGGGGGCTGCTGTAATTGTGTCGGTTGCTGTCCGTGTTGCCGAGATTGTTGCTGTCGTTGTTGTTGTCGTTGTTCCTGATGCCCCTGATATGGGACAGCATGTTCCGCTACCTCCATCGGCTGCCAAACAGCACCGAAAGCCAGGAGCGCAGCAGTTGAACCCGCCCTCTGCGTCCGGACAGCAAGTTGAACAACCTGTGCAGACAGGGCTCTGCCCGCCGCTGTTGGATGCCGCGCAGACCACCTGCGTCGTTGTCGAGCATTGCGCGCTGTCTTCGTCGCGGACTTGCAGGAAATGTGGAAATCGGCGTGGCGGTGGTCGATGCCCACCAACAGCTTGCAGTCGTGCTTTTGTGTGAATTGCTCGATGTGACGGTGGCGCATCGGCAGTTTCTCCTGCTGGTAGTATTAACGGGGCGGCGTGGACAACGGATAATCCGGTGAGGAAGAGGGTTGCGAGGCCCCGTGGAAGTAGCATCGTCGCTCTCTTGTTGTCATCCTGTCGCGATACAGACTGGATATGCGTTGAAGGGTGTTGTGAGGCTATAAGAAAGGCATGGCAAAGTGGGCAGTCTGCGCAGAATAGAGAAGAGGAATGGAGGAATTACAGAGTAGAAAGAATGGAAACGAGAAAGAAAGACTGCTAGTCTGGAAAGTTTGCAAGGTCAGAGTACAGATGAAATCGATCACCTGCCGGGAATCCAGATGGAACAGCAGGTATGATGACGAGATGAAAGGAATGGCGAGAGAAGATCAAGCAATGGACGAGGCAGGGGCCGAATGCTACTACAGGGCATGTAGGTAGAAGAATTTAGAAATATGAAAAGAAAACCCGAGAAAGAACAAAAGGCGACAGAAGGGCATCAGAAAGCTTCCGTGACATTGCCAAGACCGTCGACCATCGGACTGACCAGAAAGGACAAGGGCGCGTACGACACGCACACACAGGCAGGTTCGTGGAAGTAATCTACGGAGGTGCGGGTGGTAGACAGGCACAGTGGGACGAAGGAACAGGCTGCACTCTACGGCCGGACCTCTGGGTGCATGTACCGTTCCCATCGAGGAAGGTGAGTTGATGGAGGGGTCCTATAGAGGGGGGAATATTCATGAGCCACGACACCTATGAGAAGACGTGTTGTTTTGTGCCGTCATGAGTACAAACAGCCCCTGTGAGGACAGAAAGACAAAACAAGGAAACAGGACCAAGAAAGAAGGCAAGCTCATAAGCAAGACGTATAGGTGATAGCATGACGGTATCACGTCTAGGCCCGCACGATGGCTAACCCTGGACATCGACGTCGGATGGAGCATCTCCAGGTCGAGCAAGGAAAGTAGCTAAGCAGAGCTTGACTACGGACTACGCTCCAGTTTGGAGTCAAACCGCGTGCTGGAACCACAGACTAGTCAACCTTGGGTCCGATTCGTTCGGCAGCAGTATCCGGAGTCAGATGGTGGGACGAGACAGGGAAAGGGACTGGGCAAAGAACAAGGGGCGTCATCGGCAGGGCTTCTGGAAGACAACAGGAGAGGCTCTGAGGGTTTGTGGCGATCCACTGTCTGTGGTTTCTGGAGGCACCAGTGCTCCACGACGCCAAGAAAGAATGGTTCTTGTGGATATTCCCGCGCAGTAGAAGCATGCATGGAAACCGGGATTGCCTCGGAACGAGATGGATGGAGGAGGGAGGTAAAAGAATAGAAAATGGCGAGTGCCGAGGGTCGCATGGCCCAACTTATTCAAAATACTTAAAGTGTTGCAAGAATGACGAGAGGGCTGCTTTACCGGGTACCATTGAGTGGGACAATCCAGCGGGACAGATGGCGGGACAGATTCAATTATTCTACGACACGGACAATTCAAATGTGACGGACACAGGGGATAAAAGTCAATAATAGGCATGGTATGCCATAACAAGCTGTGTATCTGACGCAGTTCTCCAGGGAAATTCTTGCACCAAGTCAGGAACGGCAAATCGGGGGCGACAATACGTGGGCGACAAAATGTGGGCGACGATGAGTTCATGCACGATAACTGCTACAGGCATCAGTCTGCCGGCGTTCGCGTTCGCGTTCGCGTTCACCCTGTTTTTTATTCTGTCCGCTACTTCTATGTCCTTGTACTGTTCCCTTGTCCTCGGTCTGTGGGTTTCTTCTTGCGACAAGGGCTCCGACGATCCAAAGAAAGGACGAGGTCAACGTCCAGGTCCAGGTCGAGGGAACAAAAGGGACAAGCTTGCGACTGGTGGATCCGGGTAGGGAGAAGAAAAAAAGAAATGCGGAGGAAAAAGAGTGCGCTGCAACCACATGAAAAAAAAAAGGACGACAAACCTTGGGTCATCACGGGCGATCAAGATGGTATCTTTTATGCGGGCATGCTGGAAGCCGACAGGACAGGGATTGGGTGACAGACAGCAGGAGGAACCACCAATCCCTGACAAAAGCATGCCGTCTTGGAGAAAGGCGAACAGTTGTCGAATCAAGCTACTCCAAATGCTCATTGTTAATACTCTTTTCACCAAAAATAACAAAAGAAAAAGAATTTACTTTATACGTCACATCGCCATTTCCCAGCTCCTTTTCTCTTTTTATTTCCTTCTAATATAGTTTTCCTAAATTTCTCGGCAGCAGATGTCTAGCTTTTCATAAAAAGCAGGGTTACATTCCATCCCGCGCAGACGTTTGACATCCCGGGGCCGTTAACAAGGTGAGAGGCACTGGATCGCGCTGTATTACATGCCGTGTCTTCTCCCTTTCTGTATTCTTTCAAACTTCCGTCTACAGCGACTCCAAGTAATGAGTCCACGGTTCATGTTGTTGTCAAAAGTGGCCGGACCAGGTTTCGGATTGACCAGGGTAAGGAGAGACATCCTGTGATAAATAAAGAAGAAACCTCGTGATCTCTCTTTATCCAGCGGCCGGAGTAATGCACATGGCATGTTCACGGAGCGTCGATTATGGCAAGTCCGGGTCGTGATCCTACTTATGTTTTACGTAGAAAACAAGCCACCTTGCAGCCAACCTGTAAAATGGACAAGGAAGCTAACAGACCGAAATAAAGTTGAGTGTAGCGAACGGATCGTATCTGGTCCCATATTGATTATCCCACTTGTCAGATAGACAGAATGGCAAGAAGAAAACCCCTGCACGTATAGAAAACGAAGTGAAAGAAAAGAGACAATTAAAGTATGCAAAAAAGTGGAAATTATAACAATGAGACATGAGAACAGACCATCGGAAAAAAAGCTTAACTTTGAGTGCCGGCATCAGGCTTATTTTTAACCGCAATTTCCATTGTCAAGACTTGCTCCGCTATCTATGCTTCATCCAGGATGGGCCTTGTCAAGATCTTCCTTGCTCTCCAACACCCGTAGTCGGCAGGGCCTCTAGCTTGTACATTTCGTAAACAAAGTCGTGTATTCATCTCGTCCAAACTTCTATGTATTCCTTCTTGGTATCACTTGCACTTGCTTTCCCTTCATCTCTAACATGAACCCAAACGCCCGGAAAAATATTAATTATCATATGCAACACGTAGTTCATTACAATTGCGGATCTGGCTTGCCAGACGACGTTCTCGCTTTCGGCGTCTTCTGTCCACTACTCGCGTCCGTGTCTGTTTCGTCGTCGAGGAAACTTGTCTCCGTCTTGTTGGGGATCGCGCTGTGATCGGCCGCTGCGTTTTTCGTCAACACGGCCAGCTCGTACTCGTCAATGTCGCTGGTGCTCTTGTTCTTCTTCAAGTCGGCAAAACTGCTGCCGGCGCCGCTGCGTCGCTCAGCGCCATCGTCTTCAGCATACGTCTCTCCGCTGTAGCCGGACACGCCCGTCAGCCGTGTCAGACGAGTCGGACTGGCTGGGTCGTTGAGCCCCAGGATAAAGCTCTCTTGGCTGCCGTTGCGGGTGACGTGTGGACCGATACTATGAGGGCTTTCAGCAGCGTCGCCTCGCGGATGGAGCACAATCCCCAGTCCAATGCCGGCGCCCGGCATCCCCGCCTTTTTTGTGCCGCCGCTGCCACCCGTGGGAGGCGGACGGCCACCACCGACACCACCCGGCGTCGTGGCCGGGCTGCTGAAGTACTGTTCGTAAAACTCGCTGTTTTCAAAGAAGAAGACGGAGCTGGGCCTGCGGGTGAGGACGCCGCCACCGCCACCTGACAAGGGTGTGCCGTGTGAGCTGCCACCGGCGTGCACACCGCCTTCCCGGCTTTGCGGAAGACTGCGCGACTGGCTGCGAAGACTGCGATCGGTCGGGGTGCGGTGAGGTTGAGAGGAGCGGTTAAAAACGGGGGCCGGCACAGACGGCCCGTCGGTCGGTTCCGTGCCTTCCTTTTTCGGCGTACCCACAACAGTGGCGCCGGACCCGCTGGCTTCGACTGGCGAAACGTTTGGCTTGCTGCCCTTCCCCCCTCGACTGCGACTGTGACTACGACTGCGACTTCGTGCCTGCGAACTGTTCCGCGTCCAGGGGTAGCCGTGGTAGCTGACGACACTGGTGAGGTCTTCGCTATCTTCATCGTGGTGCTGGCCGTTGAGTGCTCCTCCGGCATCTCCTCCACCGCCCCCTCCTCCGCTTCGACCACCACGAGGATGGAAGAGACTGCGCCGGTGTGACGCACCACTCCGCCGGTCAAACGGGCCACTGCCTCCGTCGTCTCCCAGTCCGAGCCGCGGTGTCAGCCGTGCTAGCAACGGCCGCAATGTCGGCGCCGACGCACAGATGAGTGCAATGTCGCACTCCAAAATGGTCATGACAAAGAAGCCGAGCGTGTTGGCGCGTGAGGGTCCCGTCGGCGTCATGGTCATGGCCATCCCGGACATGGCCGGTCGCCAGTTGGCGTGCAGGCTGAGCTGGAGCCGTGTGAGGCTGGCAGCAATGACAAAGACGCTGAGGGACAAGACGGCGGCCAGAGCCCAGCGCTGGCTGCGAGGGAGGGCCCGCAGACGCGTTAGGACAAAGGGTACGACGAGCACAATTAACCAGGCGTCGGTGGCGGTGTGGAGGCTGGCGCTGGTGATGAGGAGGGGTGTAAAGGAGAAGCAGACGGCGACGGGGTGGCCAAAGAAGAGGGGGCCGCTCTGCTCCTCGTCCGAAGACAAGTAGGATGGGTAGCACTGCATGATGCTCATCCACAAGAGGGGTACGCCGTAGGCAACGACGACGGCCACCGTAATCCAGGCGAGGCGGCGTTCGCGGAGGTGGCGCCGTCGCAACGTGGTAGACGAAGAAGATGCGTGGGACAGGTTCGCCTCGGTCGCGTAGACTGCCGCAAACATGCGCAGGTACAACGCCAGGATAGAGAGCTTGGTGAGGCACAGACAGAGTTGATAAAAAATGAGGCCGAGGTATGTGCGGAGCAAGTAGTCTTCTAATGCCCTGCCGTCGTCGTTTCCGTCGTCAGTCCTCCCATGAGTCCGTATGGCCGACATGCTGTAGACGACGCAGACGGCCGTGGAGCACAGCCAGGCCACCATAACGAGTGAGTCGTCCAGGAACCATTTGCGCAGCAAAATGGCGCGCGATCCTGCCCGCGCCAGCACAAACAGTGTGCACACGGCATGGGGCACCAGAAGGCCAACGAGGACGCCGGCAAGGTTGATCGAGCTGCCGCCAAAGCCGCCATGATGTGGGTGGTGGTAGAGATACGGTGATGTGCCGTTGGCTACAGTCGAGTTTGCCGGTGTGGTGTCGGTGGTGTTTGTGTACGACCCGGACGGCAGATCCGACGGAGTGGCCATCATGACATGGCTCGTCGTTTTTAGCGACGAGAGTACGGCCACAATGGCCGATGATGACTTTTCCTCTCGTATGATCGGACGGCGTGGAGGAATGTCTCTCTATTTCTGGCTCTCTTCGAGTTTCGGCTTTGTTGATATTGCAATGTCAGACTCTTCCCTTTTTTCGAAGCGGGAACAGTAAAGAAAGGGCTGAAAACGCCGTGAAAAGAAAGAAGAAAGAGAGACAAAACGAGGCCCAGAAATACAACGTGAGAACAATAACCACATAACACCAAACATTTCACAGCACCATATACACAATGGATGGAGAAGATGTGGCCGCTGGGGTGTCCACTCAATATATCGCTCCTGTGTTCCGGATGTCCTTTGTTCTCAGTCCTGTATTGACTGACGAAGGCTATACCGCAGAAAAGCGGTAGGCACGCAACGGCGAGAATGTAAAATGAAATAGCATACAAAACATCCATTTAAAAAGGACAGCAGCGGGAGAAACAAGCCTTTTTCGTGCTTTCTTTTCCTCGTAAGAAGTGGTATCCACACAAACCACTACCTGTTTTTACTCGTCCCTTTTTACACGTATTTTCTCATCCGACCAGCCGGACCGGGAGTGGCACGGCAGTCTGTGTGGACAGCAGCAAGCAATGCAATGTTGGCGAGGGTGGGGATGTATATAAGGAGTGATATGCAAATGCAAAATCACAAAAGCGCAGCGCAGGAAGGACGCAGTTTACAATGCGGCCACCATACGGGCCTTCTATGGCGTTGCGTAGTTTTGTAGATTGTCAATATACAAGACCATAGGCGAGACGTGAAACGGAGGCACAGTCACGGCCAGTGGGCACCTACAAAGCGGATCATGTCCCCGTGAGCAATGTATCGGACCCATAGGAGGGAAGAAGACACGCGGACGGGCAAACCTTGCGTTCTCTAGGAGAAGAGCAAGCAAGGATGGCAGGTAATATAAAAGAGCGGGCTCTTCCAAGGACAGACACCGCAATACCGTGGCCTTTCGGTGAAGGGTACGTTTTCTGGCCTGTAACGTGATGTCTTTAGCCTTCCTCGTAGCGTTTTAGCATTTATTGGGCAATAGCTTCTATGGTTTTGTCTTTTGACTGGTGTTATTATGAGACGATGAAACGGGCCTCATTCTGACGCGGCGATCTTGTTTTCCTTAAAGTGAGGAGGCGATGAAAAGTATAAGCTGAAGCATCATCCGTCATTTTTTTGGTCTATTGTCGTTGTTTTCTTTAGCCTGTCGCTAAGAGTTCTGTGGTTTGAGGTGCTTCGCTTGCGTCGGCGTAGAGTGGATAATACATGAAAAAGAAGAGAAAAGCAGAGACAGGATATAACAGGAAAAGACTGCAAGTGCCAAGCGGCTTGTTGGAGAATGGAGGCAATTGTTGGAACAATAAATAAATTCAAGGAAGAACAGTCACCGAGAAAAGTGATGGGGATAGGAAAGACGGAAGACAGAAAGCGACACCCGTTCACGCCTAGATGCATTAATATCGGCATCAATGCGGTGTTTTGAGCGGATCGCGGGTGAAAGGCACAGACCTTTGGGAAGGTATCTTACATAGCCAGTCGACCTTTACAGCTCACGTCATCGCTTAGATGAATTTATGCCGAGTTTGGACGACGCCAAAGAGAAGAAATAAAAGGCCGCTCTCAAAGAAGGAGGTGTTTTCGTGTTCATATATAATTAAACAATTCATACAAATTCAATTCCATCAGCAACACCGGTTGCTTTCTCGTGACTTTTGACGTTACCCTTGTTCATTGCTCCAAGTCTTATCATAACTCCCGATATGCACCGTGTTCATCACTCGTCAAGATAATGCAAAATGACTGCAAAAATATCAAATAACAACAAGGCAGGATAAAGAACAAAAGCCTCGCCTTTTCCTATTTCCACACGCTCGACGTCGCGGCACCTCCCTTCTTGCCCTCTTGGTACGTCTCGCTCAGCTGTCCGTACAGCGCCTTGACCCGGGCGACCTCGGCTGCCCAGTGCGCCCGCTCTGCCGGGTCCTCGATGCGCGCGACCAGGTCCGCCAGGCTCGCCGACGTAAAGAACTTGTTGGTCTTGTTGTACAGCGGACGCTCCGCCAAGGTCGCGGACGTGTCGGCGGGGGCCGGCACACGGAACACGGACTCGAGAATGTCAATGTCGTAGGGGATGGCAAACAGGTCGCGGCTGTCTTCGTACGTGAAAAGATAGTAAAACTCGCGGAAGCCGGACCAGGTAATGCCACTCAGACAGAGCGAGCAGGGCTCGTGCGTCGCAAAGAAGATGCAGTCGGCCGTGGCCGGGCGGCCCTCCGCAGGGGTCGCAAAGAACGTCTGGATGCAGTTGATCTCGCCGTGCAGCAGGGGCGAATTGCGCTCGTTGTTGGTGGCGACGGTGTGCGCCTCGAGGCCGTCACGCGTAAAAATGGCGGCGCCAAAGACTTTGCTGCCAGAGGCGACGCCGGTGGCCGTGAGAGGCACGATCTGTTTCTCGTTGACCTCGAGCAGCTTGGCCAGAAGGGCAGCAGGCGCTGGGCCGGCCGGGGCGGTTGGCGTCGTCATAATCGTGGGCCGTGTGAGGTTCGAATTAGAGTCGGTGGAAGTAAAGATGATGGAATTGGGAAAGAGAGGGATGCGACAGGTTGGGCTTTCAGTTTGGACCTTCAGTATTCCTAAGCTTTATCTTTATCTTATAGGACATTGAGCACACTCGCTCGTTTGACGTCCGACACCGGGTTTACTTGATTATATTAGTCTTCTCGTCGAGGCATAGTTTCTCCTCATTGCCCAGAAAAGAGGAGTCCCACCATCGGCCACAGCCGCGACACTTAGTTGGGATCGTAGGTCGATGCGCTAACTTTTAGGCCTTCCAGGCACTTCAGAAGCCTTCCTAGCGCCTGCTGGGTCTAGCTTGCAACTCACACGAAACCAGGCGACGGCGACCTCCGATGCCCCATTATCGCGGATATGATCGATGATACGAGCATGTCATTTGCTGCTCTTTCTCTCCAGGAGAATACCATTGTATCTTTGCCTGTGAAAAGGTAACAGTGATTCGAAAAATAGAGGCAGGGTGACAGCGTTTGGTCAAAGAACTCGTCGAAGGGAAGTGCGAGCAAGACAGTAATTGTGGGGCACGGCGAATTGCACATCCAGCAGTTTGGTATCTTAGGTGGAAAATTCACAAGTAAAATCGTATCAAGCTCATCGCCTTTCTCCTTGTAGCGTACCATCGACAATGCACTACATCCGCCTCCTGCGACCGCCCAATGTCGTGAGAGCATCGCCGGGTCAACCTGCGTCTTTGGCGCTCGTGCTGACCATCACAACTGATCTCGGCGAGTCATTTCTCTGTCCCGACGCGCCCATTGACATAAGCGTCGAATTGCTCGTCGACATCGTGGAGACTGTCCAAGAGGAGCCAGAGGAACCAGATGCAGAGGACAAGAACGGGAAGGGCGCGGACGCGGGCGAGGACGAGGACGAGGACGAGGATGGCGAGGTACCGCCAAAAAGGACCGTGACAACTCGCATCTTTGAGCTACCCATCGCGGCACCCGCCGTGGCCTCTGGCGGCAAAGGCAACAAAGCCGGCAAGCAGGCCAAACCGTCCAAGACGGCGAGCAACGACAGCAGTCTGTCCTGGAGGGCGGGCAAGCGCGTACTGAAGCTCGAGGCAAAGCTGCCCAGGGCGGCAGAAGCCTGTCTCTGGGATTCAAACGCGGCAAAACGGCGCATTTGTATCCGCCCCGCCGACCCATCGCTATCCGCCGTGCATTCACGACAGCTGGTTGGCACGCAGAGACAGAGCGGCGAGGGGCTCATCTTGCCGCTCTGGGTGGATGTTCCGGCTGCATCGGATGAGCCATTTGACCATGTGGCTCTGCGCCGGTTGACGTTCTCTTCAAAGGACAAAGTTTCGGAAATTGGTGGCTGTGTCGAGGTCGAGGAAGAAATCGGCGAGAGCATTGCCCGGCATATGTGGGATGCAGGGCTAGTCGCCGTTGCCTTTCTCGCCGACACATGTTTGGGGTACATGCCGAGCCGGAAACGGCCATGTGAAGACGACAAAGAGATGGCCGATACAAAGATTGTGTCGCTGCCAGATGCCTTACGAAACACGCTGCTCCGCCAAAACAAAAGCAGGGGACTACGGGTAGTTGAACTCGGCAGTGGTGTTGGCGTCCTCGGGATTGGGCTGGCAGCTATTGTACACGAAGCCGGCCAACATGAGACAGCGTCAGAGACCGATACCACGCGGAACACAATTCTCCTCACAGACCTGCCCGAGGCCGAGGAGAGGGCACGAGCCAATATGGCCCGATCGGCACAGTTGTCTCTCGACTACGAGAGCCTCGACTGGGAGGACGGTCGCCAAGGCCAATTTGGTCCTGCCGCGAAGGACGCAGCCTGGGACATGATTGTGCTAAGCGACTGCACATACAACGTTGACATGCTTCCTGCCTTGGTTGAGACGCTCTCAGCGTTGGCAGACATGCCTTCCGCAAACCGAAAGAAGCCCGGCGTTTTACTGGCCCGTAAACCGCGACATGCATCCGAAGAGGCCCTTTTTACGCTGATGACGGAGCACGGCTGGGCCGTGCACGCCAGCAGCACCATCCCGTTGCCAGTGCTCGGCAATGACGCCGAGGTCGTGGAGGTGTATCTCTATGAAAAGGCATAGGGTGGCGTGCACGTTGTAACGTAAAAGATAAAGTAAAATAGAGCAACATATGACAAAACCACACAATATATCCCTTTACATACTGTTTGAATTTTGTACCAATATTGCAAATTCCATAAAGCATTTGTTGACTTACCATAAGGAAAATGAACAAGAGGAAGTCCAGAAAGCCAAAGACGTGTCATTCATGTGACCCAATAGGAGAGCAGATAGAAAGCATTACAAGTATGAGAAATGGGGCCTCCTCTAACAGTGGATGGGAAACTAAATGCAGACCAAATGGTCTGGTCTTTGTCGATTGGTGATGCTGACCAGCGCAGGAAATTGCTGGCTCATGATTGGCTGCATGAAAGAAATAGTTTGCCTTCCATTGGCTTGAGATAATTGTATGCAAGATCTTTAGCCAATTAGAGAGTACTTGATGACCATTCTGCCAGAAAATGGGCTGTTCTCTGTGGAGAGTCATACTCTCTTTTGTGGGGTTAATGCAAGCACTAACACGACATGCTACACCCTGCAGGGCGAAAAAGAGAACCTGGTGTTGCGTCACAGCCATAGTGCGGAGCCAAGTACCAAGCAAGCACACGACGAGAGGCAAAACCAGCTGCTCTTTGGACGACAGGAAGTTTGCCTCTCCACTTACAACATATTTAAGGAGCAGCTCCTGCCCCCTCCTCTCACCTCCGTTCGATCCTCAACCAAGCTAACAATCACTTTTCATTCAACAACTCAACGTCTGTCAATCTTCAATCTTCCGTCAATCTTCACTCACTCCCCCACTTCAACTTACCCCCCCACCAAATATCATCAAAATGGTTTCCTCTACCTGCTGTGGCAAGGGCGGCGCTGAGTGCGTCTGTGGTAAGTTCTCCCTTGTGCCCCCCTTCTGGCATCAATCTTTCATAAAAGTTACCATGCCTCTAACACCACTGCAGCCCAGAACGCCACCTGCTCGTGCGGCAAGCAGTCCGCCCTCCACTGCAACTGCGACCGCGCCGCCACCGAGAACAACACGGCCGGCGACCGCTGCTCGTGCGGCCAGCGCCCAGCCGGTGCCTGCACCTGCGCCACCAACCCGAGCGAGGTCAACACCGCCAACGAGACGGACTTCACTACGCGCAAGTAGACTGGCTGATACTGCCCCGAGGAGGCAAACAGGGGCGTTGACTTGCGAGCGGAGTACTGCATACACGGCGTTTGGGTCTGCGAGGCATGTTCACGCAAGGGGCGTGAGACAATGGAGCTCGGTTTATTTTATTTTTTAAGTTTTCAGATACCAAAATAGGATTTCATGGGACACAAGGTTGTTAAACCGACAACATCAAAAAAATTTACATTCACTTTAACTGTGAAGTTCAACGCCATGTCACTTTTGATCTGACTTGAGCTATTCCGGCTATCTACGATGAGTGGTTCGGATAAGATTAACAGACGTTGTAGAAGCAAAAGAGTATGGTATTGCCAGCAAGCTGCATAAAAGGGAACGCGGATACGGACTATACGCTTTTGTCCGAGTGTAAGAAAATAAACAATAAAACGGCACATACATCGCATTCCCTGCTAAAGCTCAAACGCGGTCGTAGTCCATTGCCGTAGCGAACGGTGGAAAGTCACAACGATATCAAATAAAGCACGCTTAGTTGGTGCCGCTGCTGCTCTCCTGGCCACGCAGTCCAGCACTCGCAGCACTCTCGCCCACACGCACCTCGTCCTCGGGCACGCCCACGCCAACACTGCCGGCCACACTACCAGCCACGCTGAGCACGCTGGTCACGCGCTCGCGGCCGCTCTCCCGACGGCCGGCAATGCCCACGCCGCCTCCGCTCGCACCACCACCGGCAGCAGATGCAGACTGCGAAGTCGCCGCTGTTGCTCCCGTCGCCGACATGGAGCCAGGCGTGGGCAAGGAGGACCCAGCCAGCGCCGAGAGCGACGCCGACGACGAGACGGCCGGCACCGACCCCGGCGACTGGACACTCATACTCGCCGTCGTGCTGACACTCTCGCTGCGGCCTCGGCTCGCATCGCTCGACCGGCGTTCACGGCGCTCCCGATTTGCACCGCCGCGGTGACTGTGATGATGGTGCGACGACGGCGGCTGTTGTTGCTGTTGCTGTTGCTGTCCAGGGCTGGCGGTCGTGGCCGCAGCGGCACGCTCCAGCTCGCGGATACGGCGCCGTAGAGCCTCGTTCTCCCGCTTGACGTTCTCCAGTTCCGCCCGGTAAAATGCCGTCTCTTCATAGCGCGCCGTACCCGGCATCAGCGCAGGCGACATGTCGCTGGCAGACGGAGTAGCTGCACCAGGCCGTTGTTGTTGTTGCTGCTGGTAATACACGGCCATGCCAGAGCCCGATGCGGCGGCGTCGGCAATGTGCGACGGGGTCGTATAGGAGTGCGACACCGACGAGGACGACGGCCCGGGCGAGTTGGCGCGGCTGCGGCGCGAAGCCGTGCTGTTCTGTCGGCTTAGATTGGGCGCTTGGGGTCGTATGGGCGCCGGTGCTGTGATGCCGACGACGGATGGTGCATTGGCCGCGGTCGCCGTCTGGCTGCGCGTACTGGTATTGGAGTAGGTACGGCTATGGCGGCCGGTTGACGAGGGGATCGAGAAGCCACTGGTACCCGAGAAGAGGGAGTGGTCCGTCGGTCCACCAGAGGCAGACATGGACGGGGCCGATGACGGGCCACCCGTGGAGGGTACGCCGGCAGCTGTCGCAGCTGCGTCGGATAGGCCGCTCGCGGACGTGGAGGAAGCGTTTGACACGACTGAGGCGTTCTGCGCCCGGAGAAGTGTAAGCTCGCGCGTCAGGCGGTTGACCACGGCCTCCTGTTCCTTCTCCAGCTGCATGTGTAGCTCAGCTGTCGTCAGCGGCCGCGGGTGACGCAAAGGCCCTGGGCCTGGGCCCACGCCTGGTCCATCGCTGAGTGGAACAGGCCCGCCGCCGCCACTGGCGAGTGACAAGGGCGGCGGGAGGAAAGGCGACGGCAGAGACGAGGGGTTGAGTTGCGTGCCTTGATCAACGGCCATCTGGTTCGAGGGAAAGACGTGGATGGAGGAAGGAGAGGTCGGAACAGGCGGAGGAGGCATCTGTGTGGTAGCGGACGTGGTCGACGTAGCGGACGGCGGTGGAGGGTTGGTGTTGGATGAGCTGGGTACGGCAGCGGCAATGCCTGCAATGGAAGCGGACGACGACTGCCGCGAGGCTGCCAGTACGCGAGGCGATGGTGGTACCGAATTGAGATCCGGCATAGTGATGTTGGCAAGGTGAAGAGGAGGGCGTGTCAAGCAATATATATTCGTATCAGCTTTTGGGGGATGTAGATTGCCACGTTGGGTTGAAGAGGGAAAGCCGTGATGGTTGAGCGAGATCAGCCAGATGAAGATCCGCAGAAAACCGACGACGCAAGCAAACGCTTTTGGGTGTGCCAAGGACTCGTTAATGTAAACAAAGAATTGCAAACAATCAAACCAGCAAACCAGCAAACAAAGGCACCGCGTCCCAGGACAACACAGAGACAACCAAAACAGGATGAAAGACGGAACATGCGGGTGCGATGAGAAGGGGGTGCTGTTCGTTGTGCGTTGGGTGCCTGTGCACGAAACCGGGGCGTTGTTAATGCTGGTGCAGGGATGATGGGCAAATGAGTCGTTTATGCACAATGTTGAGTGCATTCACATTCTCAGGGTCCTCAGGTCTTCGGCATGACTGGGCGTCGTCCTGGGCAGACTTGCTCTTTCCCTGTTACGCCTTCTTTCCTTTTTCCTCCCTGCAAAAGATTCTGCGTTTGGTTGCCTAGAACAGCGCGTCGCGCCTCAGCACTTCACTGCCCAGTACAGAATAGCCTCGTTTCGAACTCATAGGACGTGAAGTGCTCGCAGTAAATGAGTGGGGTCGCGCCTTCCCCGCAGCAGTAGCAATACCGACATACTGTGCATTTACAGTTAAAATACAGTGATCTGCACTGTTTTGCGCCATTGACAACAACTCATAACATATATACGTAAGGGAAACGACAAAGAGGCGAGCTACCATGACGGCATTGATATCATAGAGCCGTTTCTGCCATCAGGATTTATTGTGGGAGGCATTGTAGAAGGGTTCGATGGGAAACCATATAAAGTAATGTCGGCCAGCCGATTTTTGATACATTCGTCATCCTTCAGTACTTTTTTTTTATCGATCGAGAGACATTCACATTTGCAGCTCCAATACACCTCGAAACCACCAATCTACACATATTTCACTTCAATATGGCTCCCGAAGGTGGTGAATCGCCGCCTCCCTCGCGCCAGACGGGAAAGCAGCTGCATGAGACCCCTGGCTCTGGCACCTCGAAGCCCAAGGGCGAGGCCAAGGAGGACTGGAAGGAGCAGCCTGGCAACAAGGGAACGGAGGTAAGACCATGCTGTTCGGTCAAAACAGTAGGATGCGGTTGGATACAAACTAACAACATCAGGGCCTGACGTCGAACCCTAGAGGTGTGCTCGAAGATGAGGTAGAGAAGAAGTTCGCCAAAACTGCGAAATAAAAGTCTGGTAGCACGAGAGACGGCAAATCACCCAGCATGAACTTGAAGGCCCCGGACAAACATTGGAACAGGGCAGGCGTCGACAATACGCGGTTTGAACGCGCAAGGAGGCCGAATGTGTGGACAAGCTACCATTTCCGGGTTGATAGTTGCTGACATAAGGGAACAAGAACTGAAAATAGAATGAAAGCATTTCCTCAAACGCCAGATCAGCAATAAACGGTCGTGATAGTTCTTTGAAGCCGTTGCTGGATTCCTTCACACGTGCAAGTCGAACAAAATGTGCTAAAATACGTCAATGACGCAACAACCGGCAGAAGCTCCATGGTTGCTCTGCCATACCGTCTGCGTTCTACACAGCCCCAATGCTCTTTCCGTCTTAGAACCTGATCGGCGCTACGACCTTTTGGGATAGCGCTATTCGATCGCTGTGCCAGCTGCTAAGCTTTGCCTGGAAAGTGGACAATAGCGGGTCCTACCCCTCTCTATTCCGTATTTTACATGCGTTTCAGTAGCCAGCAGCTGAAAGGGGCGGAAAAGAAGAGATGACGTTGTTCCTGCCCCTCAGGTCTTCTCCCTGTTGCTTTGTGTTTCTCTCACGAGCTCCCTCCCTCCATTGCGGGTCGTCGGTCGCTGGAGACTGGCCCTTATTGAGCGGCGTGCAACGAAGTGCGATTGTATGTCAGGCCTTCTTTTAGTTTGTCGCAACAAGCATCCACTAGAATCTGCATTGGCGACAGAACGGGCAGGAGGCCCCCTCTATCTCCCTCTCTGCGCGGTGGCATAGTTGGGCAAGAGACAGCTTGTAGAAAAACGAATCAAGGAAGGAGCGAACTGTACGTGTGTGTGGTTTGTCGTGCTTGGGGCGTCTAATAAGTACTGGATGGTTCCCCCCCGAATCCTTTCCGTCTCTTGTTTTCTTCTCTCCATCTTCATGTCTTCAATCACATAGTCTCTCTTCCACCCTTTTGCAAAAACATTCAACGTCCGCACGTACCATACTCTGCCCTCCCACCCATCGCATATAATACACAAATACACAATGTCGAAGGCCAATGTCGTCCAGGTGAAGAACGTCGCATCTGCGACCACCGACAAGGAGATCAAGGACTTCTTCAGCTTCTGGTAATTCCCGCCCTTTCCCTCCAAGCTCTTGCTGCTTGTTTCTCATCGTCCTACTAACGCATCACAGCGGCAAGATAACCGATATCCAGGTGTCGCCTGATGGCGAGTCCAAATCTGCCACTGTGACTTTTGAGAAGGACACCGCCGCCAAGACGGCGCTGCTCCTCAACAACACGCAGCTCGGCACCAACCACATCACTGTGACGGGCGGCTCGCATGCCGACGATGAGGCCGGCCATGCCGAGCCACAGCAGCGCGACTCGGACGAGCTGACCCAGGAGGAGAAGCCCCGCGCCCGCATCTTTGCCGAGTACCTGGCCCACGGCTACGTCATTGGCGATGCTGCCCTCCAGCGCGCCATTGAGCTTGACCACAAGCACGGCGTCAGCTCGCGCTTTGCCACCACGCTCAACAACCTGGACTCCAAGTACCACGCCACCGACCGCGCCAAGTCGGCCGACCAGTCGTACGGCATCAGCCACCGTGCCAACGGCCTGCTGACGGGCCTCAGCTCGTACTTTGAGAAGGCCTCCAACACGCCCACGGGCCGCCGCATCGTCGACTTTTACACGCAGGGCCAGCGCCAGGTGCAGGACATCCACGCCGAGGCGCGCCGTCTGGCGGACATCAAGAAGGAGGAGCACGGCGGCAGCGCCTACAAGGCGGCCGGTCTGAACAAGATCTTTGGCGAGGAGAAGAAGGCGCCGGCCGGCACCGATGCGACTGCTTCTGGTTCCACGGCCGCCCCTGTCGTCTCTGACGCCGGCGCGGCTCCGACTGGCACTACGGGCGCACCGGTGCCCTCGAACGCTCCCAAGTTCGACCCTCCCCCGACTGCCCCCAAGTCGTAAGGCACGGATGGCGCGTCTGGGATGACAGTATGATGCAGTTTCCTTTCAATTTGTTTATCTCCATCGTTTGAGTCAATTCTTAGGTAGCTGAAAATGCAAGGGATAATAATATGAACGCATTGCAAAAACTCCTTTCCCCTAAACAGATCGATCCTTGGATATGTGATGCGATATTACTCCATGCTATAATAAACCTGTATACATGCGCAATCTCGGCTGCCTCAATCAAACACAATCTTCTTGCCCTCAAACGCTGCTGTCTGTGCCTTGTCCTTGGCCTTGCGTGCCGCCTCCCAACTGGGATGCAGAGTGCCCGATACCTGGGCATTGGCATTCGGGTTTTCCTTCTTGGCACCGGCAGGCGGCGTGGCGTTGCTGCCTGCACCCTTGCCACCGCCACCAACCGGACCAACACGGCCCAGCAAGCCCATCTTGCGCCGCAGCCAGCGTGGCTTGTCGCTGGCGTCCACGGCACCGCGCTTGGCGTCCCAGCCGCCGCCGCTGTCCTTTTGCTTGCCGTTTTTGTTGGCCTTTTTGTCTTTGCCGCCAGCATCCTTGCCCTTCTTCTCCTGCTCCAGCACGTGTTTTGCGAGCTGTTTGTATTTCTTCTCCCAGATGGCCTGCCGCGCGCGCTGTCCGCGCCGGTTCTTGCGGGGGCCACCGAGCATACGGGCCGTCGCCTCTTCGTCGTCGGCCACGCCATCCGCGTCGTCACCGCCGTCGGAGACGTAACCGCCCATGAGCGAGGGCAGGAAGTGGGAGGTGCCGTCGGATGTTGTGGCGGACGTTGCTTTTCGTTTCCGTGGCCGGAGGTCTTCGTCGCTTTCGCTCTCACTTTCGTCGTCCACCTGGTTGTCATCAGAGAATCCGCCAAACTCCTCTTCTTCTTCTCCTTCTTCTCCTTGTTCCTCTTCCTCTTCTTCAAAGTCCGCGCCATCACTGTCTTCGCCACTGAAATCGTCGCGGTCCCTGTCGTCGTCCTGCCAGAGACCCTTGGCCACGGCCGCCGCGTACTTTGCGCGAAGCTTGGCCACGACAACGTCGTCGTCAAGGTCCCCGTCACTGTCATCGTCCGACCCGCTGCCAAGACCGTCGTCTTCGCTGTCATTTTCGTCGTTTTCATCCTCGTCATCGTCCTCGTCGCTACCGAGCCTAGACTCGAACTTGGCCAGCTCGCGCTCAATAGCCTTGTCGTCCGCCTCATTATACTCCATATTGTCTTCCGTATCTTCGTCATTGGCGTCGTCAGCCTCTTCGTCCTCGCTGTTTTCGCTTCTCCAAGCTATTGTCTTGTCTTTTGGTGTATTGGCTTGTGTATGTCGCCGCGTGTCATCGTCCACGCCGTCTTTCTCTTCCTCCTCCTCCTCCTCCTTGCTCTGCTTCCGAACACGCGATACATTCTTCTCCGGTGGCGGCAGCCCCAGCAACTGGCACATCCCCGCCACCGCCTTGGCAACCGCATCCCGCACAAATGGCCTGTTGTACAGTGCACTCGTCACGTTGTGAATGTCGTCCGTTCGGTACGCCTTGGTGCGCTGCGACAGCACCTCGGACGCGAGCTGGAGGTGCGCGCCCAGCGGGCCGGGAGCGTCGGCCAAGCCGCGTGTGCGCAGCATGGCATTGGCCAGGTGTACGCGCGCCGTGACTTCGTAGTCGAGGGTTTTCAGGACCTCGACCTCGCGCTCAAGGCGCTGCAGCCTCTCGCTGCGTTGGTCCGTGTCGCCGTCGTCGTCACCGTTGACGTTGGCCGCTGCGGACTTTTTGGTTTTCTTGCCCTTGCTCTTCTTCCCCGCCTTGGACTGCATCTTCTCCTCGGTGATGCGCCGGACCAGGCGCTGGCGCTCGAAGCCACGAGCCTTTTTCAGCATGCGCAGGACATCGGTGTAGCTAGCCTCAAAGGCGCTGACGGCCTTTTCGGGTTGGGGTTTTGAGGCGGCCGCGGCAACGGAGGGAGGTGGTTTGTTGCGAATGTGGCTTTTGTTTGCGCCGTTGCTGCCCTTCGCCGGCGGTCTGCCGTCGGGTCTCTTTCGTTTTAACATCACTAAGGAGGGGAGTGTCGAGGGATTGTGGAAGGAAGGAGGATGCGTGTAGTTGTCATCTTCCGGAGCTCGCTTTGCGCTTCTTGCAGACCAGGAAAAAAAGTCTTATCGATTGCAGGCGAGGCTGATAAGCGATAACGCGCTTGAGCGCTAGATAAGCTTGTATTTAGGTGGCACACTGCCCGAAACCCGCTAAGGATACTTACGGCACTCGATTTGTGGAGTCTATTTTCTCAATACTTCGTAGTTCAGAAATTTGGCATTGAACGATATGTTCTCACAACCAAGTCAAAGGCACACGAAATACGCCTTGATAGTCTCTATTAGCTCACATTGTCCCTCTCATAATTTATATTTGCTAAATGTGCTAACTGTATAATCAAGTTGATGGGATAAAAAAAGGGCATCGGAAACTGCCAATCCAAGACTCGACATCGAAACAAGAAGACATCAACCTGCGATCTCCCGTCTCTCACGATGGCGGGGGTCCGTCCAAGATCGAGGCATCGCCCTGCGCCCAGTTGATCTTCAGGATCCACTTCTTAATCTTCCATGCACCGTCGGCAGCGTCCCGGACCATGTCCACCGTGTACTCGCCGCCCACCAGGTACTTCGGCCCGTCGGGTTCCTTGCCACGGCCCGCGGGACAATGCTGGGCCAGCGACACGGTCGTCAGCACGGCCGTGTCGGCGCCTTCGTGGACGTCGACGCGCGGGGTGGTGAAGCTGTGCGTGGTGTCCATGGGACCGACACGGTCAAAGACGGCCTTGCGAATGACGGACAGGTTGGGCAGGACCTTTTTGTCGTCGTCGACGCCGATCTGCGCCACGACATCCTCGCCGGCCCAGGCTGAGTTGAAGAGCTCAACGTGGTTGTGGTCAAGGGCGACGAGGGCGCGGGTCATGGCGTCAATGATGGCTTCGCGCGTAGTGAGTCCGGAGAGGAGGAAAGGAACGGCCATGTTGGGCAGTGCAGATTGAAGCAAGAAGTAATGACGTGAAGAGCCGAATATAGGCCAAAATAAAAATAAAATAATATGAAAAATAGAAAGTTGTATGTTTACTATGCAAAGTGCTGTTGTTTTAATTTATGTTCATGTCTTTCGAGCCTACTCTACAGTTTATCGGGACACGACCTTTAAATAAGACTTTTCTTTTGCAACTCTTGATTCTTTTTGGCACGTCTCTCGGATATCGTGGAAGCATCTTGTATCGGGATGTTTAAAATCAGCATCTGACCGTTCGGCATGTTTGCTCACTATGCAATGCCGTGGATGTGCAAACACGCAGAGTTCCAGTCCTACCAGCCTTGCCGTCCTCGTCGCTTATTGCCGCGTATTGCTATGGAACATTATTGCTTCCACGGAATTTATGGAAAATTCCGACAAGGCTTAGAGCCAATTGCACAGCCCCGGGAATATCCATAAATTCCGACCTTTGTCATTCAGCTGATCAACTTAGACGTTGTTTGGAGACAAGACGACAACCCTCGTCCTTAACTGCCTTCCTTCATTTCTTTTCCTTTTATGTGTTTTTCTTTTCTCTCCTCTTTACATAGTTAGAAGGAAATTAGCTGAAATTTTCCAGACTGCAAACATTCCGAGGAAAGCAAACTATCAAACAAACGCCGCTTCGGGATAGTATCTCGCTGAGACCCGCCTGCTGGGGCACACTACTGGCGCACCACAGAGCACCAACTACACCCTCACCACACACGTACAATACACGCACACATGGAGCGACAGAGAGCCGCGCGCAGCTCCAAATGGGGCGAGGCATGCGCGCCGTGTGCTGCGGCCAAGACGCGCTGCATCCGCAACCGTGACGAGCCCAGTGCTAGCTGTGACCGCTGCCAGAGCCTCGCCAAAGATTGTTTTAGCCAGGCGCAGAAGCCGCGCAAAAAGCGGCAAGCGAAGCCTTCGTATGCTTGCATGAGGCTTTGCCGGTGTCCACGCTTTTATGTACGCTTCCTGATACGTTCTACTAACCATGCCCATCGCAGGAGAACGGCCCAGCTGGAAGAGCGGCTCAACAGCTTGATCCAGGCCATGTCCTCGGCGAGTTCTGAAAAGAGCGACGTTGTTGCCGCAGCGGAAGCTGCCCTCTCCGCTGAAAGCGCCGTTTCTGTGTCTGCGACAACAGCTTCCAGCACCAGGGGCGGCACTCTACAGCAGGCTTCGCCGTCTTCGCCGTCTTCGCCGCCTTCGCCGCCCGAATCTGGCGAACCACACGTCCATTTGGACGGCGGCTTCGGCCTGCCACAACCTCCTGGCGCACCACAGGTATCGCCGCACTGCACATGCCGTGTGCCGGTTTCAAAGGCCGATCTTGTCCCACACGAGTCGGACGAGGTGTTGCTGAGCATCTATGTCAACCAGTTGTCGTCCAAGTTTCCCTTCGTCATCGTCCCGCCTGGCACGACAGCCCAGGAGATGGCAGCCAAGCGACCCTTTTTGATGCAGGTCATCCGCATGGTGTCGTCGGTCCGCCATCTGCGATCGATGTGGGGCCAGAGCCGCGCCGTCATCAAGCACATTGGCGACGCCATGTTGATGCGCTCCGAACGTTCCATAGACCTGCTGCAGGGCATCATTGTGTTCCTGGGCTACTATCATTACTTTTGCATGAGCCATGCGCACTTCAACAACCTTGCCCATCTCGCCCTCAGTCTCGTCGGCGACATGGGCCTGAACGTACCACCGCAGTCCAATGGCACAAACGCCGATGACGATGGAATATGCCAGCCGCGGGTCATTCAACGGAACCCGAGCGAGGTAGTGTCGCATGCATCCGACAATGTGGCGGTGGAGAGGACCAACGAGGAGCGCCGTGCCCTCGTCGGTGTGTGGTACATCAACTCAAAGTAAGCCTCATGTCCCCTCCAGAATGCAACCGCTGCTGTCCTCGGCTTTACTAATGCCAATAGTGCCTGTTCGGTGGTAAAGCAAATGGGGTCCACGCGGTACACAAAGTACATTGACCAGTGTGTCAAGGAGCTCGAGAAGAATGCCGAATACAAGTCGGATCAGCTTGTCGTCGAGCTCATCCGCATCCAGAACCTCACCGAGACCATCTCGCACTTCCACAACCGTGACCAGATGTTGGACGAACTGCCTGGTGTTCCTCGCATGTCGCCCATCGTATATATCGAAGCATTACAGGCCCAGCTCGACCGTCTCCGTGGCGGCCTACCCGCGCACCTCAAAATGCACCCCCTGCTTAACTGCCACTTCCACAGTTCCCGTCTCGCCCTCTTTGCCCCGCTTTTGTCCGAGGAGCACTACCTTGCCGACCCCAGCTTGAACCCCCTCGACCTGTTCACACGCTTCACCGACACCCTCAAGATGTGGTTTGCCGAATGGCTCACCATTCCCGTATGCTCCTACTTCTACCTCCCGCAGCCCGCGTGCTCCATGGTTGTCCACACATCGCGCCACCTCGTCCTGTGGGCGCGTCTCGCCGGACCCAGCGCCGTCCGACTGTCGTCCACGTCCTTCGTGTCCTGCCCTCTGCTCGCCTCAACTGCCTCGCTCTCGTCCGGATCCACACCCACTACTCCCTCCGGATCTGGGTCATCCCCCGCATCCGAGCCGTACGTGCCCCGGCGCCGATTTCCTGCCTTCATGGGCATCCCCTCCTGCCCGACTCTCGACATCCCCAAACGGCCCACCGCTCTGTCAGACGCCGTCACGGTCGCCGCCCAGGCCTCCATCGACATGATCCGTGCCGCCGTCTATGAACGGCAAGACCTGCGGCTTGACGTCTTAGGCATCGCAGCGGCCATCGCCGCACGTTGTGAGTCGGCCCGGGTGGAGATCACCGCGGCACAGGGTGGCGAGTGGAAGAACGACACATGGGACGCGGCGGGGGACCAGATGCGTATCAAGCGGAGCAAGATCGAGGAATGGGTCGAGTCGGCGACGGCGGCCGGTGTCGACGAGGATGTGCCGCTGACGTTTGGACCAATGCCGGGCGAGCTGCCACAAGACGGCTACAATAGTACCAACTGGAAGTGGCCGAGTGACATGGCATATGGGCCGACAAATCTCGACTTTGGGACCCTGCTCGACTCAAATAACGACTGGAACACGGACTGGAACGCCCAGGGCATGGTTCTGGACAACTAGGGTGGATAGAGTTTCGTAGTGTCTGTATCTGTATATATTGATCGATGACATTTTGTAAAAACAGCTCATACGCACCTTCCTCTTGAGCATTCAAGCGCCTCTTATGGGAAGGAACCGACCGTGAATCCGGCGCTCTTGCCAAATCGACAAGTATGACCATTGATTCTTAGACCAAATCACGTGGCTTCTCAATTCATAATTTAGGTCTTCATGACTGGGAAATACAGCAATGCATATCCTTTTGATGATTTCGGAAACAGAAAACATGTTCCAAGCAATATTGACGCCGTTTGTGATGAAGACAGGTGGAGCTAACCCATTTCGGGACCAGACGAGTGCATTTGCGGCGAATGGGTGTAAAGTGCCTGCAGGCACTTTACGCGTTGCGGGGCCAGGCACAAGGCGCTGAAAACGGAAGCTCTAACCAGTTGGCGCGCGTTTTCAACGCGTCTGAGGGTCGACAAGAAAAGCTTTGGAGACATGACCAACCTTAACTCACGACCCTTGCGCTTTACGGCGTAACTCAACGAGATAACAGCCAACGAAAAACGATACGGATAACGAACACGACCTGCACTTTGCTGCGAATTCGACGGGCTCCCCTTCCCCAGAAAAAATACGACCTACAACGATCACACCAAGAGGGTGAAGCTCTACAACAAACATCACCAACTCGTACAGTCGCGCGAGAGGAGAAGAGTTGTACACTCTCTACTATACCCCGCTTCCTCCTCCTCCTCCTCCTACTCCTCTTTTCTACCAAGCACAATGATGGCGTCGCGGGCCGCCGGCAAGGAACCGGCCTACCAACAACCATCGCGTGACGAGTTCCACCGCCTGACGGAAGACCAGCGGAATCAGATCACAGAAGCAGTACGGCTCAAGTTCCGTCCCCTCTACGCTTTATTCCTGCTGACCCTTCCTAGTTCACTGTATTTGACGCCGACAAGGACGCCCGCATCGATTACCACGAGTTCCGCTTCAGCCTCCGTGCCCTCGGCTTCGACCTGCCCAAGCAGGAGACCTTTCCCTACCTCACCAAATTCGCCCAGCCGCCTGCCGCCTGGCCCCGCGACAAGGAGTGCGCGCCCATCTGGCGCGAGTTCACATTGCCCGTGTTCCAGGGCATTGCAGGCAAGCTGATGGCAGAGCGGGATCCAGATGCCGAGTGCCGCCGGGCCTACCGGCTATTTGACACGGACGGCAAGGGGGTGATTACCGTCGAGGACCTGCGGCGAGTGATGAAGGAGATTGGACAGTCGATGGAGGAGACGGAGTTGGCGGCGATGATCCGCGAGTTTGACGCAGAGGGCAAAGGGTACGACCACACGGCTTACTCTCCCTGAAAACCCAAAACAAGACCATGCTAACCAAACCCAAACCAACAGGGGCGTCAACGAGGAAGAGTTTGTCAAGATCATGATGGCCAAACGACAAGCATGACAAGTTTCATCAAACGCGACGCGAAAGACAAGAAACGAAACGAACGGCCTGACAAAGGGACGAACGTTGGCTGGAAGGGAGGACGGGACACCTATAGTGGTGTGAGACGTGGTATTCGATGTGGCATGCACAAGCAACAAGCAACCTAGCAACCCGGAGAGGCATAGCCGCTATGTGGGCGCGTGCTTTTGCTTTCTTGTTCTCGTATTTTCTTTTGTTGCCTCATAGTTTAGGATGTTTTTGGTTCTTGTTTTGTAGTGCTTTTTTTTGTACCTCATTTATCAACTTTAGAATACCCGGATACAAAATGGAATTTGGATCCTGCGTTGTCCCCCATATCCGCCTAGTTGTCCTTGCGTTGCCCAGTCTCCATTATTTTCTTCTTCATGTTGCGTCCTGTACCTCTTGGCCTGCATCTTCCGAATGCTACTTGGTTGGCCTCCCTTCTCCTCAGTGCATTCACGACTTGATTGGTGGCCGTCACGTAAACGATCACGTATCATGCAGGCCTCCTTGTGGCTGCACGATAACATATCTTCATACGATTGCGTGTCTTCCACTTGCATATATATAAGTGTCCTCTTGCTTCGTGTGCCATTGTGAAGGCGTATCGGCTTACTCTTTAGCGGATCCTCGACATGAAGGATCTACAAGATGTACGCTCGGAAAATGTGTATGGAATATTCGGGCGTAAGGTTGACAGCCCAGGCGCATATTATTTCCAGCCTGCGTAAATGTGCCTACCGTGAGAGGTGCCCAAAAACCTCACTACTTGGCGTGATTCATGTACCCTCTTCTTTTCCGCCAGCCAATAAATCTTCCCTCTGCATCTTATCGGCTCGTTCACCGTTCCAGGACGGTGCCAAGACCGCCTGGGCTCGGGGACCATGCGAGGACGCTCATTGGAGCAGACTGCCGAAACGGCCAACGCACAGTCTCTCATCTTGTGCTGTTTCCTCTTTTCTTTTGCATGGGCCAGTTCCGAAACCATCTCGGGACCAATTTCCCTTCCAAGGGCTCGGCTGAAGTCGGGAAAGGCATCAAAGTGTAAGAGGGGAAATAACATGAAAGAATGAAAGGGAATGGAGCCAAGAAAGGAAAAGATAACGGAGGGATTGGGCAAACGCACGTCCGATGCGAGATGGTGGCGCGGGCGGTCGGGCGGTCGGGCGGTCGTGGTGTCTTGGGTCAGCGTAGTAGGTGTGTGGAGCCCGTCGAGTCCAAGACACATGCCTGTACCCCTTGGCCTGTTCCTGACGGCGCTGGCTTCCTGGCCTGCCTGGCCCATGCACGTTTGGTCGACGGCCGAAAGCCGGCGTGCCTTGGGAAAATGCCGATGCTCACGCCGGTGGGTGTCATTGTGGTGATAGCTGTGCTCACGTTTCTCTGAATTTTTGTGTCGTTTATTCTCTGACGGATGAGGCGCACCTATTTCTATCTACACGACTTTCCAGAAATTTCATTACATTTTTGCTTCTTTTTATCAACGAGCCACAGCGCGCATGGTACCAACCGGTGCGCAGAAACCACACAGACACACAGGCCTTACGTTTTGCCCCGGTCTCGAACGGTTGGCGGCCGAAGGGAAGTGGGAATAGGTACGAAGGAGGGAAGGGCGGCGAGAGGAAAACGGCAGGCGGATACAGACGGGACAAATGTGGGTCCACAGCCGGAACAGAAGTCGCCATAAGCTGGAAGTTGCATTTTGTGGGGAAGGCGTGGGAGCGAATGGGTTCCGGAGGGTTGCGTGCATGAGGCCATTGTGGAAAGGAAAGATCGTGCAAGGGGGACACCTGCCCTTTTTGTTCCGAGAAGTTTTCGTGTCCCGCCTGCAAAAACGGGGTACTTGTGGCACTGTGCGTCAGTCAGCAGAGAGCCAAGTATCCACGCTGTCTCGATTTGTCTCAGGATATGTCCCAACTGGTGACGAGAACGACGTAATTACAGCGGAACGAAGAATCGCGAAAGAAGAAAAGGGCAAGAAAGTAAAGCCCAAACCCAGAAATATGGGATAATCAAAAGTAGATAGCCGGATCGACAAGACGGCAAATAATGGACAGTAGTATGCAACGGTTGCCTGCCACCGATATCAACAACAAGAACAGCCAACGAGAAGATAAGGTGACGAAGAGACATCCCAATGTAAATATCCAATCCTTCGTAGGATGCCTTAGACGTCGCCGTCTTCTGCTTCTTCGCCCCGGTAGTTCGATCGTCAGGGATATATTGTGTATATTTTTGTTTCTTAAGCTATATCTCGTGTCTTGTAGCCTCTGCTGTGTCTGGTTGAGCTTCGGATATTTCTTCCTCTTTTACAGTTTGACCTATTTTAGGTACGAATTTGTCCCGTTCAGTCACGATGGTCTTCAGCTGGGCTGCAGCGCATTCCTTAACCTCGTGTCTTTGCTGTTCCTGTTACCCCTGACCGCATAAAACAACATCACATGTTCAGCAAATCGTTATTTTACTGTTTTTCGTTCTAAGCCGCCGTACTGCGTAATTTTGCACGGGCAAAAATCTCTGCACCGGTTCCTGTGCTCACCTGCCGCTCTTTTCTCATTTTTGGTCATTTTCCAGACTTTTCGGTGTGACAATGCCTGCTACTTACTACTATTTTCAGCCATACGGTCCACAAGGCGCCCAAACCGTCGAGGTCACGATGGGGCGTGTGTGTGGGGTTGGCTGCGTCGCGGGCCCTGGCGGTGGGCGCTGGGGCGGTGGATGACCTGCGTTCTGGGGACAACACCGCCTGGATTTACGTAAGGCCGCCATTCCCTGGAGAAGGCTCGGGAAGGGTCGGGACTGGCTGTGCAATCTCGAAAGTGAAATAGGCAAGTCGATAGCAACAGAACATTTCTTACTCGTCCCTGGTGGCTACGGTGGGGAGTGGACCACAAAAAGTTCTGGGCCTAGACAGACCGTTGCTCGTGCTGTTTTCTGCTGTTTTCGGTCTGTTGTTGGTGCTCAGGTGCTGGCAAAGGAAAGCCATCGCGACAGCAAAAGCAAGTGGCCGTCGTGCATCATCAATGGGGCTAAAGAGACAACAAACGACAAAGTACAGGGGAACAGGGGGACAGGGGAACAGGGGAACAACAAGGGAGGGGCGTGTAATGTCTGGACTACGTTGGACCCAGAAGCTGCCTCTTTTTTTGACGGCGGTTGAACTGGTCGTGCCGTCTTCGGTACATCGTTCTGTCGTTGACATATTCAGACAGGTTCACGCATATTCCCTTTCGTAGGTGCCTGGATGTCTTGGTAGTTGCTGCGTATGTCGTCTTTTCTTCAGTCCTATCCGCGGGACGAATTCGCCAAGACGACAATGACAAAGACAGCGATGGTGACAAGACGTGTCGATGACAGGATGTGTGCAGGAGATCCTGTCAACAGTTACACATACATTGGCGCACCAAATACGGAGCGTCACAGACGTCTTGGTTTGTTACTGAACTGCCTCCGTGGACGGTGATCCGCGCGGAGTCTCCGTGCGGCGTGTGTGAAGGTTTCGCAGAACTTCTGCGATTGGCTCTCGCTATTCCCCGACTTGTTCCTATCTTTTGTTTTGAGCAAACACTCAACTCTGTACCCCTGCACAGCCCAAAGTTGTCAAAGAAACTAGCTTGGCGATATTGAAAAGAAAACGAGTTCAGTCACTGTTGGAAGGAAAAAGCACCTGAAAAAAACCATACGTACGTGCAAGTCATATCGCAGGGTACTGTATTGGTAGTCCACACCCTGGCTAGCCGAATGACCAACTAATAACTTCGCCCCAATGGCCTCGCCTGGACTCATTCCCCCAGATACGCCAAGTTTAATGATCTCGCCCGCACCTTTGCCGAGCCAATACACCCTAAGGCTGAGCATACCCCCTTCCTCTCCCAAATTGTCGTGGCAGCCGTCAATGGTTCCGGGAGTCAATCACGGCTCACTACGAGCCTGGAATACCGGCTGCCTCCAGCTTCCACAGCGCGAGATTTCTTCCTAGCTACACTGGTCTGTCTTTTATGGCTCTCATTGCGTAGATAGCATCATGCTGCAGAAAACGAGAACGTCAATTCGCAATCTTCCAGCTATTACCACGTTCCAGAGACATTTAGGTGGCGATCACAAGCGAGCCACAATTTCAAGACCTGGCCTTGCCGGCGTCTGATTTGCTGCGTCACATGGCTCACGCCTCTTTGGTGACATCAACAGCATCGGGACCAAGGCAATTGACCTCAAAATAATTTTCAAATGTTTTCATTTCGTGTTTCTTATTCGACGTCTGCTTTTGTATTACTTCTCTGTCTAATCACCCCTCGTTGACCACCTCTCCATAGTGATTCAGAACCATCAATTAGTTTGCTCGTATTTACGCAGTGGACCGCCGCGAGGCTGTCGCTGGACATTGCAACTGGTCTGTTGGTGTATTTTTACGCACAAAGAACTACGCCATCAGTCTCCGCTGATCACTCTCCGTACAAGGCAGCGCCGCATTCATAATCGTCATTTATTGGTCAGTGAGCATTTTCACGATGTGCCCCAAGCTTCAAAGCCGCATCTGCCCGAATGCCTTCATTTCTTTGTACTTCTCTTTTTCCTTTCTCTTTCGCGTTCTGTTTTATTTGCTCATACTGAAACTACATCCGAAAGTGTACAAAATGGCACATTCACTTACAATACAATTATCTTCCATATACCCGGCACTTTTGATGTACCGGGCAACAGTCGAAGTCATCGTGAACGTGCAGCCGCGTCTCCATCGCCGTAGACTGTACCGAAAGGAGACTCCGGGAGCTACCACACTGGGCCAAGAAATCGAACGGGGCGAACAAGGGCCCGGAACCGTTCCAAAGGCTCACCGAATCCAAACGTACGGCGCTCCACCGTGCCATTGAGAATTATGCTCGACTCTGGTCACCCATTCCTCCTCATTATTATCGTGCTTTCCATGTTTAGAAACGTTTCTCGGTGGCTTTGGCTGTGTGGGTGTAGTTTGGTAGAGCATCTGGCTCCGAAAAGAATTCGTGACTGTAGTCGCCCCCGGGTTGATCCTCCATGGGTTAGGCTGACCCCAGCTTCCTTGGTGCTTTTGGTGGCGTTTGTTTGGCTCGATTTCTTTCTTCTCAGATTTTAGCAACATCAATCAGTTACGACAATGGTGGGTGCTCACCAAAAAGCAGGGAAGACGGTGGGATTCCACGAGCAAGGTGCGGACAAATAGGGGCGTGCGGTTAGTCAAACCTCAAGTCAAGTTAGTATAAAGCCGGACTAAGCTCCAGTTTATTGACTACACGATTGCTCTTTCCTTCGTAGCCGACAATTCAATTCAATCAAACTTCAAAAGCTCCCGAGCAAACTGCAAGAGCAACCAGCAGATATCCGCTGTTGCCCTCTCTTTCCTCTTTGTGCCCTCATCGTTCCTTTTGCTTGTTGCCTCTGCAACCTGTGATCAATTCTTCCACCTCTTCGTTTCTCTTTCACGACCTTCTTCTTTCCGCTCCAAATAAACTCTCCACTCTTGTCTCTTGTCACTTCTGCAAGACTCTCCATCCTTTTCGACATTCGTCTACTTTACGTTCTCGCCGTTTTGAAGACATCCCTGCCACTAACACGGCACTAACAGTCGACACTGCTGTGCTTTTCCTGCTCTCCTCTTTGCATCATTTTTCCTCGTCGAGCTTTGCCCTGTCGCTTGTGCTCTCCCCGCCCCCTTGTTGTACTTTCGCCCTCCCTCACTACGCCCTAAACAGCCAAGAGCCTCCCACTACGGGTCCTTTGGACGTCTCAATACATCCTTCTTTACATACCCCCCCCTCCCCTTTCTCCTCCACCTTCCCGTTACCCACACCGTCGAAAGCTAGTTGCCGAAGAACGAAAACAAAGACACAACAAACCAACAGTTAGCCGACCCGAAGTTATCTCGTTGCTTCCGTTTTCTTTCTACTCCGTCTTCACTCGTCAGAAGCTGGTTATATATAAACCATGGATCCCGTTCATCGCACCTCTTCTCCCTACATTGATCCGACCGTCAAAGGCCCTCAATCCAAGATCCTCTCCCGCAATCATCCCAACATCCAGGAAAAAAGTACGTGGCCAACGTGATGGTTCTCTGAAGCTTCCATCTCTTCGACTTGTCGTCTGTCTTGCTCATCGCATTGCCCCATCCTTGCCGTCGTCACTGGCTTCTAACTCTCTCTCCAACAGTGGTCACCACTACCGTCAACAAGACAAGCCTCCACCCCAGCGGTGTCGCGTAAGTTGGACTCTCTATCTCTTACCCTCCGTCTGCTTGAAATTTGTTCTCCAGACCGGGATCCTCGTATCTCCATGATAGCACACGCTAACAAGCTTCCGTTGCAGTCCTCACCCGGAGCCGCACACTGAAATCGGTATGAGACTACCAACCTCGATGCTGTCGATTCGACCAACACGACGTACTCGTCTACGGATGTTCATTCATTGCTAACCAATTCCACAGAGGAGCAACTCCATGAGCAGGCTCACATTGACTACAACCGTGTCGCCATTGTAAGTCTTATCTCCTTGCATGGAAGGCAAATGTGTTCGTTCCACTCCGGAACTTGATCTTAACAACCTCGCCAGATTTCCCACCCTTCAGTCCCCGCCCTCTACGAAGATGCTTTGGTCTACGAGCCGGGTTCCGGTATCTCGGCTACCGGTGCCCTGACTGCCTACTCTGGCAAGAAGACCGGCCGCTCTCCCTCAGACAAGCGCATTGTCAAGGAGCCGTCATCAGAAAAGGACATCTGGTGGGGCCCTGTCAACAAGCCTATGACCCCTGATGTAAGAACACCCCCATCACAGCTATTGCGTTTCTACCGCAACCACGATCTCTGTATCTGCTCCTGTTTTTTTACCTTTGTGCTTCTTTGTTCTGTGATGCAATTTTGCATTCGCATGTCATTCTCCCCTCTTCCACCTGTGGCACGCCACCCCTGCATTGGCGCTTCCCTTTTCGGCTACGAATGACATCGTTGTATGTCACGTCCTATCACACGACCTCGAGCCATCTTTAGCCTTCTCCGACGATTGCCGTCCTCTCAGCCGCAGCTACTCGCAAAACCCACCCAAAACTTTTTCGGAACGCCTTTGCGGTACTGCACAGCTTTGGTCAGCTTTTCCAAGTGGAAACCGAGAGTTCGCCCACGATACGATACATGTGGCAATAGGCAAATGATACGAGGCGAAAGGACGGAAACGTCGACTTTTGAAACTCCCCAGCCACGGAAGCTTGCTTTCGTATTTGCGCTGAGTTGGCAAGACAAATCGCATGTTCCTCATTGGCGACCACATTTGCCCTCGGATTGAGACACCCGTCGCAATAGCAGCCTAACAAGGCAACTGTTCTTTTGATGCTGTAATCGACTCGCTCCTTCCGACAATTCCCTTCGGTTCCCCACTACCCCGGCCACTGGCGTCATGATGCATCCTCGGGCCAAGTGCAGGCAGTTGCTTTTCATGCTTTTCGTGCCCCGCCCAGCGACAATTACCGAGCTAGGGACGCTGTTTCATTGGGTCCCCTTTGTCCCCTCTTGCCTAATCCGGCAATTGATCCCATTTCACCAACCCCAGCATTTTCTTACCATTTGCACATGCAAACCACGTGATTTTTTTATTTCATCACGCGACCACGCGATACTACCACCGCTTTTGTGCTAACCTGCATTCCCCTTTAGGTCTGGAAGATCAACCGCGAGCGTGCGATCGACTACCTGAACACTCGCAGCCGCCTGTACGTCATTGACGGTTACGCCGGCTGGGATGAACGCTACCGGATCAACGTGCGCGTCGTGTGCGCGCGCGCCTACCATGCCTTGTTTATGCGCAACATGCTGATCCGGCCACCCCCGGAGGAGCTGGAGCACTTCCATCCCGACTACACCATCTACAACGCTGGCTCGTTCCCTGCCAACCGTTACACCGAGGGCATGACCTCTGGTACCTCCGTCGCCATTAACTTTGCCGAGAAGGAGATGGTCATCCTCGGTACCGAGTACGCTGGTGAGATGAAGAAGGGCGTCTTCACAGTTCTTTTCTATGAGATGCCCATCAAGCACAACGTCCTGACACTGCACTCGTCTGCCAATGAGGGCAAGAACGGCGATGTCACCCTCTTCTTCGGTCTGTCCGGAACTGGCAAGACCACTCTCTCTGCCGATCCCAACCGTGCCCTGATTGGTGACGACGAGCACTGCTGGTCCGACAAGGGTGTCTTCAACATTGAGGGCGGCTGCTACGCCAAGTGCATTGGCCTATCCGCCGAGAAGGAGCCGGATATTTTTGGCGCAATCCGCTTCGGCTCCGTCCTCGAGAACGTTGTCTTCGACCCCGAGACCCGCACTGTCGATTACGACGATGCCACCCTCACCGAGAATACCCGTTGCGCGTACCCCATCGAGTACATTTCCAACGCCAAGATCCCCTGCTTGTCCAACTCGGCCCCGAGCAACATCATCCTTCTCACCTGCGACGCCCGCGGCGTCCTGCCCCCCATCTCCAAGCTCAACAGCGCCCAGACCATGTTCCACTTCATCTCCGGTTACACCTCCAAGATGGCCGGCACCGAGGACGGTGTCACCGAGCCCCAGGCCACCTTCTCTTCGTGCTTCGCCCAGCCGTTCCTGGCCCTGCACCCCATGCGCTACGCCCAGATGCTTGCCGACAAGATCGAGCATCACAAGGCCAACGCCTGGCTGCTCAACACCGGCTGGGTCGGTGCGGGTTTCGCCCAGGGTGGCAAGCGCTGCCCCCTCAAGTACACCCGTGCCATCCTCGACGCTATTCACTCCGGTGATCTCGCCAAGGTCGAGTACGAGAACTACGACGTCTTCAACCTGCAGGTCCCCAAGTCGTGCCCCAACGTCCCCTCGGAGCTGCTCAACCCCAAGGCTGCCTGGACGGCTGGTTCCGACTCCTTCAACACCGAGGTCCGCAAGCTGGGTGGTCTGTTCATCGAGAACTTCAAGAAATACTCGGACGAGGCCACGCCCGACGTCGTCAAGGCCGGTCCTGTCATCTAAACGATGCTCGCCGCGCTCTTTTTGATTTTCTCTATTGGAACTTGTACGACGTTTACGCCCTGTTTCGCGTTCCTGCTTCATTTCCGTTTTCCTTTGTTCTGGATTCTTGGGTATAAAATGCAATGTTTAATCTTGTTGTTACTCGTTCTCTTTTTTTTTTTTTTGTACTGTATATACAGTGCGACCGGTGGTGGAAGATTTGAAACCGGGAATTGCGAGAGACGGCGGCTTCCTTGCTATGCAGTGTGCAAAGACGCAAAGAAGTTTTTGTTTGTCCTAAACCATTGAAAGTGGTTTTTACATACTTTTATATAGTGCAAAGCGGTGTAGCTTTTCATTTCTCTTGGACTCCTTGACTCCGTGCCTTTGTTTGTGCTACATAGCTCCAAATAGGATAATATTTTGTGGCTTAGTATAACGGGCTTGAACATAGTATGCGACATGACGCTGGTATCAAAGTCAGTGTTGATGTCGTCAGCTATTGTCTTTTGATTTTTTTAATACATGTCTACAGAAATACATAAAATTAATTCGAGGAACGTATTAACGTATTCAAGTAGTTTTAAGAAATATTCCATTTGCAACGTAAGGTAAAAAGGTCACTAATAACGATAATACGTACAAAAAAGACACCACATATATGAAACTTTATAAACCCTGAAGTTCCATACATGCTGCTGTTTCTTGAATGACTCCTGCGGCACTAACAATAAGCAGCCTCTAGGGTCTTATACTATTGACATTCTCCATCACAGAGCCTTGGTAGCCGGTCCCTTCTTCGTGCACACAATCCACTTCATGTACCCGCACGGCCACAGGTGCTGCACCTCGCCACTGCGCAGATCCCACGCGTCCGTGTCGGCTGTCGACGCCCCACATGTCCGCAGAAGCGCCTCCACCTCGTCCGGCGTCCGCGTCCGCAGCATCGACATCCAGCCGTCAAACACGAGTACAAATGGCAGGATGGGGATCAGGTATGTGAACACGAGCGTCATGGGCGACCGCCAGCGCCAGGCGTAGTAGGGCGCAGTCAGCAGGATGCCAAGCCCAAAGATGAGCGTGGTCACAAACGCACTGAGGGACCGGTCCTGCAACTCAAATATGCCGAAGCCATCGCTGGTCTCGACGGTGTTTTTGAGAATGTCGCGTGCGAGGGGGTCGTCAAAGTGGTGGAAAGCCAGGCTAAACAGGCGACAGACACGGGCGTCGGCCAATGTGGTGGGCTGGGTGGTGGACGATCCGGCCCCAAAGGCCTCGCTGAGGATGGCTTTCGGATCGGCGTCGCAGGCGTCCACGGGCTGCGCCGCGTAGCGGACGTGCTGGCTGGCGGCAGCGGCGGCAGCCCACTCTTCGACATGCGGATGCAAGTCTGTGAGGACAAACTGGGTCGGGGCAGCCTTGCCGTCCTTTCGGCTTTGGCTGGTGTTGAGGATGCGCTCGATGCTGGGCGTCGGTCCGCCACCACCGGCGCAAAAGTCAATCATGATCCAGGGGGCTGCGGATGATGACTGCTGCCCGTTCTTTTCGAGCACCTCGCGTCGAAGCACGTCGGCAACGAGAGACGCCGGCGAGGCGCTTTGCAAAATGGGGACACGCATGATCCAAGCCCGAGTCAATGCAGCCTGGATGCGGCCACGACACCATGCTGGAAACCTTTATTGGGCCCGTGTTAGGTGGCTATTCACGATGGTGGAGGGAAGGGTGAGCTGTAGCTTACCATGGCTGGTCATCAATCTCAAAGACATGCATGCGAGGGATTAGAGGTGCCATTGTGCGTACTGTTTTCATAGAAATGTACGAATTGAAGCTTGAACAGGGGAAAAGGGGGGGATATGGTAAAGCTGTTGCGGGAAGGAAAGCTCTGAGAACCAATGGATGACGGAGCTCGTTGAAGAGCTACCCCAATTGGATGCGAATTGGATTAGGCAGGTGCGACTGTTAAGAATGCGATGGTTTCCGTTAGAATGATATTGCCAAGCAATATCCCAGTTTTGAAGAGGCAATTGATGCAGATTGTTTCTTTAAGAAAAGTCGGATAAAATACGACATTGGACGTACGTCGATTGAGGATTTCCTTCTGGCTACCGGCCTGAGGATAAAACAGGCGTTAGTTTTCAGACGGGTTGAAACAGGGCGTGCACGTTCTTATGGTTTTAAGGGATTGCGCAGCGCTTTCCAATTCAGGACATAGTAGCCTGGCGACCACGATAAACGTTCAACTGGCAAGAGCAACTCAGTTTCTTCACGAATGAAGATCTATGTCATACTTCATTTGAGCTGCAGAATTTGAAAAATGAGGGTCGGATAAAGCTAAGAAAGAAAGTAAGCGCAGTCGACTTCGCATTCTTGGGAGGCGCAGGTGCACCAGAGCTCTCCGATTGGTACGCGCGCCCCTCGACAAAGCGGCCAATATCTCTACGCCGCCCCGGTTTCGTCACTAGACGTCAGTCAATCCATCCGATGCCCGACAACCAGGCAACATCTCGCCCCGCGACAACGGGCACTCTTATCTCGCCGCCTCTTTCTTTAGCTTCTGTTGCTTTTTTATGTGTATTATCGGTTTTCGGCTTGACTTCACTATTGTCTAAATGCAGTCCTGTCGTTATAAGGTCATGAATGTCGTCAAATATTTGCAACTCAAAGAATCTATCGCTTTTCTATCCCATCCGGCCGTTGTCGTAGACTCGGTCCATGTGGCCGCTGAAATACAGGTGCCGAAAACGACCTCCTCGGAATAAACCAAAACTGCGCCTGTCCTCCGGCCAGCTGAAGTCATCGTCGTCTGATATGTCCAATCCCTATGCGTGTATACTGTTCATAGTCCATCGTTCCCTTTATAAAGTGCCTCCTTCAGTCGTTCACTTGCGTCTCTTGGATGTCCGGTCCTTGTATTTGGGAAACACAATCGAGCCCTTCTTCGCCCTCCGCTTCTCAATGCGCTTCTTGCCGAGCGGCTTCTTGAGAATCGCTCCCGAGTCGACCTCCATGGCAGCTGCTATTCTGTTAGTATATTGCTTGTTTCAGAGACCGGATTCTGTCTTCTCTAAGCGAGACCAAACAACTTACAGGTTTCCTCCTTGAGTTGGTCGCTCGGTGTGGGCTCCTCGTTCGCTGCATGTTTGTTAGACGTTATTCTCTCTTTTCTAAATTCTGCCATTCGCCCAGCAAGATAAACCCACCATCGGCAACATCTTCCATGGCGTTCGGGTCCTCCTTGGCCTCCTTCACGGGCGCCGGTTGGGCTGCCAGCTCCATCAGCTTCGCGGACAGACGCTCCGTCCGGGCCGACTCGACGGGGCCGAAGACATTCTTCTTGAGCTTCTGGTTGTTGTTCTTGCGCGAACTCGCGCGCGCGCTCTTGGCCATTGTGTCTGTGTGAGAGGAAGTAGTCACGGCCTCGTAAATATGCGTGGTTGTGATGAATATCGACTTGTCGTACGTCCTGCTTTCCGCCTGCTTTCCTTTAGTCTTTACCACTGGCTTTTTTCTTTATTCGGCATTTTTTTTCATTATCAACTTTTTTCTGCCGGTTTTTTGCGCTATCATAATGCACGCGTTAATAGGTTACTCCTAAATGCTTTTCGCCGCCCTTCACCGCCTTCATTAACGCCCTCTCTCTCAGTGAGGCAGGTGGTGGCCGAACAGGCGCCAGTATGTTGTACCATCGCCCCCCCAAGTCGCCTAGAGCGAAACACCCGAAAAATGTCGACACGACGGGTGACGGTGACGACGTCGACGACACCGCCCGACAACGACTTTGCACGCCGCGCGCGGACGCGATTCTTATGACACGCCGCACACCGTATGTCATCGCTGACCTACGCGCTCTTTCTGAGCTCTCTCTGCCTCTTCTTCTCCAGCAACCTGCACTCTATCACTATCTCTGCGCGGCTTAAAAGCATCTTATGCCGCGTTTTGTCACGCGAGGCTGCGACTTTTTACTCTCTCGCTCTGCTCGGGTCCTTCGCCGACCAACACGTTTTACACCGTCAACAGCAGACGAGACTCTGTGACTCGTCCGTCACAGATACCGACGCGCCCCTTCATCCCGCCACCGCCCGCCTGAGCCGCGCAAGCAAAGGTTCCCTTTTGACACAGATCGACGATATCCGTACAAACGACGAGCCTCGTGAACTTGGGGCAGGCCTTGGTTGAACGCCACCTGGGCCTGGCAAGGCCCTACCACAGACTCAAACAACGTTTAGGAGCTGCACGTCGAACTGCACTTCCCATTCACTACCCCGAAGGCTGAGACGCTTCACTTGTCTGGCACCGGCTTCTCAAGCACAGCATTTGGCGACGTGCAACGACCTCCCACAACGCACTCACGTCACGCAGATTCTCGCCGCTATCTCCGCTACGAACCTTCACTTCTCTGCACCATGGCGTCTCAGCAACAGGAGGTCAACAAGCTGGTGGCCACGATCCAGGTTCTCAAAAACAGGGATCTGATCTTCATCTGCCAGAGCAATGGCCTGGCCAAGTCGGGCAACAAGGCCGACCTCCATAAGCGGATCATCAACTGTAGGCTGGCCTCTTCATCCTCTTCTGCACTTTTCTTTTATATCCTCATAGTTTTCGTCACCTTTTTCTACTGGCTTTGCCTCGACACCACCGTGCAACCATCATGCTACTTTCCATCATGGACAGCGTCTCTCGTTGGTTTGCCTCTTCTGTTAACAAGACGACCACAGATATCGATGCATCCGTTCACGACCCGAACCAGCGAAACTATAACAACATCCGGAACAGTATTATGCAGGTGACAAATGGCACTCTTCCGGGCAACTACCGCGGCTCCTATCTGGGCAACTCCCCGATCCCCTCCTCACCCTCTTACAACCAGGCCGGCATGTCCTCGCCGTATAACGGCACTGGCGGGGCACAAAACGGTCTCGGGCACAACGGTGCACGGGCAGTCTTCTCACACCAAGGGCTCCAGTTCAAGCCGAGTCCCTTTTACGAGATCGAAGCACCAATTGGAGACGTCCGACAATGCGAGGGTATGTCACAGCTGCTCTGGGAAACGAGACGAGACGAGACTGGGGCATCGCCGTACTAACAAGCGTTGCAGCTATGGCACAACACCGGAATAGCATCACCATTGTCGTCCGCGCCTCCCAACATCCCGACCTCCAGCGGTGTCTTACCGATCCGGCCATCCGCGTCATGATTTTTTGTGCGGCGAACAACTACGGCATCCAAGATGTGGCTTTCCCCTATCAGTGCGAAATCAAGGTGAACGGCGGCGAGGTCAAGGCCAACTTGCGGGGCTTGAAGAACAAGCCCGGTTCGACGCGGCCCGTGGATATCACAGACCAGCTCCGCCAGAAGCCGCCAACCTACGGAAACAGCTTAGAGTTCACCTACGCACTGACATCCAAGGTTCGTACAGTCAAATACATTTTTTTTTATTTCTCCGATGAATAGTTTCTAACGTTTGTACAATAGCGATTCTACCTTGCGTTGTATATTTGCAAAACATACTCTGCACCAACCTTGGCATCAAGGATAGAAAAGAGAAGTCGCATTACAAGGGCTTCTGTTATTCGGGAAGGTATGCATATAGTCATCCTAGACCACATTTAGTATTTCACCGTGCTAACTCAAACCCAGTCACAAAACAAGCACAAGATCCAGATATTGTGGCAACCTCGTTGGTATTGTCGCTCAAATGCCCCTTGACCTACATGCGATTGTCATTACCCGTCCGGGCAACAACATGCAAGCACATTCAATGCTTCGATGCAACATCGTACCTGCAGCTACAAGAACAGGGCCCGCAGTGGCTCTGCCCTGTGTGCAGTAATGCGGCACCCTACGATGCGCTGGCTGTGGACGAATATGTCAAGGACATTCTAGAAAATACGCCCAGTGACCTCGACCAGGTCACCATCGACCCAGACGGCACATGGCACACTGGCAAGGACAAGGACCAGGACCGAGCAGGTGGTGTCTCCACTCCACCACGATCCAGTGCCGCAGTCGCATCGGTTGCCACGCTGCTCGACGACGAGTTTGAGATTTTGTCGACCCCTGTCCCGCGAAGGAGCAATGGCTACTCGAACGGCGACGGCGGCAGCCAGCCGAACAGCAATGGCGGTAGCACCGTCGTTGGCAGTGGCCACGGCAACGGCAACGGCCACGATATGTCGAGCAGCAACCCCACGCTGATCAATAGCCGTGACACCACGGCGACGCCTAACAGGAGTACCGTGACGCCCAACGGCGGCGGCGGCCTCAACTCCAACAACAAACGCCCACGCGAGGTTATTGACCTGACGCTGGACAGTGACGAGGATGACGAGCCTCTACCACGCCGGTTTAAGCGACAAAACACGGGCACTGGCACGGGCTATGGCGGGTCTGGTTCGTCTGCGGCACTGTATGACGGTGTAATGGGAAACGCCCAATTCTAGCAGGACCTCTCGGCTGCGTCGTAATTCCTTGCTCCCACGATTTTTTTAAACTTTAATGTTTCCCTTTCGGTTTCTTCTGAACATTTACAAATGAGCGGCTTGCGTTTTAACTCCTCGGCTTTCTGGGTTTTTGCATCACTTATACCTGTTCCATGTATTTTTTTTACAGTGCACTTTCAAGTCGACTTACAGCGTGACGTCTTTGCGACATACGGCGTGTTGTTCAGAGAAGGGCACAGGAGGTGAGCAAAGACACTCGCCTTCTTGCTCGGCACACTCTAAAGCAAGAGAAGGGTGAACAAAGTGTGCGGGATACTTGCGTTAGCGATACACTGCAACATATGGAGGGTATGGAAAGGAATTGGGCGCGTGTTGAAAACAATTTTATTTTAAAGTCTTAATCAAAACTGATTCCCAACTATTATTGGCCTCCAATTGAAAATAACATATCAAGCATTCCATAAATCATAAAAAAATCAAATGTCGGATCTCACGTTGTCATTGTGCTGTGTCTTTCCATATATACTGCACAATAGAATAATATGCAAGTATATGGTACATATTATCTTTTAGCATAATATATCTATGTAACGAGGCACCGTGAAGTATCGTCCGGGAAGAGAGCGCCCCACTTTAGCTAAGGTTGGCAGTTTAGGGGGACAGCATCGGGCGAAACGTGTAACAAACCGCGACCTCATAGCAGATACAGCATTTATCGCGAAACGAAGGCAGCAGGTGTTGTATGCAATTTAAGATAACGTCTCCACCCGTGGCACATCTCATTGACTGACGACACAAGCTCACAAGGAGCTCGCCAAACAACGACCAGAGGCTCACACATCTCACGTACTCCTTGCACATTTTCACACATTAAGAAACCCTTCATACTGGGGATGACGTCGGTCTGAGGACGAGAGTTGCAGGCGTTATAACAGCGCACTTCTTCATTACACATCTTGCCTGTTTACATTGTCTCTCCTCCCGTCTCTCACAACACCACAACCATGTCGTTTGACCCCGTCCTACCCCCGTTCAACGCGGGCGACCCGGGTGCAACGTTCTTCAACTCGTCGTGCCTCGACTTCTTGCTCATTGAGCTCGTCCCGATGGCCTACCGCGTGACCAATGAGCTTGAGGCGGGCGCACAGGCACGGTCATTGGCGGTGGCTGCGGCGGAGGCAGGACTCGAGGGGGCAGCACCACATCCAGACGCACAAGGAACAGCACCAGGAGCTGCTGCTGCTGCTGCTGCTGCTACTGCTGCCGGAGCAGCAGGCGCAACAGGTAGCACAGCGGTAGGGGCACCAGCACCAGACAAGGTGGCGGCAGCGGCCGGCAGCACAGCGGGCACGGGCACAGGCACGGCGACAGGGACTCTCAACACAACGGGTCCTGGCGGCGGCCGGCGGCTGCTGGACGAGGATGAGGAGCGGGACGCCGTGTTTTATCGGCTCGAGATGCTGGGCTACCGGGTCGGGCAGGGTCTGGTGGAGCGGTTCTCGCGGGAGCGGCCACGGTTTCACGACACACTGGACGTGATCAAGTTCCTGTGCAAAGATTTGTGGACGCTTGTCTTCCGGAAGCAGGTCGACAATCTCAAGACGAATCATAGGGTGGGTTTGGTCTTCCCCCTCCCCCGGATCGTCCCATTTTCTCCTCTCGACTTGAACTGTGCAGCTCTACTAACATAGCATAGGGCGTCTATGTCTTGACAGACAACGCATTCCGGCCATTTCAGAGGATGAGCACCGAGGCCGGCGGCCAGGCGGTGGTGCGGGCACAGCCGGTAGGTGGTTTTTTCCTTTTTGCGTTTCCGACATGTTTACTTTTTACCCCATTGCTAACAGACTGGAGTTCCTTTGGTTTCCGTGCGGTATTGTGCGTGGCGCGCTGGCGGCGTTGGGCATCACGGCCACGGTGCAGGCCGAGAGCAACGAGCTGCCCGGGGCCATCTTCCAGATCAAGACGATTCCGACCAAGGCATAGTCGGAGCGTCAGTCAGGCAGGGACATTTTTACTCTTTATATGGTTTCTGGAAGACTTCCTTTTCTGTTTGTCAACCAAGCGTTGTCAACCAAGCGTCCTCTTTGTACTTTTAATGACACCAGCCGCCAGCATTACGGTATTAGAAAACTAGGATCTCTGTTCTTGCTGTTCTGAAAATCTGCTCTCATATCCTTCCAAGGCCACATCGTATCTCGCTTCGAGGCGTTCTTCTCCCAAAAATAAAACGACGTAAGGTGCCTCAATCAACTGTATATATTTCGCAATTTTCTTTACTTCCCTTTCACCGTTACATCATTGCATGCGCCGTACAAAAGATGCTGTAGTGCTACACTGGTGACAAAGGCTCTTCCTCATCCTCTATTTTACCGGTTGTTTTGTCGGGGTGGAGCCCATAGAGTGGCGCTGGGCCAGGAGAAGCCACGATGTGGGCGGCATTGGTATCCAAAGAGGTGAGATCCTGAGACAGTTGGGTGTGCAGCGACTTGGTCGTGGGGCCAAGCTGCTTAGCTCTCATCTCCTTTTTGAGCTTCCACGGTTGCATTATCAAGCCAACCATGATGGCTTTCTCCCAGCTTCCCGATGACCAAATATGTAAAAATAGAGGCAGCAACTGCGATAAATGGCACGACCTTGGACGGGTCTTATTATCCCTGCCAGCCTTGAACTTGGGAGCGCTACAAACTGCGTTACTTTCACGATATGAGAAAAAACCATCAGACAATATTGGGAACTCGATAAAATGGCTCTCGAAATGACTGCGTGCAGTGCGGTCCATTCGGTTGAGTTGCCTGCATGAAAGGTAAATAGTGAGTGAAAGTGATAAAAAAAAAGAAAAAGAAAAAAAAAGAAATGTGCAACACAATGAGAGGAACGGATCGGAAAAGGAGATGAATTGCGACTCCGTAACAGGCAACCATACATGAATCGGGACATAGGCAAGTGGACGTCGCCTTTGACATAAGTACTCCGTTGAGGATGTCCGTTTCCTTCCCCGGGATAGGGAGCCGATGCCAGTCAGACAAGAGGTCGCAAAGCCCTCATAATTGGCGCCATCGTATATGGAGCCCCTCTTCCTCAGTCTTCCCCCAACAAGAGGATAAAATGCGTTACTCGCAGAAAAACCGTAAAAATTGGAGAGAAATTTATAATGGATGAGATTCTAAGTCGACGGTGGGCGAAACACGCCCCAAAAAAAAACCTTGTAGGAGCGCCGTGAAGATGTCCGGTCCATTTCGAGCTTTGTGCCTTCGGCGATGTCCACGGATATTTTCCAATTCAGACGCCGCGTGTATTATGGCACACTCAAAAGCTTCAACAATCCTCAGGTCCTCCCTCGTCCAGAGAAAAATGATGCAAGGGAAAACCGAGCCTTGTCACTGGTCCTTACCCCTCATACCTACGAATGTACTTGAACTGAACCCCTCCACCGCGCCTGGGATCCCTTGCGGCTTCGCGCGGCCAACAATTCACCCAACTGACCTTGCATCACCGCCGGTCTCGCTCCACTTCGTTTCCATCTTTCTTCGTTTCCTTTACCCCAGCTGCCCAGGTACCCACCATAAGTCAAGCTCCCCAACACATAAAATTCGCGGTGCTGTTGTTTGCTTGCCGCACCAAATATGAGGCGGGTGTAAGGCGGGCGGCCTGGCGTCTTCCGTTTTGCCCAATTCCCACCCCATTTTCGAATTCATGGCCATTATTTCATTCCAATTACATCCATGGCGCCCCGGCTCGCTCGCTCCTCTTCTTCCTGTCCGTATCCCTCTCCTCTCATTTAGGTAGCTTCTCCACTCTACTATCCCGCTCTCAATCCATGGCTTTTCGAGCTTGGGTCGTGGTCGTTCTCGTCCGTCTTACGCGGGCCTCGTGCATCTCGAACATGCGCAGGCACCGTAGTTTCTCCGCCTGTCTCGTCGTTTCTTTCGCGCCATTCATGCGCCCCTTTGCCCGCTCTTGGCTCGCTCCCACTATTCGCTCGCGCTATTCACTCGTTTTTTTTATTCGTCCCTCTCACATCCGCCGGATGTCCTTCTCTATTGTTTTTGCTTTTTAGGTGTTTTGGTACAGGGTCGTTTCGGTTTGTAATGCTTCTGTTGATTCTCATGGTGGGATTCCCCCACCACACTTGCCGCAGAGCACACGGCAGTGGTAATAATAACAGTTGGGTGGCGTCGTGGCGTCGCGGCTTGTTCGTTGATGTGCGGGATGCACACAAGGCAGGGGTGGTAGTACTCGTAGGTAGGTGGGCAGGAAGCAGGTCGGATATGTTTCGTGCTCTTCTTTGGTCTGATACACAGACAGAAGCGGTTCACCTACAACCTAGACATTTTCCAAAAGGGAAAGAGAAGAAAAACAGATCAGCAAAGCTTGGCCTTTTTGGCTGGGTTTTGTTTGCACGAAGATTGTGATTTCGTGTTTTGCTCTCGCTATATGTTTGGGTCTACTGATCCGAAGCCAAAAAAAAAGCAGCCGTTTGTTCCCTTAAGGGTTTCGAAAGCAAAAGCAATATGATTCTGCAGAGCATTTCTATTCCCTCCTTTTTTGTTGTTTTTTGGTCTTATGTCGAAAAGAATGCACCACTCCTTCCGTACGTTCTGTTCAACCTTCTATTGGCGCCAGGTTGTCCGTACCTGCTGTGTCACACTAGACGGCACAGCATTGAAGGACGGGACACCGTTTGCGACAAAGGGGGCTGTTGATCTTTGGTATGTTTTTTGTGTGATGCGCAAGTAAAAACAAAAAAAAAAGGCAAAGGGGGCACTAGATTAAGTGGGAAAGGGGAGCAATCACTTTTGTGCGGGAGGCTTGTTGGCGAACGTGACACCCTTCTGGATGTTGTCCTTCAGGCCACTGACGGCCTTGTCCAGCAGCTTCTTCTCCTGATCGGTGATATCGCCGAGAACGTCGACGGCCTTCTCGGCACCGTTGGGCTGCAACACATGTCAGCACAATAGAGTTACACAACGAGAGGGGTAGAAAGGAGGGACAAAATGGGGGGAACGTACGCCAAGCTCGATGGGGACCGAGAAGAAGTCGACACCGGTCTTCTTAGCAATCTCCTCGCCGCCCGGAACACCGGGGAGGTAGACGTAGCTGGGCTCGACAAGGCCCTTGGCGCCCTTGACAGCCTTCAGCAGCTTCTCAGCAAAGCTAGTTTTAGTGTTAGCTTCTTCTTACATTATCTGAAGGAGTATGGGCAAACAGCCTGAACTAGAATAGCAAAAGCTTACCGGTAGCCGGCGTAGGCCATGGAAAGGGTGGCAGAGCCAGCACCGTCCTTGGCCTTGACGACCTCATCGCCACCGAACTGGACACGGTTGACGAGCGCATCGTACTTGTCGGCGGGGATGCTGACGGAGGGCTTGACCTGGCTGAAGAGGGGAACAATGGTCTCCCCAGAGTGGCCACCGATGACGGGGACGGTCAGCTCCTGGGGGTTAGCCTTGCCGGCGATCTCCGCAACGAAAGTCTCGGCGCGGACAATATCGAGAGTAGTAACGCCGAACAGGCGCTGCGGGTTAAAGACACCGGCGGCCTTGAGGACCTCGGCGGAGATAGGAACCGTGGAGTTGACGGGGTTGGAGATGACGAGGATGAAGGCCTTCGGGGCGACCTCAGCGGCGACCTCAATGAGGCCCTTGACAATACCGGCGTTGATGTTGAAGAGATCGTCACGAGTCATGCCGGGCTTGCGGGGAATACCAGCCGGGATGACAATGATGTCGGCATCCTTGAAGGCGGTCTTGGCGCCGTCGTTGGCGGGCAGGAAGCCAGCAATCTTCTGCACGGGCTGTTAGAGACAGGTTCCAGGGAGGAGCTACCGCGGCTCCGGTGCCGCCAAAGAATACCAACTTACAGCGTTGGAAGAAATGTGCGACAGATCAGCGGCAACACCAGGGGTGTTGACGACATCGTACAGAGCAAGCTCGTCGACGAGCGGGCACAACTTCAGGAGCAGCGACAGGGGCTAGAGGGTGCATTGTTAGTTCTCGTTGCCGGCCATGCGAGTAGAAGCACATAGGAAGAAGCGCATCACGAACCTGTCCGATACCGCCAGAGGCGCCAGCAACAACTATCAGAACGAGTCAGCTTGAAGCTCCCAAACTTGCTGCTTGTAAATTATTGGACTCGAGCGAGTGCCCTCGCCAGTTCGACTCAAGCCCCCAACTACAATGGCGAGTAATAAGAACAGAAAAACCTACCGGCCTTGACCATAATGGGCAGATGTGTGTTTTGAGGGCTAAAAAGGGGAGAATGGGTGTTTTGCGGTGTTGGTTGATGCTCTGATGAGAAACTGCGGGGTTGGAGCTGGAAAGCTTTTAGAGGAAGCGCGTGTTAGCGAGTGTAAAGCTCGATGTGTTAAAGGATGGCGAAGGTAGGGCAATGTTTACCTGTAGATATGCGGATTAATCGGCAATTTGGAGACGGTCTGGGGAGGAGAGAGAAAGAAGAGAAAAGGTAACGAGAGGGAAGAAAGAAGAAGAAGGGGGACGAAGAATGGGGAATGGAGGACGAAGGCCGAGGCGTTCAGAAATATGGCAGGAGAGACCGAGGTGGGACACTAGGAGCATGGTAAGACAGCGGACAGCCGGATTTTGGGTTCTGTTGATTTTAGTTATTTCCCCGTACTTTACAGCGTGGAACAACGTATAGCGGGGTCCTTTACTCCATGTTTCCCCCCTGTGACGCCAGCACGGCGCCGGCCGACCCAACGCTGTATCTCCCCTTCGTTACTGCCGTTCTTGGACTTTGCATGTGCCGTACGTGATCGTACTTTCTCCTACTCTGGGTCCATACACCTCTAACAGCAAGAGCGAACGTCACTTTTGCTCACGTACGATGTGACTTGCGCAAAGCATATTCCCTCCTTCCTTGTTTCCATGTCTCCCCATTCCGCCTTCCCTTCATCCCGCACTCCAAACACACGTCCGCATCACAATGTCGTAATTCTCTCGCCTAACCACCCGCCCAGTGCTCTTTCCCCTTTCCCCTGCCGCACTTTTGTCGCCTATGGCGCTACCTCGCGCCTGCCATTTCAGCCCGCCATTCCAGCCCGCCATTCCGTAACTGAAAAATGACCACGGCATACAATGGAAGTAGCAGTGGTGGTATAACTGTAGATGGCGCCCGTAAGCGGCACACATCCGATCTGGATTGTTGGATAAATCGAGATGGCTATTGGGCGCCTCCGGGCTATCTAGAGGAGCTTTCGTCATTCAACCAGCACATCTCGAAGCTGACCCAAAATGTCTTTCTCAGTCTTTCGAAGACACGATACGACTTGTACTGCCGTTAAGCGACTTGCATGCTGGCCAGCTATAAGACACTTGTTTATTTCTACGTACGCTTGTATGCCGTCCTGCCCGATCTCTTCTGTCCATGTTCGTAATAACGCACGTTCTCGTGCAAACGTCTCACGCCAGTCTCAAGAAACCAAGCCGTTACTCCCCAGGAAACAGGTACACCGCCCAGGCCTATCTGTATACAAAGTATATTGACCCATAGCTGAAGCTCAGTGGAACGGTGGAACGGCTTTTCCCGACTTTGCTTGCCGACATATAGGCCGTCCCGAAAAGCATCACGTAATTACATCCAAGGCTGTGCGCTGCACCGGCCGTTCTTACGTCTATTTGAACTGTCCCTATTGGCTCTCTTGAGCTTCACCTCGCGACCTCGCACCTAGCGTCCCTTAGCGAGCTGGTTCTCCTCGGGTGCCTTGTGTAGGTTGCGCGTTGCTGGACTTGGTGATTGTGTCGTGCGCAAGTCGCGAATCTGGCCAGTCTTGTAAAAGCGCATCCTCGGCTGCATCGGGACCAGTCGGAATCCGGTCCGATGACGACGGAATCAAGTAACAAAGTTCGCTTCTCGGACAGCCCAAGGTTGACGGTCCATAAAACCATTTGAATTATAATCTGTTTTCAGCCACATGTATTGTCAACATTCTTTGCACATAGGCCTTTAGTTTTGTCGCTGACGTCGATATTCACGTGCAAATTCGTCCGCCATGTGAATAGTCCGACAATTGGCCACCCCCAGAGGAGGCTCCATAATAATACCGCTGGGTCCTGGCTCGCAAGTGCACGGGCACGACGGGGTTGCCAACCAGGGGTTTATTGACGAAGCTGGAGAGTATTACGGGGGTATCACACTGATCACACTGGGGAACGATGAAACATTTGATACCTGGTTGCTGGCATACTCACATCGCCCCCATGCTATTAAGCTGGCGACCTCACAATCCTGTGATTGACTCATTTGTTGGAAGCAACTGCCATCTCTCAGTCACAATGCCGTTACAATACGTCGTAGCTCAGATGAAGCATACCGGTTGGGAACTGCTTGAAGAAGTCTCTTGAAGTCAAGTCAGCGTGTTTTGATTTTTGTGAAGATTTCGATTTTTTTAGTCCAGTTTGCTATTTGATTTCATGAAAACGATCCGGTTCTCATTCCAAGGCCTTCCCGGATTGGATTTTCCTGTCACTGACCCAGTATCATACGTCTCTTCGCGGGACGATGTGCAGGGCGAGCAGACCCTCTCCCCATCAGGGAGAGACGAGTAAGAAGGAAAAAGCAGGGACAAACAGCCCTGCTTCCCACCTGTGGGTCATAAGGTGTCAAGACAACCGTGGATTCCCCAATTTTTCTGGTTTTGTTTGCTTGCCAGCCCCGACAGCCGTACACCGCCGTCAAACACACACATATATATGTATGCAACAACAGCATAACCCGAACATCATCCCCGCACCATCAACTCAGACACATAACAAAACGTCCAGCATCACCCTCTTTACGAGGACTCAGCGGCCTTTTGGGCGGCCTTGCCGCGGAGCTTGACCTCGTGGTCGGGCTTGACGGGGCGCTGCGAGCGGCGGATGGCAGAGGCACGGGAGACAGCGGCGGCGCGCAGGTCAGCACGGTAGCCGGACTTGGCGACCATAGTGGCGACGGAGCGGTAGGTCCTGCACAGCACGTGGTCAGTACGCCGAACAACCCAGTAATGAAATTGCGTCACAGGTCCAAGGTCGGAAACAATCACAGCAACTCACTTTCTTGCGGACTTGTTGGCACCCTGGTTGGAGGTGACCTGGCCAGAAGCGGGCTTGTTGGCGGCCTTGGTCTTGCTGATGACCTGGACACCACCCTCCTTGTTGGCAACAACGCCGAGAGCCTTTCGGAATTGTTAGTTTCGACGTTCCATATCCCACTTTGATCCTTCGCTGAGGCGCAACGCGACAGTCGTAATCGCTCCCTTCTCGCCAGTTTCCCTCCAAGTCGACAAATCGCATCGGCTTCGATCCTCGTCGCAAAATCGTTTGTCGCAAAATCGAAAGACCGACCGATCGCCCGATATGTCTGTCGTGGAGGGAACAGCAGCATAAGGGAAGAGGTCAAGTTTGCCAGGCCGCTTCTCCTTCTTCAATGTCTCATAGCGTGACTCCGTTCTGTCCAAATCAAAATCGTACCTTGTCGTTGACGAAGCCGGCGTACTGTAAAATGATGTTAGATTCTGTATGAGATTGACCATACAAGAGTCCTCCTCAACCACGAATCATGCGGTTCCCCCCATCGTGCGGTGCTCGAAATCGTACCTTGCGGCTGTGGACGTTTGTCAGGTTCAGGGGGTCGCGCGAGAACTGGACCTTGGCGTTCTTGGTGCGCTTGACCAGGTACGAGTTCTGGGAGCCTGCAGATACAATAGAGTCAGATCGGTATTCTTTGCGGTATTCCTTCCGTCCCTTCGTTTTCGCTTCCATCGTCGTTCGGTTTCTCTCGGTTCGGGGCACGGTGATGACGTACGGACAATCTCCCAGACAAGGTCGGCCGAAACGTTCGGGGTAGACATTTTGAATGTGTGGTGATTTTTTGTTGATTTTCAAAAAATTGAACAAATGGCGAGTCGTGATGATGTCGTAAACAGGGTTGACCTCCAAAGACGGAGCTTTTCATCGACTATCTCGAAATTTCGCTGCTAATTTTTTTCCCTCTCAATTTTCCACAGACAAGGCCGCTGGGCCCCTCTCTCACAGCACACACCACCAATCCCGCTCCCTGTATCGTAGCTCAGCCGTCCAATTTTTCACCATTACACTCAAGTTTGTGGGTTCCTTAGTTACCCACTTCAGGGCAAGTATTTTCTTTCATCCGGTATGCATGTACCAGCTACAAAGGACCCATTACATACATAGCGTACTTGAAAATGCATGTATACGAGCTGATGTAACATTCAACGCGAGGCTGAATTAACGCGCCAAGGCGACACGCGTAAGCGAGGGCCTTACTAAGGATCCTGCAACCTGAGGCACATTTGCAGCTGCATGCGCCCGTTAAGTTGGGCCTGCGTCACCCATCTAACGGTGCTTCTGTCGATAAATTGTCTCATTGCCAAAGCAGATTACTCTGCAATACAACACAGCCACCTAGCCAACTCGTTGTCTCCTCTGTTCGAATGAGATATCGAAGAGTTTTCTCTTTATCGTATCTCTCTACGGAGATTCTCATGGCCTAAGAAGACTCTTGGCTTCGGGGGTCACAGCCGACGCTCCCCCTCTCCTTTTGCCAGTCTGTTTCAGCTCCAGCCCTCCGAGACATCCGACTTGAACGCCCGTGTTCGCACAACAATCCAACGACGACAGCGCTTCTGAAAGTGCCGTTGTCGACTCCTTTGTACCTCATCACCTAATAGTCATCGAATCTTATCTTAAGCCTCCGCCATGGCTCTCTTCCTCTACGGCCTCGCGCTGCTTGTGATCGTCGCGGGCTCTATTTTATATTGGACCCGCCAGCGCTGGATCTCGCCCCTCGTCGCGACCGTCCAGTCGGCGACCGACCGCATCTCCGACCGCCTCTCCTCCATCCGATCGCCGTTCTCCTACACCCGGCTTCCCTCGACGTTTGCGGGCGACGCCGAAGCAGGCCTGTCCAGCAGCACATTTGACCTGGCCGGCAATATCGAGGGCAACGACGGCCGTGCCGGTCTCGACGATGCTAGCAAGGCGGCGATCCTCAAGATTATGAAGAAGCGCCGGTTGCCGTTTGACGAGGCACGCCGCGTGTACATGGAGCAGCGGTTCAAGGACAACGGCATCGGCGCCGATGGCCTGCCGCGGGACCCCAAGTTTGTGAGCTTCTCGTAAACACAAACACCACCAGGACAAGCATTGGACGAGTCCAAACCAAGCGAGGCCTACGATGCAACGCCTTGTCGTCATACTGAGCAGTCGACTGCGCAACCCAAAAGGGAACATGCCACTGCCGCAGAACCAAATATATTGAACAAAACCGACATTCGTTCAAATTTTCTTATTTTTATCAGCTTTCTGCTTTTTAGGCCTTTATTTCTTATGTCGTCTTTCTTTTCTTGGTTTTATCTCTTGTCGTTTCTTGTCTGTCTTACCTGCAAAGCAATTGTCTTCTGTTCAGCTTTCTTCTTTTCATTTCATATGTCATACGATGGCGTTCTTGGGGAGGGATTTAATCAACGGGTTTGCCGATGGGGTAAGAGTGTATATTATATGTGATTTCACATACCGTCAAAACGGTGGAAGGCTCAGAGGCAGAGACCAACAGGACGAGTGATCCTTATGTTCACAAGATATCATATCTTGGGCAGAAGGTTCAAAGATAGCCAAGAAGACGGAAGCGACGCGTCTTGATTAGCAGTTTCTTGGATTTTCCTTCTTCTTTTTTGTCTGATAGTAAAATTCATGCGCTGAGCGATTGATATCATTTCTTCTACGACCAGCGCGACGTACACTTAGTGTGACTATTGGCCAATCTTCAACTTACATGTCATTCATACCCGCATTGTTTAGAAACATGAGCTAGATAGGAAAACATCCTCAAGTATCTATATGGTTTGGTCATGGCATAGACATATAAATTTGCAATGTTTTCATGGTATATGATTTCAGAGTACATTCTCATAATTTAGTCTTTCCTTTCTTATTATTGCAGTGACAACTGCCAACAGCCCGAACGTCCAAATAAATAATAAAACGCCAACTTTCAATTACGGGTACAAAATGGTGGTGAAAAAGGAAATATGCAAGCGGATAGTTGGCAAACAGCTATGCCCTTAAGTGGCAAAAATGAGAGAACGAGAAAGAAAAAGAAAAAGTGAAGTGGGTGGAGAAATTAAAATATATGTACAAGACATTCTTGGGGGGAGGCTTTATAAACATGGGCTTTTTCAGTCGTAAAATAACTCCGATGGAGTCTTAAATATGTGCTCAAGATGCACCTTTTTCCAAATCCAAATGGAAAGTTGTGTCTAGACGGATGGCAATGTGCAATGGTAGATTAGGAAGTTTAAAAGGTTGGAGAGGACAGAAGAAGAGAGGCGGCAGAGGTAATGGGCAGCGGTTGGGCGAGGAATAGACGTGAGATGTGTCTGTGCGACACCGGTATGGCTCTTTGTATTCCAAATCCGTTTTTATTTACCGCTTCTTCTTGGACTCGGCAAGGTCTACCGGGTCGTAGACACGGTCGTCGGTGCCCTCGACATCCTTGACAATGGTCTCCATCTCCTTTACCTGCTTCTTCCAGGTGTCCTTGCTCATCTTAGTCTTCTTGTCAAACAACTCCTGCTCGGGCTCACGGTAGCTGCCGCCCAGGCGGTCCCAGAGGGTAAAGTACTGGCCGTAGTTGTAGTTGAAGGCCAGGTGGTGGATGCTGTGGCAGGCGGCGCCGTTGATGACCGGGTTATTGGAGACGTACTCGCCGTCGTGGATCATGATGGTCCAGAAGTTGATGAAGATGAAGAGGAACAGATAGGCCCACTTCTGCAACGGGAAGAACAACGGGTAGATGTGGTACGGCAAGCTCTGCATCCAGCCGTCAACGGGGTGGAAGGCGTACGAGGAGTACGGGGTTGGCATGATCCACTTGTGATGCGGCTTGTGCAGGTGTTTGTAGACGAGCGGGTGGTGCAGGCCGCGGTGAATAAAGTAGACAAACATGTCGGTGAAGAACAAGAACAGAGGCACCTGAGCAATGTCGTACCAGCGGCCGGGGCCCTCGGAGCTGCGCTCGTACATGCGGCAGTAGCCGAGCACCTCGGCGAGGAAGAAGGGGGCCGTCAGAAACGACATGACGGGCATGGCTGTGTTGGCCTGCTTGATCTCCAGCCAGACCTGGTTCTTGAGGTATTTGGGGTGCTCCATTGTCTTCTTGTCGAAGATGAAGAAGTAGGAGAGGGACGAAAACATAAAGTAGGTCAGCAGACCAAAGAACCTGTGGGCAGACGGGGCGTGAGCGAGCCAATTCACGTTGAGAGGAGGAGAGTACTGGGACAAGAGCAGCAAAAGACCGAAAGCACACTCACCATGTAATCAAGAAGAGGGAGAAGAATTGGCGCAAGACATTGTCGCGCGGCACAGAGGTTTCGTATGCGTAGCGCGTCGGCTCCAGTGTGAAGAGGAAGCTGGACGGCTTATACTGCCACGAGTTGTAAGTCTGCGGCAGCGTGGCATTGGTGCCAAAGCCGGCGCCGTCGACCTTGTACGCGGCGGCGTGCGGCGGGAAGATGGCAGAGTAGCAGTAATCGAACACATATGTGTCCATCAATTCGAGCGCGATATCCATGGCGGCCGATGGGGCGCTCAAGAGCGCAGCGAGAGGGCAGAAGGGCCGTCGGATGTGTACAGGCGAGTTCGATGGTCGAATCACAAGAAGCGTCGCAGTCCAAACGTGAGAGCGGACTGAGTATACGAACCGCGCAAGGCAATGGGGCGTGGAAAAAGGAGGTCGGCCCCTGAAAGTCAGAGAGTGCACACTGTTGATCCGATACCAGGAGACGAGGATGCGCTTCAGGATCGAAGAAGCGATTGATCGTGGGGAATAGACGAGGTAAAGAGAGAACGGAGAAGTGTCGGCGCCAAAAGGCGGAGAAGGAGAGAAACGGTAAGGAGCGTGGTGGTGTAATTGCCGCGACAAGTTGCTCTTATGATGCTGAAAACACCGTGCGGGTGGCGGGCTCTGTAAATCTTCGCGCAGTTCCCAGCATGGCAAGAGCAGGAAAAAAATTTGGGTGAGCGACCTGCTCGTTTTCGTATTTTGAGGACCCTCTTTTCCCCTATCCCCTTCCTTTTTTGGTTATCAGATCCGGATGGCAGCGGTGTCTCTGCGCGCGCACTGTGCCCGCTCAGGGTCGCGGAAACGATATTCGGAGTTAACCTGTGGTGAAAAGACCTTGGAACAGAGAAATATCCGCGGCGGCAAAATGTATTCCAACAAAATGATGCACTAACTTGGAGCAGGGCCTTCCTCAAAAGCAGCCAATTGCCAGCGGGCGCGGTGGCAGGTGCGGCAATACGGCTTAAGTATGCGATCGAATTGCACTGCAACGTCACGGTGTGTCGAGTCGATTTGCACAGTGCAGTTCAATGGAAGAAAGAATCTGTTATGAAGGCAAACACAGGATGGCGTTTGTAACAGCTACACCCACTGTATCACTGACGACATCAGACCAGAGGAGGACGAGTGAGAGGACACAAACCCGAGAGAGAAGATTTGTAGTGAAAGGAACGAGGAGAAAGCCGGGACAGGATCATATGCACATAAACACACGGAGGACTTGCGCAAGGGCGGAAGCATCCGACTCTTACAGAGGGAAAATAAGTAATTACGTCGCTGATGAGGCCGCATGCTCGGCGTTGGACGACAGCGATGGAATGCTGGGCAGCCAGCTCCGATAAAATCAGATGACGGTCAGTGTTTCCTCCTGTTCTCTCTGGTTTCTCAGCTGTTTTTGCTCTGAATGGGACCGACTCATGGCTTCAGGCTCGGTGTTTCTCCAGAGGAGAGTCTTGCGCGTAGAACGGGGACTTCACCAAGCTATGGCCGTGAGATGCACGCGCGTTTGCTCCGTACTCAGAGTGGGTTCGCCCCAACAGGCAGCACCAACCTACTGCATCATCGGACGGAAAGGCGAACAGCCGGGGTACTAAAAGTGCTGGTTTGTGCAATCAAAATGGCGTGGTTCTCCAAAATGACACGCTCGACACGGTACAAGTAAAAGCGTTGGGGTGGGGCGGCCCCTTTCGAAATTATGGGCCCCGACTTATTTATTGGCTTTCTCGAAACTGGGAGCGAGTCTGGTAAAAAACAACGGCTGATGCCGAAGAAAAAGGACGGTGAGCTCGCGACAGATTTGTGTATCATATAACAAAATATGACCGTAAAATAGGTACAATGAAAAGGATCCCAGCGGGTCGCTGTGGGACGAGAAAACAAAACAATAAATCGTTGTAGAAAGAAAACGCCCAATACAATGCCACAAGAACACAACACAATATCAAACCCACCTGTTGGCTGCAACTGATTTAATATGTACACATTTGGCAGCAACTACGTCCCGACTCTCATTGCCCCAGTCCTCAAACGTTGTGGTCCCATGCAACGGTGTGCTCAACGGCCCAAGACCGGACGGCCTCGAAGTTGCGACAGGTATGCAGGGTGTTGAAGTCTGGCCAGTAGTCGTCGTCGGCAAACCCATACTCCGGGAACAACTTGAACGTGAAAATACCAATGTCGCTCTGGCACATCAGGTTGGTCCGCAAGGTCTCGATGCAGTGGTCTGTTTTTCGTTAGCTCGGGAAGCAAAAGTGCCGGCCCGTACAGCCCATGCAGAATATGTCACGAGTGGGACTTACCGACGTGACCCATCAGGTCCTCCTTGCTATCAGCACCGCCCACGTCGCCGCCGTGGTGTTTGTAGTAGTCCTTGTACACCGCCTGCCGAACCAAGTTAAGGCAGTGCAGTTGGTGGAAGACTTCGAGGGCTGCCCGGTAGCCCACTTCACCAGTGCGCGGGTGGGTGATCTTGAGCGAGTTCCGCGGCAAACCAAGCTTGTCAAGCTCTTCTTCTGAGATCATCGTATCTCCGACTGTTGCTGTGAGCACTCTTGCATTCCTCTTGTTCTTTTCTCTACACCAGCTTCTCTTCTTCGTCTTCCTCCTTCTCAATCTTCTGCGATCACCTTCCCACAACCTCTATGTACGTTCTTGTCTCCCTACTTCAAAGCACTTACTGTCGTTGGCGATGTAGTCCCAGGCCAGGTCGACCTCGGGACCAAAGCCAACAAAGGGACCTTCGACGACGGGTGTCAGGTTGGTGAACCGTGTTGTCTCGTACCGAACCGCCACTGCGGCGGGAGCTGTCGCCTGTTAGCAGGCTTGCTTTGTTGGTCTATCACCTTCCAACCTTCCATCTCACGCTTACAGTATGAGGAATATGCGCTCGTGTATGTGGCGTCGTTTGGCTTCGTGTTCCGCGCACAAAAGGACAGTGTGAAGAGCGTGACCGAAGTCGTCAAAAGCACGGCATGACCGAGCCACATCCAGTGCTGAGCCAGGCGGTGACGGACCCGGGGCACGAAGCCTGCACGCTCCGAGTCGGAGTCGATGCTTAATGTGCGGGTAGTCGAGGCAAAAGTTGTCGAGTCATCGTCAAGTTTCTCCTCGTCGAGAGGAAGAGAGTGGTAAACCTTTGACATGGCGATGGTTGGTGGTGTAAGGCAAGATCGAAGACTTGAGGTAGGCCAAAGTACAGCCAAAGAAAGAAAATGATTAAAGATAGTCGGTCGTGCACAGCACGACAGATAAAAAGAAAAGGGCGAAAGAGGGTCGCAGAGACCAGTCAAGATCGTCAAAACTGGTCAAAGAACACTCAACTTGACAAAGAAAAGGTAAGGAGAAGCGAGTTCAGATTAAGAAATGAAGGAGATGGCCAAGAGACAAAATTAGTCGTGAGAAGGGCAACTCGCAGAGTGCACGGTAAGGAATGAGATGGACAGAGATACTTCAGTAGAAGACACGGAAACAAGCCACAAAGGACAAAGACGGAATAGCATAAAGAGATACGGTGAACCAACCGACAGCCAAGGGACGACGAGGGAGCAAACGTGGGGAAAAGTGAGCGACAGAGGATGAGCAGGCTCGCACGAATGGCTCGACAAAATGGAAGAAGATCACGAGCACCAGGCACGTCGTGGAAGAAATGACATTGGAAATGTTGACGCGAAAGCAATGGGTAACGGGGGAAGAAGAAAAAAAGAAAAGAAAAAAAATAGAAACAAGTGGTGGCAGGTGGTCGGTCGCTGAGTTTCAGCAAAATCAAAGCACGCCTAGTGGGAAGCAATTGAAAATAGAGAAGGACAAAACAGAAAACCTTTTCAGCGTGACCTACCGTCTGTAAGGAAAGGTGAAGCGATGTTGAAACGTTTGATGTCCACAATCTGGAACGACGAGGGTCGTAACACTACTATTGGTCGACAACTAACACAAAAACTGGGGCTGGCCATTTTCAGGGGTCCCACCCGCCGTTTCTCGACCTGGACACTGCACGGCACAAATACCATGTGGCGAGGGTCTTTGTGAGGCACAAGGCCATCGAGCAATGGTTGATGGGTGCGATGGAGCTGGACGATCGTCAGGAACGCAGTGTCAACATATGACCATCAGATTTGCCTTGTCCCGTCTTAGCCGTCGATGAGAGAAGCTTCGCCATTCTTGCTGGTATGGCCCTTGGAAATCCGTGATGTAATTTCAGCTCGTGAAAAGGGGGTTTCCTGGACAGTAAATGGTTACCGGTAATCAAGGCATCGAGAAGTAAAGAACTTGTCAGCTACTTGACGGTTTCATTCACATAGTTCTTCCACCAAAGCAGGCGCTGTCGCATTTGTATCACGACCAGCGGGCTCGGTGTTGAGTTGCAAAACTACTTCTGTATGGACGACGTAAATAGCTTTGAACAGGGCCTGGTGCAACAAAAATATCCCAGTCTTAAGACCCTCATCGCTCCTGTGTGAAATAGGAAAGAGCTCGACCGAGCATCACTGTGCCATTTGAACTGGTTGAAACCCGTCGCGCCTGCCATTTATGCAACCAAACCTCAATACGATGGTTGGGCTTGCCATTCTGTCGTTTCGATGTCACAGACGCTCCTTCCTGAATGGCACTGTTTCAGCCTGCCACAACCAATGAGCGTGTCGCATTTCGCCCTCAAACCCCATCTCGTCGGCCTCGCCCATTCTCTCCTATTCTCCTTTTCTCCAAAGTTGCCGTCTCACACCCAACATAGCATCATCGTCCTTTTCGAGTATCGTCCCCAGCTGTTCTGCCCGCCCCTCTCATTCTTCAAAACCGCCCTCTGGGCCGTTTGTCTCTCGTAAGTCTATGCGGGCATCCCGTTCTCCTCGTTTGTCAGCCCAGCAGTGGCACATCCTGTGACTGTGAGCTCGCATCGCTCTTTTCCATCAATCAATCACCCCAGCCTCGACCTTTCTCCACTTGTCCCTTTTCAGGCCCAACGATGTTTTAGCTTCTGTGTCAGCGCCAGTTGAGCCTCGTCTGGCCAGAACACTGAGTTTCCACTCTCAGCGTCAACAAAGCGCCAGTGCGCACCACCCTCCAAGTTCTTTCGGCATTCTTTTTTCGTCTATTACGGTTCTATCTACGAGTGACACCAGATGTATCTACCGAATACGACATCGGGATACGGGAAGCCGTCTCCTAGAACAGGCCAGGCGCAAGGTCCCGAGGCCGTTCCAAGCTACCGCCCACAGAAGCATACTCCGTACACATACGCAATCTGATGATGCAAGTCTACAAGCCTATTGGCAAAGGCCCGTGTGCCTTGTGCCGCTTAATCGATTTAGATGTGAGCCCTCGTCATGTATTTGTCCGGCACGTTTTCATTGCCTAGCCTTTATCTATGTTTCGTTCACACCTCTGACAAGTAACGAGGCTAACTCTATCTTCCAGTCTTTGATCTTCCCTTCTCCCAAACCCGATACATTCCCAGTGCCATGCATTTTGTTCGACTCGATATCCGGATGCCATACCTGGCCTTCATAATGCTGGTTGTTATTGTCCCTCCCTTTTACTCTTTCGGGGTGCCGCTCGGAGCTCAACCAAGGCATTAAAAAGGAGGTATGGGGTTGCCAAGACTGTGTGTCCCATTGCCGCAGCTCTTCCCGTGTTTTCGCTGGTTCGTCTGCCACTGTCTCGTCGTCTCGCCTTCCCTTTGTTCTTTTTGATGCCCCTTGGCAACAGGTCCGACGATCAATCCTATCCACTCTCGCGTAATCCTCACAAATCCACAGAGACTTTATCCCCCAAACACGGCCCTCTGCCGTCGCTCTCTCATCCTACACTCGATGTCAGCAATAATAGCCGATGATGGGTTTCAAACGATACACAAAGAGAAGGTATACCGCAACACAGCAAGAAGTTAAGAAAAAAAAGACGACAGGAGCATAGTCAAAAGAAAGTGATGAGTAGAAGCCTCATGAACAAAGAGGATTCCCTCTTGTCGCTCCCTCAACATTCTTTCTAGCATATCCATCCCATGTCCGCATTCAATGATTTCTCAAGTGGATTGCATTGTCGACCCGTGTTTCTTTGAACATCGTGTACTGTGGATGTTCCAGAGTTACTTCTTCATGCCAAGATATAAAACCAGAAGGAGACAATCCCAAGTACAAAAATATCGGAAACCAAGCATTGGCGGCAAAGCTCGTGCCCCGGACATGGGCCTTTTGCCCTTTACCACCAGCCGCCCCCCCCTGGTCCCCGACAGGTCTCGGTTCGACAAAACTAGGAAACATTGTCCAAAAGTCATCAGCAAACCGGTAACAGCCCGTCAATAGCCAATGGTACACCGTGCACCCTTTGACAGTTTCCATCGTGAGACACGTCTCGACTCCACCGATCAGGTTTGAAGCATTGTCTCGTCGGCCAACTCCACGCCCTACACCGCAGTCACTGCCCGTCCATCACGCCCTTGTTCTCTAACATTGTGTTTGTGCCAGACTGACTGGGGAACAGAGACGCACGCTTACACAAACATAGAAGCACAAGCACACAAGAGCACGCAAGCAAAGGGGGTAGGTTTAGAAAATTTACGCAGGCTGTGGTCGATGGGCAAGAGTAGCCGACCGAACGTGTTGATCCCCTCTGGTTGAACATGTCTGATGAGCAAGAGTCTTTTGTCCTCTCTTCACCTTTCCCTTTAGAATGTGTCCCACATCGTGCCTTTGCTCATCTTTTCCTCATCGCCTCTGATTTTCCTATATATCCGGCCAAAACTCACTTCTCGATAACAAAGCTTCGTTTTCTCGTTCTTCTTTTTTTTCTTTTCTTGTTTTTCATCCCGCTGGTGTCTATTGACTCGGAATTGTTTACTTTTCTTCTTGCTTTTCTCTTCTTTGCAACCACTCCTTTCAAGCTGTACATATTATTTATTTCAGCTGCCGGTCAGCAAAGTTTTACTGTCTTTTTCTAAACCTTCTCAATTCTTTTGAAACTCTCGCAAACACGCTCACTACCACCCCACCTCCTCCCACCTCCTCTCACCTCCTCCCATCTTTTTTTATTTATATCTTCGAGATGCACACTCCTACTCTCGCTCAGCTGGTCCTTGGTGGCCTGGCTGCTACGTCTGCCGTGTACGGTTTCCAGCCCTCCAGCGGTGTGAAGGCTTTGTCTGCCCGCAATGTCGCCTCGCTCATCGCCCTCGCCGCTCCGGCCATGGCCGTCCCGATGGTGAAGGAGATCGACACTCGCGAGCCGCACCACGCCGGAAAGAAGACCGGCAAGCATGCCCGTGACGAACATGAGGACGTCGAGGTTGAGACGCGTGAGCCTCATCATGCCGGCAAGAAGACTGGCAAGCACGCCCGCGAGCGCTGATGCTGAGCTCGAGACCCGCGAGCCTCATCACGCTGGCAAGAAGACCGGCAAGCACGCCCGTGATGAGGTCGAGGCCCGCGAGCCCCATCATGCCGGCAAGAAGACTGGCAAGCATGCTCGTGATGAGGTTGAGGCTCGTGAGCCTCACCACGCTGGCAAGAAGACTGGCAAACATGCTCGTGATGAGGTTGAGGCTCGTGATGAGGTCGAGACCCGTGAGCCTCACCACGCTGGCAAGAAGACTGGCAAGCACGCTCGTGATGAGGTCGAGACCCGTGAACCTCACCATGCTGGTAAGAAGACTGGCAAGCATGCTCGTGATGAGGTTGAGGCTCGTGAACCCCATCACGCTGGCAAGAAGACTGGCAAGCACAACTAGGTTTGTTGTGTGTAGTTGTTTTTTTGACAGGAAGAAGACGATGACCCTCTATTCATCATCTTCTTTTCACTTCCGTCCTCTCGACTTCCTTTTCTCTTCCAATCCGCTTCTCCTGTACTTTTTCTATGTTACGAGCACCTCTTGTTTGTGTTAAGTTCGAATATTCTTATGAAGGTGCGCCAATGTTCAGACAAATGCGAACCAGATGCGGAAGGGGGCACAGTCCAATTTGAGTTTTATTTCTTTTTATTTAAACCTTTTTTATATTTCTCTTCTCTTTTTTTGATTCCCTTACCGCTCTGCTCTTAATGCCTTCCAGCCCAAGACTCCTCTCTAGTTTCCGTGAAACGAAGCTCGAGAGGCAACCTCTGAAGGATGCTAGGTTGACAAAGTTCGGAATCTTTTTTTACCAAGTTCTTTATCAATTTTTCTCTTCTAGGGCCCACGCCCCCTGCCTTCTTCCGAGGGATTATTTTCTCTTCTTCTTCAACTCAAATCAGTTTGTCTCTCTGCTGGCTGGTTGTTTGTCTTGGGCGCGTCATCGGTCTTGCACATTGGAGCTGCTCTTGTTGCAGAGAATAAGAGCGAGAGATAGCAGTCTTGGGAGGTTGAAGAGGCTGCGAGGCATTGTTATACCATCCCCTTCCCGGTTCGAACTAAAGTCTTTTTTACTCCTGTCTTGAGTGCCCTCCATGCTTTGTCCGCTTTTTTCCCTCTTACTCTGTCTGGCAAGTGTGCTTTTGTTTAAAGAAAACGGTCCGTATATATAAAATAAAAAATAAAATAAAACCCCAAAAAAAGTCGAAAAAGGATCTCAATGTCAATGGATAGAATGATGAAAGGCACATGCGACTAAATAGTTTCTTGGTTAGTGTGATAGTGATCGTTATACGGAACTCAAGCCACTCATCCTCTGTATGAAGGTGGCCTTCTGGCCGGGATACCTGATAAGCATCCGGTCATGGACGATCATAGTCAGCGGCGGAGTGAAGGGATCACATATCTACGACGGGCAGCATGAAAGGCCACGATAATCCGGGTCTAGAAACATAATTGCCCATCTCTCAAGTTTTTGACTTGTTCCCCTGAACCGTACAATATCAACCCGTAGTCGACTTGATACTACCCGCATATTGATATCAAGTAGTAGATTTGCTCTTCATCCCCGTACAATATCTCCTTTATTAAGCCCATTTTATTTACGAGTTCTAATTTATTTTCAATTTACATTTTGAGCTAGAATTTTAATATCGACGGTTTTAGCTGTTGCATGCGAACCCGTCATTTACGGAACAAAAAGACGGAAACCAATCCTGTTATTCTTTGTTTGTGCATGCCGGTATGGTATTGCTTTGTGTTTGGATGAAAATAAAGTCACGTATTAGGCCATCCACGTTCTTCTGTTGAGAGTCAACATTTATGCGGAGGATTGGGAGCGAGTCTTTTGCCCAGACCCGGCTGCAAAACAGACAAGGAGGCAAATATTTGTTTGAGCACAACGCAGGTCTACACAACCTGGCCCCCCACCCCCCGTTTGCCCGAATCAAAGAGACATAAAAGCCGACACCGCAACACATAGTAGGCAATTCTTTTCACACACGCCTTTTAAAACCACCGACCGCTTTTTTCTTTCATCAGTCCAACTTTCCTATTCTCATACCCCTTGGTTGCTTTCGACGATGCTTGTTTTCGTGCAATTCGGGCGATATTTGTGATGTCTTCCTGCGTGATGAAAACTGCAGCCTAAAATGCACCTTGCAAATGCACAAACATGTAACATGCAAAATGCAAGAGAAGCACAACAGGTCCGCATTGTCGCTGCAACCTACACCCCCATTTGATAACCAAATAGGAAAGGCCAGAATGCGTCGCCTGCATACCCACACTGAGATAGATTCTCCGTACGCCTGCATGTATGGGCCATGCAATCTGCAAGCTGCGATGCAGGGCGACAAGCATCGTATGCACGCACGCATGCACGCTCGCACGTACATACACTGCGAAACAGAGCAATGCCCAGCACAATGTGCTACCACATTCGTTCTGTCGACCGTCTCCTTCGTCTGGTTGGTTCCGTAGCCAAAATCCCCTCGTTTGTCTACACTCCCCCCCTCCCCCTTTCTCTGTCACATCTCTCTGCTCGTCTGCCCGGTCCTTTCGGGTTTGGTCGCCCGCGGCACGCGAAACAACAACCTTGCTCTTTGTTAGAGAGTACGGAATGCAAAGTACTTTGTTTACTTCGTTTCATTTTTTTTCGTTTTTTTTTTTTTTTTTTTTTTTTTTTTTTTTTTTTTAAAGTCCACGGGTGGTTGCTTTTGGTTCGCTCGCCTCAATCTGTTTTTGATCCCGTGTCTAGTCCAGCGACCACGCCGTTCCGTTCGTTACTCAGGATAGGCAAGATACTAGGACGGAACAAGGGCAAAACAAGAGAAAGATACGACACACCCCATACGGAGAAACACCCAACATGTGCATTCACAATATGACCATTTTGCAGAAGATTACGTCCCACAAAGCACATGCATATGCGCCCATGACTTTGGGTCGCCGGTTTTGTTTTGCCAGAGGCACAAAGCAACAGTTGGGGCGTGCTTTGCGTCATGGGATAGGTCCAGGATAAGGCATGGCTTGCTTCCAACCATCCCGTCCAACCTTGTTGTGCTGGATGGCGCCTTGGGATGTGCCACCGAGCTGACTCGTGCACTTTCCCCTACCACCGCAGATCATGTCTAACCGCCCGGTGAGACTGAGGTGGCAGGAGAGCACAGCGAAGCGTGTGCAAAGTAAGTCGACGGTGCAAGTTGACGGGGCAAGCCGGTGCGACGCTCTTGGACATGCTGCCCATTCGGCCTCCATTTTTCATGTCTTGTGATCACCTTGAAGAGGAACCACGGACGGTGGAGATGGAAGGTGAGGGATAGACACAATCGGAAGGCCGTCCACCAAGGCAACAGTGTTGGCGTGCGTAGCGTGAAGACGAGGAGGACGAGGTTGCATGAAGAGATGAGGCGGCAAGAAACACTCGACCAGAACCGGACAGGGGGCAGAAAGGTACATTGGTACATTGGTACATTGGGCGACCGTCCCATAAGCCGTGACACAGAATACACATTGCGCGTAGGTTACGTCCCTTACAATTGCGAACGCTTTCGGGTGGTTCCCTTTTCCAGGGCAGCAGCACATGTCGGGCGAGGTCGCGGAGGTGTATAATTATGTATTATTATACCCACTATCTGTAAAACTAGTACGAACTTTTATATGAGTACATAGTAGTACACATGGCTACAATGTATGTACCTTGTCGTACATAGTCCACGCCCGGTTGCATACAAATGGGTGGCACCTGCCTTGGCCATGAACTAACAGTGGGCAATTTTCTTCCTGCGCGCTACGATTAGTGGAACCCCTACCTGGCTGGTGGCCACGGCTTCCATCCTTCATTCTTGCAGGTTCCGTTCCTTTTTCCTCCTTTCGTCTCTCCAGCTCCATAGCCCCACTCTGGCTGTGCCTTCGTCTCCACCTGCCTGCGACTCCCATACGCGCAGCAAACAGCACAAGACAAAAAGGGACAGAACAGAGATCCAGGGCTGTTGTTTCCCTGTGGCGTGGAAGCACGGCCCACCGAGGAAGTCCCTCCGTACTCTGCACACATCCCGCACATATCTCTCACGCCGCTGTGCAAAATACGATACGTAAGTACGAATAAGAGAGAACAACGCTACGGCGGCAAACTCGACAAACTGCAACGGGAAAGAACAAGAACAAAGTTCGATTCAATTGTCAACACGACATATTCGCCCTCCTTGGGCGTATCCTGTGTTCAGCTCTCTGCATCTCCATCCCTTGCTGTATCTTTGCGTGGTATCACGTCGTACAGCCTTTCGTCTTTCGTACAAAGGACGAAGCACCGCCCGTACTCGTCATGGCCAATATCTGCTTTTTGGTACTCGCCCAACTGCCCGCCAACGTGCACATAATCTCGTTTCGTTCCAGCGTGCGCTATCTCCATTCATATTGTGTCCGTTGGCTGCGGCTTCATGGCGTCAACTACCCAGTCGTTGTCCGCCGTGCCGTGACAAGAAACAGAGTGCACATACATATATGGCGAACGCCGATTGTCATACATCGCAGTCCTTTTCGAATTTCGTTGCTTTCTCGGAACTATTTTCCTCCTCACTGTTCCTTCCAGAACGAGAAACCCGCCCGGAATAAATCGATAAAATATACAGCACTAGCTCCTTTCGGTAAAACTGGACCCCTTAGCCGACCTGGTCTAACCGAAACTCCAAGCTTTCCTCCACCCAGCCTCTTGCGTTTTTTGCCCTTGTTTTGCCTCGCTCCTTCCTCACTCTCCCCCCTCAAACACGACAGCTTTACCTTCTCATCCACCCCCCATCCACCCTAGTCCACCCTAAATCCACCCACCATCTCGTCCACCATGCCCCCCCCCCCCCCTAGTTAGCACGAGCTGCTGGTGCGTCTGCGTAGCGTGTGTACCGCTGGTCGTGGCTTCCGTGCACCCAGCCAGAGGAGACACAAAGCAAAGAGCATCGCCAAAACCATCCCAAGTCTATCAATTTTTTCCCCTTCTTTTCTCCCTTCCACTTTTCGTCCTCCTCGCTCCTCCTTTCTCTCTCCGCTTCAATCACCCACCTCGACAGTGGTTCCATCATCAAGTCTTGTCCCTCCTCATCGTCCGCCTATTGCCACGCGATCGGAGGCGCTCTGTCATTGTTTTCTGACAGCGTCGGCTTTTCCGTTTCGTTTCTTTTCATTCTCTCCCTCTCTGTCATTGCTTTTAGCTTGGCAGCCCTTCCCTGGCTACGACTCCCCCCCTCCCCGTCCGTTGGCACTCTTCGTCGCCTTCATCGCCTTCATCGCCTTCATCCAAATTCATCTCGACGACGTGCCTGCCTTAACGACGACGACGACCGCGAAAGTGTCCATCGCTTTTTTGATTCGACGATTGCGACACGCGCCAGTTCCTTTGCAGGCATCATCACATATTTCGCATAAATAGCGGCTTAGCATCGCGCACTCTTTCCATCATCGTCAATACCATTGTCATCGGGCCTTAACTTCTTTTTTCTTCTTTTTTTCTTTTCTATTTGCGTTTTATACCATCCCGCTCTTTCGCGCATCATGTCTATGTACGGTGGTGGTCACCGGGGCATGGGCGCCGTGCCCCCGAGCAATGGCGTCGGCCGCCTGACCGAGCTGCTCGACCAGATCCGGACCGAGTTTGAGACCCAGATGCGCGCCAGTGAGAACTACGAGCATCAGAGTAAGTGCCCGTGATAGTCTCCCTCGCGGTCTGTTCCTTTGTGAATGACAGATTGGCTAACCGGGGCTCCTTTTGCGCCCTCTCTAGTTCAAGCACAGGTCAACGAGATGCAGCTCATCCGCGAAAAGGTCTACACCATGGAGCAGACGCACATGAGCCTCAAGCAGAAGTAAGCGACCGCCACTCCCAACTTGACCGTCGACGGCACGACGCACATCCCAACAATGCCGAAGCAATTCGTGCTATGCCGTCTTGTGGGAGAACAACTGGACTGGACACGACTAACCCGTGCTTGTAGGTACGAGGAGGAAATCGCCGTTCTCCGTCGCCAGCTTGGCGAGCGTGGCGGCCCCAGCCAGGGCCACATGGGCGGACCCCCGCAGCATGGCGGCCCGCCGCAACCCCCGAGCCTGGGTATGGGTAGCAATGTCTTTGGCGCTATCATCGCAGGACAAGGCGGCCAGACTGGTCTTGCGCCGCCGCCGCCTCCTCAGGAGCAGCCCCCTCAACACCAGATGCAGCAGCAGCCGCCGCCAGGCCTCCAGGGCCCCCCCCCTCCTCCTCCCCCGCCACCTTCGCAACAGAACCCCTTCGGCCAGCAGGGCTACGGCCAGCCTCCCGCCCCGGGCGGCTTCCAGTCCCAGCCCCCGGCGACCAACTCGCCCGGTCCCGTTAAGCGCCCGATCGGTCGCCCTCCCCCCGGTGGCCCTGCCACGCCCCAGATCAACACCCCGGTACCGTACCCCGGCCCCAACCAGTCGCCTCAGGTCGCGTCGCACCCGACGCCCGACCATGCGCGCATGCAGATGGCCCCCGCCGGCCACTCGAACAACTCGCTGGGCGACCTCGACCCCGAGCGCCTTCCTGCGCACTACAAGAAGACGCGCGACGACTGGTTTGTTATCTTCAACCAGCAGGTGCCGCGCGTCATTGACGTCGACCTGGTTCACACCCTGCAGCACGAGAGTGTTGTGTGCTGTGTCCGCTTCAGCGTCGACGGCAAGTACGTGGCCACGGGCTGCAACCGCTCCGCCCAGATCTACGATGTGCAGACGGGTGAGAAGCTCTGCGTGCTGCAGGACGAGGCTGTGGATACCGGCGGCGACCTGTACATCCGCAGCGTGTGCTTCAGCCCTGACGGCAAGTACCTGGCCACGGGTGCCGAGGACAAGCTCATCCGCGTGTGGGACATCCAGACGCGGACGATCCGCAACACGTTCGCAGGCCACGAGCAAGATATTTACTCGCTCGACTTTGCGCGCGACGGCCGTACGATTGCATCGGGTAGTGGCGATCGCACCGTTCGCCTGTGGGACATTGAGAATGGCCAGAGCATCTTGACCCTCACTATCGAGGACGGCGTCACGACTGTGGCCATCTCGCCCGACACCAAGTACGTGGCCGCTGGCTCTCTGGACAAGAGCGTCCGCGTGTGGGACATTCAGCAAGGCTACCTTGTCGAGCGGCTGGAGGGCCCCGACGGTCACAAGGATAGTGTCTACAGCGTTGCGTTCTCGCCCAACGGCAAGGACCTCGTGTCTGGCAGTCTTGACAAGACAATCAAGATGTGGGAGCTGGCGGCGCCCCGCGGCATCTCCAACCAAGGACCGAAGGGAGGCCGCTGCGTGCGGACTTTTGAAGGCCATCGGGTGAGTCTCATCCCCCCCCCCGTTTTTATTCTTTTATTTGATTTTGTTTCTCTTTTTTGTTCTTAACTTTGTTTCTTTTTTCATGACTAACATCTACAGGACTTTGTCCTCTCTGTCGCTCTCACCCCCGACGCCCAGTGGGTGCTGTCTGGTTCCAAGGACCGCGGTGTCCAGTTCTGGGATCCCCGCACCGGTCATACCCAGCTTATGTTGCAGGGTCACAAGAACTCGGTCATTTCCGTCGCGCCCAGCCCGACGGGCGGCTACTTTGCGACTGGCTCGGGCGACATGCGCGCTCGTATCTGGTCGTACGGCCGCTACCACAGCTAGAAGACATCGACCTTTACAATCTCATGTAGTTTGTTCGAGCTCGTGTTTTTATTATGTGTTTTCCCAATTGTCTACCTGGTTCTTATTTTATCATGTATTTGTTTTTGTTTTTATTGTATTTCCCCCCTTTTCAGGTGTTGAATTGTACTTTCTGTCCCCTTTTCTAATCCTTGGCCGTTTTCAAGGCTTAAGTTTTTTGTTTTTTTTTTAAGTTTTTTTTTTGATTGTCTGCTTTTGATTTTTTTTGAATTGTCTTGTTTTTTATCTTTGTCCTATTGTTTGCCCCTGGGTTATCCCAAGGTACCTTCCTGTTTATGGACGTTTCGCGTTTCGTAAACAAAGCCTGCCGTTGATCCTACCCTGTCGTTTTGACTTTTCTCTCTTTGATTTATGTTGCGCAAACTTCGATGTCAAGGACAAGAAAAGGTTGGGAAGCGAGGCAAAGGGGAAACGAAGACAAGGTTTATGGCGTTTTGGAGGAAAGAACGCGCAATATAGTTCGCTAGGGAGGAAAGCTGGAAATTGGGGGAGTTAGCAGAAAAATATGAACAAAAAAACACCATAGAACCACCACAGCTCCCCACTGATGTGCATCGTGTTTGTGTTTTGTTTTGTCCTTAAAGTCTGAGGAAGGAATTCAGCTTCTGTGTCTCTTAGGAAAATGAACCATGTAGATATCAAAGTAACCATCGGCATTAACGTATTGCGATGAGTGCTTATGTAAGACGAAATTCAAAAAAGATTCGCTAGTTATTGGGGTATCATAGGAAACAAAACAATACAAAACGATCAAACTTCCACCTCTCTCATAGCAGGCCGCTGAAGAGATCATCAAACTCGTCGCCGTTCTTCTTCCTTTTCTTTATTTTTTTCGACTTGTCCCGGTCCTTGTACTTCTCTTTCTTGCCGTTCTTGTCTCGTTTCACGAAGACATCTTGGGTCTCTTTGGCCTCCGTGATCTCTTTGGATCTGGGCATCGGCGGGTCCTCGTCTACTTTCCTCTTCTTCTCGGAACGAACGATAGATTCTGATTCGCCGCTTTTGGTGGACGGCTTCACAAGGGGCGTTCGCGACTTGATAAGGTCGGTATCGTTGTCGCTATCGACCTCTTGCCGTGGGCGTTTCTTTGATGGTTTTGAGCTCATAGTCACCGTAGCATGTTCCTTATAACGTTTTGTATCCTCGTTCTCGCTGTCGTCTACGCGAGCAATGACCTCGCCGAGATCGTCGCCAAATTCGCCGGGTGCGTCGTGTTGAATCCCGGCGTCGGCAAGCTCGTCTTCAATTTGGTCGTCGTCGCCGTCATCTTCATCGCTGGCGATTCGTCGTTTGTCCGTCGCAAGATCACCAGACACCCAGCGAAGCGCCGTGTGCACCTGTGCTAGAATGGCCATCAATAGCAAGCCGAGCTGCGCAAATCGGCGGTCGGCAATTAGTCGTGAAAAGGCGCTGCAACGTGTTAGAAACGTTATTGGGCATATAATTCAGGAGGGAAGGGGGGGGGGAAACGCACAGATAGGCTTTGGGGATAAAATCATCGCGAACAGCGCGCGCGCACATTATGGCAGCCTTTTCCTCGTCGCTCTGATCGTCTCCGTCGACTTTGGCTTTGGCGGCTGTCAACGGCCGCACCACCGCCTCGAGACGGCGCACATGCCGCCGCAGCTGGCCAAATACCGGCCACCAGTATGTCGACACCCGATGCTGGTTTTTGTGAAGGCGGTTGAGGCCATGGAGCATGGCGCTGACTTCTTCGACACGTTCGGCGGCAGCAACGTAGCGCGCCTTGGGCGTAAGAAGCGACGCGTGCTGCACTCCTGCGAATGGTGCAGTGGCCGGTGTATCCATATTATTTGAATGCATCGCCTTTTGTATTCGATCTGTCGCCATGTTGACGGTTGAGGGCCATATGAACGTTGAGATGCACGCCATGTAAAGAGGTTCGTCTGAACGTCAACTTTTGGTGTCAACTATGAACTTTACTGGGTCCTTATCACACGTGACCAGCCCAAAGACTGGTTCCCATTTTTTCCAGCCAATAGATTACCACAGGCGACTAGCTGCTCTAATAGGCAATTCAGAGGATTTTGTTCAGCAAGTGGAAACAACGTCGGCGCTCTGGTGGGGGTGGGGTCGTTCTTTCCTCTGTTTTTCTCTCAGTCTCATTGGGACGGCAGAAAAAAACTACCGCGAAAAAAAATTAGTACGAAGTAGGCAAGAGCGCGTTAACCAGAATGAACGTAGATCAAGCCTTGCTGGGCGGCGAGAGATTGTAACTCGAAGGAAAAAGAGAGGCTTCTTCTTTTCTCTCTTCCAATGGACTGTAGACGAACGGGCCATCTGGCGATTGCAATTGCAGCTGCGCGACCCTTTGTAGGTCGGTATAAGTAAACGTCTGTTGCTCAGACTCGATTGTCGTGTTCTTTTTCTTCAGAGGAACTTTCTGCCCCCTTCTTCTCTTCGGCCTCCTCCATCCGTCAACATGGCCTCCTCCACGTCCTCCGAATACCTCACGGTCCTCCTCGTCGGCAACGGCGGCCGCGAGCATGCGCTGGCCTGGAAGCTTGCCCAGTCGCCTCGCGTCGCCCGCATCCTCGCCGTCCCCGGTAATGGCGGCACCGCTGCCTGCCCCAAAGTCGAGAACGTTGCGTCCAACGTGGCCACGGCTGAGGACTTCCCCAGCCTGGTCACCCTGGCCCAGCGCGAGGGCGTCAAGCTCGTTGTGCCGGGCCCCGAGGCCCCGCTCGTCGACGGCATCGAGGCCTACTTCCGCGCCGTCGGCATCCCCTGCTTCGGCCCCAGCAAGGAGGCCGCCATCCTCGAGGCCAGCAAGACCTACTCCAAGGACTTCATGCAGCGCTACAACATCCCCACCGCCGCCTACCGCAACTTCTCCGACTACGCCGCCGCCTGCCAGTACATCGAGGAGCTCGTGCCCGCCTCCCGCACCACTGCCGAGGCCAACCCGGCCGTCGTGATCAAGGCCACCGGAATTGCTGCCGGCAAGGGTGTCATTCTGCCGTTCACGCGCGCTGAGGCCCTGGCCGCTCTCAAGAGCATCATGGTCGACCTTGACTTTGGCGCCGAGGCCGGTGCTGAGGTGGTCGTGGAGGAGTTCTTGGACGGCGACGAGCTCAGCATCCTCACCTTCTGCGACGGCTACACCTTCAAGTCGCTGCCCGCCGCCCAGGACCACAAACGCATCTTTGACGGCGACCTGGGACCCAACACCGGCGGTATGGGCTGCTACGCGCCCACCAACCTGGCCACACCTGAGCTGCTGGCCCGCATCGACCGCGAGGTCCTGGCCCCCACCCTCGAGGGCATGCGCAAGGACTGGGCACCGTTCCGCGGCCTGCTGTTCACGGGCCTCATGATTGCCCCCGACGGCAGCCCGCGCACGCTCGAGTACAATGTGCGCTTCGGCGACCCGGAGACACAGACCGTGCTGCCGCTCCTGTCGGCCGACACCGACCTGGCGGAGATCATGCTGGCCTGCACAAACGGCTGCCTCGACGCCGTCGACATCAAGATTGAGAACAAGTTCAGTGCTACCGTCGTCGTTGCTTCCGGCGGCTACCCGGGCTCGTACGCCAAGGGCACGCCCATGCAGGTGCAGGAGCCGGCCGTCGGCTCGGGCATCACCATCTTCCACGCCGGCACCAAACGGGACGCCGCGTCTGGCGCCCTTCAGACGTCGGGCGGTCGCGTGATTGCCGCCAACGCCACGGCCGAGACGCTCGAGGCTGCGGTCGCCAAGGCCTATGCCGAGGGCGTCCCGCGCATCCAGTTCGACAACATGCACTTCCGCAAGGACATTGCCCACCGCGCGTTCCGCAAGACCAACCCTGCTGCGGCTGCCGGTGTTGCGTCGCTGTCGTACGCCGAGGCCGGCGTCAGCATCGAGGCTGGCAACGCACTCGTCGAGCGCATCAAGAAGGCCGTTGCGTCGACGGCCATTCCCGGCGCCGATGCCGAAATCGGCGGCTTTGGCGGTGAAGTCGACCTATCCAAGGCCGGCCTGCCGGCTTCGGACCGCTTGCCCATCCTGGTCGGCGCCATTGACGGTGTCGGCACCAAGCTCAAGATTGCGCTTGCCCTCAAGAAGCACGACACTGTCGGTATCGATCTGGTGGCCATGAACGTCAACGACCTGGTCGTCCAGGGCGCCCGCCCGCTCATGTTCCTCGACTACATTGGCTGCAGCAAGCTGATCGGCGATGTCGCTGCTGCTTTTGTTGAGGGAGTCGCTGCTGGCTGCCGCGATTCGGGCTGTGCTCTCGTGGGCGGTGAGACGGCCGAGATGCCTGGCATGTACCAGGACGAGGAGTACGATGCGGCGGGTGCCGCCATTGGCGTCATGCAGGCCGACGAGCGCCTGCCGCGCCTGTCGGCCATGGTTCCCGGTGACGTGCTGCTGGGTCTGGCGTCGAGCGGTGTGCACTCCAACGGCTTCTCGCTGGTGCGCCGGATCGTTGACCGCGCCGGCGTGGCCTACACCGACAAGGCGCCGTGGGCGCCGGGTGCGACGGTTGGCGAGAGCCTGCTGACGCCGACGCGCATCTACGTGCGGTCGGTGCTGAGCATCGTGCCGCACGTCAAGGGCCTCGCCCACATCACGGGCGGTGGTCTGACGGAGAACGTGCCGCGGATGCTGCCGCCGCACCTGGCGGCAACCATCGACGTCAAGACGTGGCCGGTGCCGCCCGTGTTTGAGTGGCTGCGCCAGCGGGGCAATGTGGCGCCGGCGGAGATGGGCCGGACATTCAACAACGGTATCGGCATGGTGGTCGCCGTGGGTGCCGCCGAGGCCGCGCAGGTCGCTAAGATGCTGGAGGCGGCGGGCGAGACCGTCTTCCAGATCGGCCAGCTGGTCGAGCGGACCGGAGAGGGCTGTGTCCTCGAGAACCTGAACTCATGGGCGTAAGGGATTTTGAAGGGCCTCGACACTTGAGCTATTTGTTATTTCCGTTATCGTTTGTTCTTGGTTTGTGCGCATATTCTCATTCCGTGCGGTGTATTTGTTTTATCCAAGAAAAAGTTGGCGCTACGAAAAAGCATTACACGTCATAGTAGAAATGATAAGGGTTCAATAGGAAAATCAAAATAGAAACAATCCAAGAAAACAGCATTGATATCCAAAACATTGGGAAAACTAAAAAATTAAACAAGAAACTCTGAAACGATGCATACTGTTCGCTGCTCAAGGTATTATGCGTAGATGCTCATTCGCCTTCGAGATGCTGATATAATGCGAACCTTGCCTATGCGAGATGAAATGAACCAAAAGACGGTTATGCAAAACGGGGGGAAGTTCAAGTAAGTAGAAGTCCAAAACGAGATGTGGTCATCGACGTTCAAGAGTTCTCCACACCGATGAGACTCTTGGGAAGGAAAGACCAGACAGTGCCGATGATAGAGATGATGATGGAAATCACAAGGACTGTGCACTGAAACAGCTTGTCGGCTTTGGAGATCTCATGACCGAAAAGCTTCAAGTGGAACAAGATGGGAAGGGTGACGCAAATCGTAGAGCACAAGGCGCTGCCCATGAATGCCATGATGCTATCAAAGGCAGGGAACACGATCGAAATGATGAGAAACGTGACAGTCGTGACGATACGGATAGCAATCTTAACAATGCCACGGAAGTACATGGACCGTCCGGTCAGCGCTTGAGTGTCGGGGACAGTTTGCTGGTGCATGCCGGTCAGGATCTCGACTGTGGTGATGATTGGGCGGGCGTTGAGCGGAATCTTTGTGAGCGGGATGATGGCGATAAAAATGCAAAGAAAAATAGTCAAGGCCTTGGAATAGCCCGACGTGGTCAAAATGTTAGCCGTGATCTCGTCCTTGACATCATCGCCAAACATGAGAAGGCCAGCCACAGCCGTGACCGTGTCTAGCAGATACTGGTGAGGAGGCTGTATTAGCAATATGTGCATGATAATATCTAGGACGGGGGACGAAGCATATCTTACTGTGAACGAGAAGGTGATTTTGACTGCACGGGCATATTTGTACGGATGCCGCATGTCACGGTAGATCTGTAGTTGAGGGAAAGAAAGGTGAGTGATTTGAACGTAACGGCATAGTTAACTCCAGTCGACTTACGTTTGGGAACACGCTATGTCCACCCCAGGGCGACATCAAAAGACCAAACGATAGAGGCAACGTCAGCCAGTTCGCAGGGAACAAGTATGTGACAGCCGGCTCGATCAAGGAGCCGGGGGTAGTCTTCTTCGTGAATCCGTCAATGACGACAATGGCAGCGACTACATATAAAGTTAGATTTTTCCGTTCAAACTTGTCGTTTTTGTCTCTGTTTTTGTTTCATTATCAGAGCTGCACGTACTGCTGAAGCAAGACACGATACCAATGATGCTCGTAACACTGAGAAGGCGCATTGGTAAAAAGTTGAGCGGAATCATTATGAGGCAGCACACGATCTTCCACTCGACCAGGGAGAGTAGGCCCGGGAACAGAAGGTCGAGAGAGTCCGCAAAGAGCACAATCAATGCCACACATGCGGCCATCAATTCGACCGTAAACAGGAGACTTGTCACGAGACGGGCACGAGGTCCAAAAGAGATGAAGGCCAGGTCCGAGAAAGTGATGACAACTGGGTCAAGATCCATGCACTTGGCCAGGAGACGCGCTGTGTATGCAGTGACGGCTGCCGCAAGGAACAGAATGAGCATACCACAGATCCAGCCGGCATATTTGATGCCCATTGGCAAACTCAGCAGACCGACGCCGATCAGCACGTTGATGGAGTTGAAGACGGTCTGGGGCAACGTGGACTGCCCCTCAACAGTCAGAACAATCTTCCCGTCCTCTTCGACCTCCTTCACCAAGATTTCCGGACGCTCGTCGTCTGGCATGGCATCAATGCCGCCCTCTTGCTGCTGTCGCCATAGCACACCGGCTTGCGCCATGGAAGCGGCCTGGCTGCCTGGGCCCAGACGACCGGACATGGCGTTGTAGCTGAGCGCGGCCGGCGAGCCAATGACAGAGCCATAGCCACCAGCATGGCTCCCGCTGCCACTACGGTGCGTGCGGAACGAACCATAGCTGCCAACGATGGGCGACGTGGCAACACCTTCGCCGGATGCACCCGCACTAGCGGCAGCCGCGGCCGCGGCCAGATGCGGTGGCCAGGCAAATATAGACGATGTGCTACCGGCACGGTATGTACGTGTCTGCCCGGATGAATCGAGAAGGCTCTTACGCTCCGAGTTGCCACCTAGCTGGCCATTGTTCGGCTCGTCTGTGATGGCCACGGAGCTCTGGCCGGGTATGGGACTGCCTGGTTCAGACGGTGGAGCATTCAGGGAGGTGTTGTCGGAGGACGACGCGATGGCAGACGAGTGGCCGGCCTCGAGATGTTGCCGCAGCAGAGACAAGAATGCTGGCGGCGAGGCACGGTAGGAGCCCGGTTCCACAGACTCTGTACCGTCATAGGGATCGTACGGCCCTCCTTCACCACCGGGTCCGCCAAGGATGGGCTCCTGGTCGGCGGCAAAGACGAACGACGGTCGTTGTGGTATAACCTCCGTAAAGCCGGCAGCGCGCTGAAAACTGCGTGTGAACGAGCGGATGCTGTTGACGCCGCCAATGTCGGTGAGAGCAGACAAGCGAGCACCAACTGATGACCGCCGCCGCCGCCGCAGTGGTGGCCAGTCGCCGGCATCTCGGCGGCTGTCCCCGTCGTACGAATCCCGTCCCTCGTCTTCGGCATTGTCGTCGTCGTCTAGCAGCCGCGACGAGGCGTCGTTGTCGTCATCGTTGTCCCCGTCGCCGCTGCGTCTGGTCCGACGTGGTGCTGCGAACTGGACACTGCGAAAGCCGGCTGATGAAACACTGCCAGGCTGAAAGGGCGAATCGGTCACCGCCGAAGTCGAAAACGTGGCGGCGCCGAGACGGTCACCGGTTCCGCCGTCATTTGTGTTCCCGCCAGGTATATGAGATGCACCTTCCGGGGCCATTTGATGGTCTGCGAAAAGAAGCTGTCGGGGGAGGGAAGTGAGACAAAAAAGGGCTAGATGGTTCGATGGTTCGCAAAATGGCAAGTCGAGAAGGAGGACCCCAGCTCGCGCCTTGCGCGTCCGTCGTTCTTTCTTGCTTTATTCTTCTTTTTTTTTTGCTGTCGAGGTTTCGTCCTGCAAAGGGTGGTCACGATGGGCAGGTTTGCGGGGAGAGAGCGAGCTCCTTCCCGGTCCGGCAAGGTGCGGTGCGCAGCGAATGGGCAGGTAATATCGTAGTGTAAGAGCCTGTATGACATCAGTCGCTTGTGGGATCTTTCCTTCAGTGGGCGGGCTGCCACGGGCTAAACGAAGCAGGAAAGCAAACGAAAACAACGCAGAGGGACTATGAAAAGGTAGTTTTGCATAGACGAGAATATTGAGATATAAAATGCCCAGGGGAGCTCAATTGAAATTGGAAGCGAAAGATGCGGAAGGAACGCTCTGAGAGGGGCGATTGACTCGAATCAGGGAAGGTACGATAGCTAAGTCGAAAAAAACAACGTCCCACCTCCTCCCCTGCACGGGAATAGATAGTGTGGGAAAGAGCTGTTTACAGGAGTCCTATTAGGTCCAACCCAGTCACGTTACTGGTCAATGATTGCATGTGTGCTAAGGGTAGTCATAGATCGCGGGTGGCTGAGATGACAACACGCAAAGGCCATACAGACACCAATCTTGTCGTGCAGAACGTCCCCCTCACTTTCATATCTCATGCACGGCGCATCCTATGGCCGCTCTGGATGCGGAGTGCATTGGCGCAGCGGACGTGAGCGGCGTCTCGGAGGGACAGGATTCAACTAATCAGGGTCTTGGTTCTTCGACCGCGTCCCGTCCTTTTTTCGAGTGACATGTTTTTATCGCGTGTTTTATTCTCGACACTGGCGCTAAGCGGGTCCGCTCCCTAAACTGCAAGCCTCCTTTCCCCAACTGTGGTGACTTCCAACGACCGAGAACAAAGTCCATGGTCACGATTATTCCTTTGCTGCGTTCGGAGGCAGCGCATCATGAGTAGTGAGCATTTCAACCGAAAGCCCAGTACGACGTAGTAAATCGTGTGCTGGGAAAGTCAGGACCTCTTATCTTGCTTCATATTTGCCCCCTGAGGTCTCACAGATAAAATGCCCCCATATCACTGCTATCGATGCTACGGATCTGGCTGCGTTTTCTCTTATCTCCTCGCAGGGCAACCCTCATTGAAACGACGGACGCCGCTTCAATAGGAGCCAGCAGATAAGAACACGACGAGACGTAGAGCGATTGAGTTGCACATTCACCTTTTTACCGGTTTTTGCCGGCATACCCCCCAACTAATTGAAAAATGCAGGTGGGGGACGCTCCTCTCAGATGATCGAGGTTTGTGCTTCCTGCAACTACGTAATGCCATCCATTTTTTCAGTTCAATTTCGGACTACCTGGTAGGTTGGGTGAGGGACGGCAGGCTTGCATATTTATAAAGGTGTGAAGACAAAATGACGAACGATAGAGATCCCCTGCTCGTTGTTGGTCACCTTTAAATAGGACTATATTAGGCGGCACATGGCGGACACTGGTGTACATCTGATTGCATCTCTCGGCATCGAAACGATCCCACTCATGAACACATCACGATTTATCTTGTATATGATAGCTAAACCACACCGCTTATAGAGTCGGCAAGGCACCCTCAACGATGTTGCTGAACGGCATTAGTATTATTTCTTACAAGACTTCACAAATGCAATTTGGAGCAGTGTGTTATGGTGAGTGGGTAACTTCTGGTATTGCCAACGGCTGTTCTAAAAAAAGGTAGCTATCTAAATACGCAGAGGAGCGAGTTGAACTAGTTATCAAGTTCGCATCGACCAAATAGAAATTGCTGATACCTGAGATTCTCTGCATCCTCCAAAAAATAAGAAAAGAAAAAGAAAAAGCCTCCAAAATAGGAATGAAAATCGCCCGTGAAAGACAAAAGTGCGACAATGGTCGCACCGCCCGTGAACGCCTGCTATGTGATGCATGAAGAAGAGAAAAATGAAAACACCAGAAAGAAAAAAGGAAAGCTATAACGCATGAAGGGGTTTTGTCATTCCCTTTCAGACTCCCCCGCTTTGTTTTCCCCAATCTTTTTTTGTAATCCGACAGTGGTTTAGACAAACTTGTTTGTACACATGAAGAAGAACCAAACCCTTTCCCGCCAGTAGTGATATGTAAAAGGATGGGAAAGGGGAAGAGCAAGGAGAAGAAAAACGGCAGGAGACAAATCATAAAGTGTGATAAAAAAGAAACCGAGAAGAAACCGACAAAATGAAACGCAATGCCCGAGAATCCCAGAGAATCAGCAAGACCTAACTTACCCCAACAACGTTGGGAGGGTTCGATGGAAAATGAAGACAAAAAAAAAAACGGTTAGTTCAACCACAAGTGGTGGTCTGGTCGAAAAGAGGCGTCGGCCTCTGTCCGTTTACCAGCCACCAACCCATTCAACATTACTGAAATCGGGGCGGCGATCGCGGCGCCAGTTCCAATTCCAGTCGCGGCCTTTGTTCCAAGGACACCCCTTGTCCTTGGAACGGTCGCGCATATTTTCCTTGCCCGCGTTAAATTTGTTGGGGCTGTTGGAATGATTGTGCGAAAAAACATTGACGTAGTGGGGATTGAAAGTGGCGTTGGAGTGGTTGTTCGTGGTGTTGGTCAAGTGATGACCCGATGAGGTGTGGTAGGTATTGCCAAAGTGGTTCGAAGTGCCACGCTCATACGACGACTTCAAGTTGTAGCCAAGAGACTGACCGTAGCGTTGACCCTGCGACTTGGACTCGAGATTCACCGACGGTCCTGTGTGGGCCCTGCGTCGCTCACCCAGGGCTTCCCACTTGTCAAAGGACATCGGCGACTTGGACGGCGAGGGGCCAGGCGACACGGTCGAGTTTGGCAGCCGAACCGAAAGATGGATCTGCTGATGGCGGTCCTCCTTACGGCCGAGGAAGCTGTCCAAGTCTTGGCGGTTCTGCTCCTTCTTCACCTCCTTCTCCTCGGTCAGAGGATCAGAGAAAAAGAGAACATCGTCGTCGAGCTCGAGATCATCCTTGGCCTCTACAGCAGGCACGGGCTGGCGGTCGGCAGCAGCAGGAACATCCACGACCAAAGTTTTCGTGGCGGGCGACAGACCAAGGCGAGGCGTGTTGTCGTCGTCGCTGAGCATGTTGAGCTTGCTGCTCACTTTCTCGATGGCTGGCTTGACCTCCTCCTTGACACTGTCCTGGCTCCAAGTGCGAGCGTTCAGCTTCTTAAGCGACTCGAGCTGGCGCAGGCGCTCTTCCTCTTCCTCTTCCTCTTCTTCCTCGTCCCACATGTCGCTCCAGCTCTTGGAAACGGCGTCCTTGCGACCAAACACAAGAGACATCGCCGGAGCGTTGCGCGCACGAGGCATGGTGATCGGAAGGGAGCCTGCCATAGGCGAGACCTTGGACTGCCAAGTAGTAGGCTGAGGGATCATCTTGGGCTGGCTGATGGCGAGCGAGGTCATGGAAGCGCCGAGGCTGGAGTCCAGAACGGACGCCATGGACGGAGTCTCTCCGGTCATATTCGAGCACCAATCAGCTGTTGTCGCCTCAGACTTGGAGAAGAGCTCCTCGGTGTAGCTCTCGTTGTCGGGGATGACACTGAGCTGGCGTATGGCTTGCGGGGCGCTAGTCTGCAGGGCCTTAGCCCACGGGAAAGCCGCACCGTTTTCAACCATGGGGCTCTGAATGGACGGGGTCCGTAGAGGTTCACGGTTGGCCGAAGCAACAACACGGCGGTCGACAGAGCAGAAGTCATCGAGGGCCTCGTCGAGGGTGGTGAAGCTGACAACGCGACGCAAGGCATGGCGAACACCTGCCAAGGAACGCTTCTTGGGGTCGAGGTTCATGCACTGGACAATCACTTCGAAAGTGTCCTGCGACATGTTGGGAAACACGTCAAACAGGGACTGCTTGTCGCGCGAGAAGTCGAGGAAAATGGGATCAGCCTCGGTCGGCGTGGAGAAGGGGTTGCGTGAGAAGAGGATGTTGAGCATGCAGATACCAATGGCCCAGATATCAGCCTGCGCGGGCGAGTAGCCAGCGCCAGCCGAGTCGTACTGCTCAGGGGACATGTAACGGTCACTGCCCACGGTAGTCTCGTACGTCCACTCTTCGGTAGTAGCCAGGCCGAAGTCACCGAGCTTCATGATGCCAGACTGAGTCAGGAACATGTTCTCAGGCTTGATGTCGCGGTGGTAGATACCCTTGGAATGAATGTACTCCACGGCGTCAACCAGTTCCAACATGAAGCGGCGGACGTGCTCGGTTTCAAGGGGTCCCTGGCCGTTGCGAATGGCCTCGTACAGGTCACCACGGGGGCAGAACTCGAGAACGAGGTAAACGTGCGACTCGGTCTCAAACGAGTCAACCAAGTTGACAATATTTGGGTGCCTGCCCAAACGGCCATGTAGATCCAGCTCTTCAGACTTATCGTCGATGGCGAAGTCGAGGCCAGCTTCGTCGGCAGCAGCCTTCTTGGTCAGACATTTGATAGCCACGTTGTGACCAGTCTCAAGCTGTCTAGCCATAAAGACCATGCCAAAAGAGCCATGGTTGAGGGGAGAAATAGTGCGGTACCGTCCGTCAAGGACAACCCCATCTTCGAAGTTCTCGCGTAAGCACGCCATTGCGTAAAAGAAGCACCAAGCAAGAAAGATCTTGAAAGGCAGAGAGGGAGACGATGGAGAGAGGGGGAAAGGTCAATGATGAGAGGAGAAGCACAGAAACGAGAAAAAAGGCGGTCGGCAGAGTGGTTCTCAGACTGTTGTTATCGATTGGGGTAGAACGAAAGGGGCATATATAGGCGTCGTGATCGTCAGAAAAACGTTGGTAGCGGAGAGAAGATGGCGATGGTACAGAATCAACAACAGTCGTCGACCGGAGCACAAGGCTCGTTCCTCCTGGGAAGCGCGGAAGCCCCCT